AGAAAACTAGCTAGCTATATTAGAAAAAGATATAAGTTTCTAAGACTAATAGATATAAAAGAAAGTAAAATTTTATAATAATTTAGCTACTAAATAAGATAAAAGGGATAACTATTTAAGTAAATTATTATAGGCTTTAGCGATATAAACGAAAATAGTAACTAAACTAATAGATATAATAAAATTAATTAATAAGACTTATATACTAATTAATATAGCTATATAACTTAGTATCTAATATAAATAAAATAAAGGATATAATATAAAGATTTAAAGAGTTATTACTACTCTAAGGAAAGACCTTAAATAAATTAATAAAGAGCTTAAGTTCAGAGAAACTAGCTCTTAAAAGAAAGAATAAAGCCTATAAGATAAAATAAAAAATATCCCTTAAGAATACTAGAAATATAATAAACTCTTTAAGGAAGAACTTAAGATAGGGTTACCTAAATATAGCTAATAAGACTATAAAATTTATCTTAAGGATAGAATAACGCCGATATTCTATAAAATCTATAACTTAAACGAAAAGCAACTATAAACGCTACGCGACTACCTTAACGAGAATCTATAAAAGGGATATATATAAATATTAATATCTAAAGTAGGCTACCTAGTTATATTTATTTTAAAGAAAAATAGTAAGCTATAACTAGTTATTAACTATAAACGCTTAAACGATATTATAATAAAGAACTAAATACTACTACTACTTATATTAAAACTATAAGATTAACTATATAGTAAAAAATAGTTTATAGCCCTTAATCTTAAAGGCGCCTATAACTTAATATATATAAAAAAGGGATATAAATAGATAATAGCCTTTAAAATAAAATTCGGACTATTTAAATATCTAGTAATATTATTTAGACTTATAAATATACTAGCTACCTTTTAATAAATAATTAATAATATCCTATATAAATACTTAGATATCTTTATAATAGTATACCTAGATAATATCTTAATTTTCTTAGATACCTTAAAAGAATATAAGGAATATATCTATAAGGTACTCCGCGTACTTTAAAATATAAAGTTACTAGTTAAACTAAAGAAAAGTAATTTCTATATATAAAAAGTAAACTTCCTTAGATATATAATCTTACTAAGAGAGATATAAATATAATAAGATAAGATTAACTTAGTTAAAAAATAGCTAACGCTAAAGAATATTAAGGATATATAAAGTTTCCTAGGATTTATAAATTACTACCGACGATTTATTAAAGATTTTAGAAAGATTATAGTATTACTATATAACTTAATAAAGAAGGAAAAAGAATTTATATAGGACGATAAAGCTAACGAAGCTTTTAAATATATTAAAACTATAATTATATAAGAACTAGTCTTAACTACCTTTAATCTAAAATAATAAATCGAACTCGAAACTAATATATTAGACTTTACTCTAAGAGTATAAATCGGATAAAAAGATAATAAAGGAAGACTATAACTAATTATATTTTACTTAAAAAAGCTATATAGCGTAGAACTTAATTACCCTATCTACGATAAAGAATTTCTTATAATTATTTAAGCTTTTAAGGAATTTTAATACTACTTTCTTAAAAGTAAATATAAAGTTAAGGTCTATATAGATTATAAGAATATCTTATACTTTATAATAATATAATAGTTAAATAAACAATAGATTTAATAAGCTAAATACTTATTAGAATTTAACTATAAAATAATTTATAGAAAAGGAATAGAAAATAGTTAAGCTAATACCCTTAGTCGATAAAGTAACTATAATATAAGGGTACCTATAGCGAAAGGATAGCTCTTAGAAATTAATAAAAATAGAAACTACTAATAACTATAGCTAAATATAATATTTAAGGTATAGCTTAACGACTTAATATATTAAAAGATCCTAAAATAGATAAAAGAATATAAAGCACTAAACGGATATAATATAGAATATTTAGAAGTTCTAATATATAAAAATAAAATCTAAATACTACTAAAATTATAAGATAAAGTTATATAAGATATATATAAATATCTAATATATAGATACTAAGGAATCTAAAGAATAATAAAACGGATTAAATAATAATATAACTTCTTATAGCTTAAAGAAGTAGTACGATAAGTTATTAAAGAATATAAACTTTACGTATAAAGTAAAGCTAAATAATATAAACTATATAGAGAATTATAACCGCTATTAGTACTAAAGAAACTATAGGATTTAATAGCTTTTAACTATATTATAAAGCTACTACTATTAAAAGAACCTATAACTAATATTAAGTATAATAGTATATTCGTTATTACCGATAGATTAATAAAGTATAGATACTTTTTACCGTATAAAAAAGTAAGTAATATAAAAGAGCTAGTATATATATTCCTATAAATAATTATTAGTAATTATAGACTATTAAATAAGATTATTTCTAATAAAGGAAGTATATTTATAGCTAAGTTTTAGTAAGCTCTTATAGTATAATTAAGGACGAAATATAAGCTTAGTATATAAATAGATAGATAAATAGAACGACTTAACTAAACGCTTAAATAATATTTATAATACTATATTAGTTATAAATAAAATGATTAAGTTAAATAGCTATTAATAGCGTAACTAGCTTATAATAGCTTAGTTATAGAAATAACTAAGCTCTTACTAGTATATACTAATTATAGATATAACCTAGAAGTATTTAAGGTTACCTAATAAGGACTATAAGCGGAACGAGTAATACTATAAGTAGATTAGCTATAAAAATTATATAAAGAAATATAATAAGAACTTTAATTTATTAAAGAACGAATATCTACTTACTATAATCGGAAAAGATTATAAGGACTAATCTTTTAAGAGAGAGATATAGTTTACCTTATATAACGAAATATTAAAATAAAATAACTAAGTAGTAAATTAGATTTTAAGAAACTTAGACTATTTAAAATTAAGAAGGTTATTTAGAAAGTTAACTATAAACTTTCGCTATTAATAATAATATAGATATACCTAATATTTTATATCTCGTTATTAAAACTAGTACTATAAAATATTAAACTATAAGATAAAATTAAAGTTAACGATAATTAAGAATATAAAGCTAAATAAATACTAGATATAAGAAAATAAGGTTAGTAATAAGAATACTATATTAAATAGAAAGAATATAGACTAAAAGAGAATACCTAAGAACTACTTAAGTACTTAACCTATTATAGCTCTTTACTTCGATAATTTTACTAGAAGGTTTAAGAGGGATTAAAGGACTAAGATCTATAAACTCCTTACTAATACTAAATAAGGACTAATTCGCTTTATTAAGAACGCCTAATAATTATAAGTTATTTACTACTTAATACTTATATATATTAAGTATAGGTAAAATACTATCCTTAGTATCTACTTCTTAGATACTATAACGAAATAACTTAGAACTCTTTTCCTTTATATAATTTTAAATCTTTTAAATATAAGCTAAACGATTAATAGCGATAAATATTTATAACTAAAGGTTTATAAGCTATACCTAAAGCTCTAATAAGGCTTCCCTAGCTTCCTCCTCTTTAAAATATAGCCTATACTACTCCGCTAATAATTTAATTACTAAAAGAAATATATTAGCTACTATATATAAAAAGAATTAAAAGATACTTATAAGAAGAGGCTACTAAAATACTATTATAATAAGGATAACTACTAGCGATATAATTATTATAGCGCGAAGAATTTTCGGCTATCTAATAATTTATCTTCTTTACCTTAAAGTATCGAGTATATAGTATATCGGTAGGATCTCCGCTTAAGTCGATATATTTAGTAAGAGTAGCGCGCTTAGAGGCTTTTCGGGAACGATTTTTTAGTATATAACTAGATATACTATTAGTAGTATATCCTAAAAAGATAAAGAAATAAGGAACGATATACTTACGTACGACGCGATAAGGGTATATTTATATATAGCGGCTAAGGTAGCTATAGTAGGTCTTATAGATAAGACTAAAAGGAGGGGAGATATTATATTACGACTACGGCTATTAAGCTACTAACGGTCTACCGCGTTAAGTACGTAATACGGTCTAATAGATAAATAGTTAGCACGACTATTTAATAGATATAGGATCGAGGGGATCGTAGAGATCTAAGTAATCTAGGATTAATAGGATTACTATACTCTATACGATCTAATATTAAGGATTATAGCTAGGACTATAATCTAAGGATAGTCTCTATAGGTATATATAGCTACCTACTTTTACTCCTTTAGATAGATAGCTCTCTAGCTTTTAATATAGATCTTTATTACGATTCTATCTCTAATTTTAATTACCTAGTTATAGTCTACGGTCTACGACCTCCGACTTATTACCAACGTAATATACTTATTATTGCTTAGACCACGCCCTATTATATCTACTAATATAAACCCCTCGATAGGTTTATCCCTTGGGAATAACACCGGTCGTCACACGCACCTAAGCCTACGCTTCTACCTACTCCGTAATAAATAGGAACGGCTAAGTAGCTTAAAAAGGAGTGACCTAGGGGCCCTAGGGCCCTTAGGGGGGGAAAACACCGCGCGGGAGGAACCAGACTAACCTTTCCTTTATCTTTGCCTTTATAGCTACCCTTTCCCTAATTAGTTATAAGCCCCCGGGCTCTATAGCTAGCTAGGACTGCTAATAGGGGCCTAGTCCCCTATTAGCCTCGCCATGGCCCTAGAGGCTACATGCGAGTAATGATATATAAAAAAAGATGCTGGTTTAGAGGTTGGCTGTTTTATGGCAAGAATCCACTCCGTGCTTTAATAGGCAATGGAGGCTCCAGCGACGTCATGGGCAGGTCCTGGGGAAAGCTGAGAAAGGTACTTCGCATCTGGCCCAGGACTCAGTGCTGCTCAAAGTAGCCTTACCCCGCCACTGAAGCTCCCCGCCATCATCAGCCAATCGGCCCACCGAGTCACTGACGAAGCTTCTTGCGACGACGACCATCATTCAACAGCACAGCAGACGGGCCAGCCATGTCTGCAAACACGCACCCCGATCCCCAGCCTGGGGCGCCGGCCTTTATCCCCCTCGAGGCGAACCCGCAGTTGATGACGACGCTCATCCACAAGCTCGGCGTGTCTGCCGCTCTCCAGATGCACGACGTCTACTCCCTGACAGATCCCGACCTTCTCGCCTTTATCCCCCGCCCCGCGCTGGCCCTGCTGCTCGTCTTCCCAGTCAGCGCCGTGTACGAGAGCCATCGGATGGCAGAGGACAGCCTGGTGGACGAGTACAGGGGCACGGGCGACCAGCAGCCCGTCTTGTGGTGGAAGCAGACGATTCGTAACGCCTGTGGCCTCATGGGCCTGCTGCATGCCGTGTCCAACGGTCCGGCAAGGAACTTTATCGGTATGGCCACTCTCAAGGTCGGAGAAACGCGATATGGCTGCGTGCCGGGCTTCTAACCAGATGGCCTCCTATCGATGCAGAACAAGGCTCGACGCTCGACCAACTGCTCAAGGAATCCATCCCCCTCGAGCCAAATGCCCGCTCCGCTCTGCTCGAGAAGACGCCAGCGCTGGCTGCAGCCCACAAGGAGGCTGCCTCGGGAGGCGACACGGTCGCCCCGGACGCCCAAGACGACGTGGACCTGCACTACGTGTGCTTCGCCAAGGGCGGCGACGGGGGCCTGTGGGAGCTCGACGGGCGACGCAAAGGCCCTATTAGGCGCGGCGACTTGAACGCCGACGAAGATGTCTTGAGCGCCAAAGCCCTGGCCATGGGCGTGCTGAAGTTTCTGGAGCGTGAAGGGGGCGATTTGCGGTTCAGCGCAGTGGCCTTGGCCGGAGCCCTGGACTAAGAGGCTGATAAGGCGAGCGACATTGCCGCTGGCGGCTTTATGAACGGCGGACCCTGGTGGGAAATGTGCTTGCAAAGCCAGAGGGACGCAGGGCGTGGGTCTTTACCGCTGATGCTGGTTTTCACTGCATATTTCTCTTCCTCCATATACCTAGGGAAATCATCAGGGACACTTGGGGTTGGCACGAGTCAAGGGCGCAATAGGCAGAGTCATTGTGGCACTTGAGCCAGTTGATATTGGGAACCCGTCGTTCTGTCTTATCTCCTCGCTCCGCTCTTCGTTCTTCCCTGGTTTTAGATGATGGCGTTCCGCTCGAAAGTCGTTTGTAGGCGGCGACAAGTGGTGGTACACAGTGCGGTGCCGGCGGCAGAACCAGGCTCTCTTCCTCCAGCGATGCCTCGGTCAAGGTATGGCGAGGAATTGAAAGAAGTCGTGTTCGGCTCCTTGCCCAGCCTCTTTACACAGCAGGGTTTTCCATGAGCTTCTTGAGTCGCTCTTCCCACTCCCTGTCCGGACCGTCAAGGTCCTTGGGCATCCTGGCCTCAAGGATCCTACAAAGGCAGGCCAAGGCCATCCAGAGGCTGTCCTCAGCATAGCCCAAGAGATGCATGGGCTTCTCGGTGAGCGTGACGGGTGAGCCCCTGCGAAGGTCGGAAAATTCCTTCAAGGCATCTGCCGCGTCCTGCATCTTCTTGTCGAGAAAGAGGCGGTCGCCGCGGTCCCCGTGTTTGGCGGGGCGCTTGATGCCGCGCATCTGGTCCACGGCGATGTTCATGTTTCTCACCCTGGCGCTCATGGATCGGTATCGGTCGGCCAGCTTATCCCACAGGTCGGTGGCCGACTCGGCCCTGTTCTCCAGGTACCAGGGCGGGAAGCCGAAGGGGACCCGCCTGTAGATGTAGGTGTTGCCGTCCTTGAGCAGCTTGGGGGCGCCGTCTTGGTTGGCGTTGTCGTCGGCGCTGGCGTCGGCGTCGTCGTTGGCGTTGACGGCGTCGTTGCCGTTTCTGTTGCCGCCTCTACCGGCCCTGGCGACAGGCTCTCTGCGATTGCGAGGAGGCATGCTGGTCGACAGTCGGTGACGAGGAGGGGGCGAAGAGGGCCGAAGAAAACTCTTGGTCGACGCGGTTTCGCAGCGGAGGAGGGTAGCAGCTCGCTCGGTGCTTTGCAAGAGGGGACGGGGGGGGTAGAGCAAGGCCATTTACCTCGGCGACGCAGTGCGTTTTATCGGTCTCGATTCCCTCGCTGGGCTTGCTGGCAGGTGTTGAAGGTTATCCATGTGGTTGGTGTTCGTTGTGTCTGCCTGGGTTGAGAAAATGGTTGCCGAGGGCACGCGCGCGCGAGAGGCGAAAGTGAATGGCCGGATGGGTGCCTTGAAATCCAGGGCTGGGCCTGTTCAGAGGCTCGCTGTGGGCGGCGGCCGCCGAGGAGCTGTCCAGGCGGCCGAGGAGCTGTTCAGGCTGCCGACTTCCATGCTGTTTGACCGCTATTTCGTTGTTTATGTTGTTGCCGCCTCGACGAATGCAGTTGAGGAAGTGTCGAGGTGCACATACACACAGGCGTGCATCTGTTTTCAAAGCATGTATATCTCTATATATAGTACATACATCTCTGTCCATACAACGCTCGACCATGGTTAACTCCCAAGAAGCCGTCATAGCTCGATAACATGCCCGTTTGCCAGCCCGTTACCGGACCCTCTTTCTCTCGGCCACAATCGCGGGACGGGTGAAAGGGCTCTTCAGCATCCTGGCCGCACACATGCTCGGATGGACGAGCACGAGGTGCAAAGAGCCCCTAATTCACTGGTGGTGCAGACTCGACTCTCTCCACTCGGGTGCCTGTGGCTCTTCCGACCCTGCCATGGTAGGTCAAGCACAGTCTGCACGGCTTATTTGGCTGTGACTCGAGATGCATCTGCTCAGCCTTCAATAAACCACGCTCATTATGAGCTCTTGTCTTCATCACTTCCATCCCCGAATTTCAAAGTCTGTTCCCGTCGCAAAAGCACCGCATCGCAGGGTGTTTCTGTAGCCCTAGCAGTCGTATCACCGCCCACTGCCTGGCCAGAACGAGGCGTCAGACCCATCATGACGACACCCAACTGATTCCTCGACGTTGAATTCCAAGCCAAGGCGTTCCCACAACGGTCCATCACGTGGACGCAACTCAATGCGAACAGGGAGCGCCGCATGTCTCGGAATCCCACCCCGCCAGAAGAGACATTGCCCATGCCAAGTCACCCCCCCCCCCTTCCCTTCCTCCCCTCGTGCTGTGGAAGAAAAAGGGGTCATCCCCCTTGCTCGAGCAGTGTGCCTTGCTCGAGGTGTGTGGGTGGGAGCATCTGCGGTCCCTTTTGCGGCTGAATGTCTGGATCGGAACGAGAAGCCCGTCACATTTCTCAGCCGTGAGGGGAAAAGGGGAGGCGAGTCTGCCACACCACAGGTCCATCAGACAGGTGACTTGCTCAGTAAGTGAAAGTCCGGTTTCCCTTTTTCACTTGGCATAACCTGCCGAGCAACGTCTCGAGGGGGGCGGGGCACATTTCTTCAAGTGGGTGCAAAGTCGCTGTAAATGGACGAGGTCAACGGGCGCCTCCCTGTCATCGGCGGAGTTGGCGTTTGCGACAGGCAGATCAGCCAAATATCAGAATGATCCGTGGCCTGTGAGTAATCGTATGCCGACGGGTGATTCTGTTTATCACGCGACTCTGCTCGTCTCTCGCCTGCACCTCGGGCATCAAGCGTTGGGTCCGGTATTGGGTCCGGTACACGTGAACGATGTGGGAACTGTCCTGTCAATGGATAAGGTAGCCGAGAATCAACTCGAGGCCAATCAGATGCCCCCAACTCACGGCTCACTCGGAAGCAACCGCAGATGGCTCTCCAGGATGCATCTTCCCCGCATAGAGCCTAAGCTCCCGGGAACCTAGATGGCCACGGACCTGTACTCTGTAAGCTCGCCCGCGATCCGATGGACGTCAATTTATGAAAGCAGTGTGAAGTTGACCTTGTAAGACAAGGGTAATCGACTGTAGAATCAAGCTCATCTTTCGTGTCTCCCAAGTGGGGAAAAAGGGACTTTGCTATAGGCAACATGATTTGCTCGGATCAAACCAACCGAGACTCCGAATAGCTTCGCATTTTAAACACAGTACGTAGCGCTGTCTTGGGCGTCGGCAGGGGGCCGGCTGCCCGTGACCCCAGGTGCACGCATCCAACTCGGTCCCAGGGCCAACATCCGTTCCAGTTCGCCTATTTGCTTTATTTATTGTTACTTATTGTCCCGGTCTCGACATTGGCAGGGCGCTAGGGAGGCCTTGGCCCGAAGCAGGGTATATAGACCCGTGTCCACGAGGCGCCGAAACTAGCCACTCTGCCGGCTCAAAACATGGCGGCACCAGAAGGATGAAACAGAAGCAACAAGTATCCTGTTGAATCGGCCGGTCTGTTGTCACCATGAGCACCATTCACGACGCCTATCCCGAGTACGTCAAGACGCGAGGCTTGGATGAGCTGCGCGCCAGCGAATACAGCTATCTCGACGAGCAGGGCCATGTCTACCTCGACTACACCGGTGCCGGACTGGCCGCCCACGCCCAGTACCGTGCCCATCAGGCCCGCTCCCTGGGCACCACGTACGGCAACCCGCACTCGCTGAGCCCTACCAGCCAGTCGTCGACGGACATGGTCGAGCTGGTGCGGACACGGGTGCTCTCGCACCTCAACGCCTCGCCGGAGGAGTACGCCTTCATCTTCACCGCCAACGCAACCGGGGCGATGCGGCTCGTGGGCGAATCCTATCCCTTCCGCAGAGGGTCGAGGCTGGTGCTGACCTCGGACAACCACAACTCGGTCAACGGACTGCGCATGTACGCGAAGCGAGCTCACGCGCGGACCACCTACATCCGCACCCGGGCCCCGGAGCTGCGCATCGACACCGCCACCGTGGCCGCCGCGCTGCCTCGCCGCCGAAGCCGCCGGTTCGGGTCGCCGCGGAGGAGCCTGTTTGCCTATCCCGCGCAGAGCAACTTTACCGGCGTCCGCCACCCCCTTTCCTGGGTCAGTCTGGCGCAGGAGCGCGGATACGATGTCCTGCTGGACGCCGCGGCCTATCTGCCCACCGGGATGCTCGACCTGTCCAGCGTCAAGCCCGAGTTTGTGGCCATCAGCTGGTACAAGCTGTTCGGCCTGCCGACGGGCGTCGGCTGCCTGGTCGCCCTTTCGCGTCTCAACCGTCCGTGGTTCTCGGGCGGCACAATTTCAGCGGCCAGCGTGGGCGTGCCCTGGCATGCCATGGCCGTAAACGAGGCGGCATTCGAGGACGGAACCCTCAACTTTCTGTCGATTCCCGACGTCAAGGTAGGCCTGGACTGGCTGTCGAGCATTGGCATAGACGTGATAGCGTCGAGGGTGCGATGTCTCACCGGCTGGTTTCTCGATTGTCTGCAGTCCCTCCAGCACAGCAACGGAATCTCCATGGCCACCGTCTACGGGCCGAACGACCTGGATCATCGAGGCGGAACCGTCTCGTTCAACCTTGTCGATGCCACTGGCAACTTGATAGACGAGCGACTCGTGGCCATGGAGGCGGCCGCGGCACGCTTTTCCATCCGCACCGGCTGCTTCTGCAATCCAGGCGCCGGCGAGGATGCCTTTGGCATAGACGCGAGGACCCTGAAGCCCCTGAAACAGGCTCGGACAAAGTCCATGGAGGAGTTTGTCCGACTTGTCAAACTACCGTCGGCAGGTGCCGTTCGAGTATCGTTTGGCGTCGCGTCAATCGTCGACGACGTGGATTTCTTCATTGCTTTTCTCAAGCAGACTTACCGCGATCGCGTCACGACAACCGTCGGCCTTCCTCTGCGGGACGGCTGCTGACCCCGGCCAAGAGGCCACTGCTTTACCAGACGTTTGGCCTTGCCCATGGCCGCCGCTCTCGGTCTCCCCAGAGTCGTGAAGTTGGCGGCGCGAGACAGACAGGGGCATGGGCGCGTGGGAATGAGACAGTTGGCCAATTGGACCGAGGTTGTAAGACCTGGCTTTCATCCATGGAGGCACTAGGGGGGTGGGTTCCTGATTCTTGGGGAATGGTGGGTGCCCAGGGGCGGGCGACCAGGTGGAATTTCTTTGTGTACAAGACATGGGACATTCTTTTGGGAATAGCGGTTTGGCCTTTGGTTGTGATGGGCACTTGGTTCAACAAAGACGAGGCAATAGTCGCAGAATCCAAGATTGTACGTCATCAAAGTCCACAGGGTACTCTGCTCGGCCCACATGGCTCTGCGGCAGCATTCGAGAGGGTCCCACGGACGGCCGGTTGATCCTGGCAGCAGCTCCAGAGAAAGCTATACTGTAGAGTGGACGGACCACTTTCCGATTCGGCACCGCAGATGGGGAGCCGTGCCCAAACCAAAGCCCCGAGGTCCCGGATCGCGGGGCATCTGCTCCGTGACGTGATGGGGTGTGTGGGTGTGTGTGCTTGTGCTCCACATGCAGTCCACATGCAGTCCACATGCGACAGAGCTGTGAGGTCACGGACGCGGCTATGACGTCGCTTCTGGCCCAAGGTCAAGGTATAAAGCGACGTCGGGTGTCGACTCGGCGCGGCAGAATAGCACTCATTCCTCAAGCCTGAACAGGTGTGACTCTCAGCCCAAACACAACACCATCATGCCTCGCAGCGGAGACGGATCCAGCCACAATGGCCCATTCGACGAGGCCGGCCACAGCGTTGCCCACGGTGTTGGTGATGCCGGCGTACGTCATTCTCGCCATGCTGTCGACGCCGTATGCTGACTGCCGCCGTGACTGCAGACAGACAAGGTCGCACGCGCCGACAAGACGGCGCCCATGCCCGAGCCCGAGAAGGGCCTTGCAGTCGAGGGCCTCGGCGCCAGCGGCGGCCAGAGCCAGGGCATCAAGCAGGGCCCCAACGCTGGCCAGGGAGGCAGCGGCTCGTCCAACTAGAGCAAGAAGAGGCATCAGGAAAGGCCGTGTATGATTATGGGATGGCACTATTGTAGAATTTAGTTGACGATGCAATGAATCCAACAACTTTCAACCCTTCAATCCCATGTCGCTCTCGTGTGAGGCGGGAGAAGACGAGCTAAAGCTGCTGTGCGAGCTGTCAAAACTGCAAGTACACACCCCATGGCAGCATGGCAGCTCCGACCTTGGGCGGTGGGGAACAAGGACAATCAGAAAGGCGAAAGCGGCACCTAGTCGATATAAACTCTAATCGTGGCCTGTTTCAGCATCCAAGAACAGAAGCTCAGGACATCGGTTCCTTAGCTCGCTCGGTCTGGTGGTCTAGTGGTATGATTCTCGCTTAGGGTCAACCCTATAGCTCCGCTTGCGAGAGGTCCCGGGTTCAATCCCCGGCCAGACCCTTTCTTTTGCCTGTGGGCGCTTTGCCGTCTTTTTGGCTCTCGAGGCTGTCTTCCGGGGAGTCGATAACATTGCACAGTGCCTGGTTGATGGAGAGGCGTGCTAATTACCGTTGTTCTCCGACGTGGTGACTTCTTCTGACTCCGACAATCATTGATCGTGGGAAATAGCTGCTTTGTATGTAATACAAAGAATGAATGACTGTTCTCGGCTATACTCTAGTCTGCTGCTGGCCTTTGCTGGTCTCTCCTCTCCCATCGATTAATGATTAATGCTAGGTGCCTGCGTGGTCGCCGTTAAGAGAGTAGGCGCGTAGTGGGTGAAGTCGGTGATACGACCCAAGCAGCCAATTTCAATTCCATATTCAACGGCGGGACTCGTCGCGAAACACACGTCATGGAATACGACGCTCCGAGTAAAACTTAGCTCATTACGTATCTATTGTCCAATCTGTTACCACATCATACATGTGCAATAATTCAAGTCGCCGGGGAGCGATAACCGCATCGCCCGCCGCCGCGTGAGCAACCCAGACGTGTTCGCGCTACCCTGCACTCGCCATACCTCCTTGCTGACCATGGCCCAAAAGCTGCTCTGGCAGAATGAGTACAGTACATGGAAGGGAGTAAATAAACAAGGGATTTTTGGCAGTCAACCGGCGCTCCTGTCAAAAGCTCCAGCCGCCTGCCGAGGTCTGATGCCTGCGCTAGACATTCTCTGCGGACGATATTCTAAAACAAATGTGAATCACACTCGAAAGTCGTACGATATTCTGAAACAAAGGGTGAATCAACACTTGGCTTTTAGCCCAAAGTCGTACGATGTTTCAAAACAAAAGGGTAAGTCACATTTGACTCTCAACCCAAACTCGTACGATATTATAAGACAAAGGGTGAGTCACTGGGCAATATATTCGAATCCTCCCATCATATAGATATTTAACCGTGACATGAACACAAGCGCGCGGCTGCAAACGCCGTCATCGAGACAAAGTATCCATACAAAGCATCGCTCGCCAAAACCATGCCCAGGGTGGTACAGGTACATCGTACCAGGAGGCCCTAATCCTCCACGTCCATTACCCGATACACAACCATCCATGGGGGAAAATTGCGAAAATAAAGTTACTTCGACTTCCAACTTCACCCCGTCAACAAAAACGCCAAAACGGTCCATGTCCCCCCTTTGACGCCACGTTCCCCATCATAGAAAGCCCTTGGTAAGGCTGGGCGTCCTGGCGACACTGCTCTTCCTCGGGGCCGCGTCAGTCACAGAGCCGTCGTCCATCTCGCCGCCCTTCCACGGTCCCATGCGGCTGCGTAGACTACCCGCCGCGCTGCCCGATCCCTTGAGGCCCTTCCATCCGTGCAGCTCTCGCTCGAGCCGCAGCCTCTTCTCCTTCTCTTCGCGAAGCTCACGCTCGGCGCGCCGGGCCGACAGCTGATTCGTCGACTCCGAGGCCTGCAGGTCGTCAATCGTCTTGAGGAGCTTGTCCACCTTGTCGCGCATCCGGCCGACGTCTTCCGACAGTTGCATGTTTTGCTTTTCCTTGCGTTCAACCTGGCTCTGGAGGTCCTTCACCACGCGATCCACGTTGCGGTGCGAGCGCTGTGACTTGTTCCGCTCCGTCTCTTGGCTCTCAAGCTGCGATTCGAGCTGTCGTGCATGTTAGCAGGACGCCAGGGGCTGGATGACGGCATGGCCGGCTCTGGTACTCACTTCTTGGATGCGTTTGTGCAGAAATTTGATGTCCTGACTTGCGCTCGAGTAGCCCTTGGTCTCCAGGTCCACGAGCTTGAGTTGCGCCTCGTTCAGGCTCTTCTCCAGAGAGGCCTTCTGCCTCTGGAGATCCGTGCCTGTTTCGCGCTCGGCAGCAATGTCCTTCTGAATCTCAGAGGCAAGCGCCTCGGCGCGTCGCATCCTCTCCACGGCGGCCGCCGCCACGTCTTCCTGGTGGGCAAGGCTGGACTTGAGCTCGAGCACCTCCTTGTCCACCATGGCTGCGTCTCGGAGCGACGGGCTCCCCCCCCTGGCGAGGTCCTCCAGACCGGCCTTTGCTTCCTCGAGGCGTGTCTCCATGCTGCGCTTCTCACGCAGCAACAGGTCGCGCTCCGAAGTAATCTCGTCCACCGACGATCGAAGTGTCCGTACTTGAGACAGCAATGACACCACCTTGCCCTGGGCCTCGTTGTGTGCATTCACGGCTTCGTCACGTGAGGATGCCACGTCGGCCAGTGTCGACTCTAGGCGGGCCTTTTCCTTGGACCATGTCGAGCTGTTGAGAACCTCGTCGTCCCACTTGGATCGAAGTTCGTCGAGCTCCTCGCGCAGCCGGGCGATCTCGGCCTGCTTGTACAGCTTCTCCTCGCGAGCCAGGTCGAGCTCCTTGGTGAGAGTGGCAAACTCAGCTTGGTACTTCTTGCGAGTTTGCTCCATGCTCGACTCCTTGTCCTCAATATCCATGGCCCTTTGGTTGCGGTAATCCTCCAGCTCGTGTTGCAGTCTCTTCTTGGATTGCGTGACGGACTCGAGATCGGTGGACAGGTCCTCGACCCTCTCGTCGAGCCGTTGGTTCTGTCGCTGCAGGTCCTCGATCGCGGCGTCCATCTTCTGTCGTTCGGCCATGACCTCGGCATACGTGTCTTCCGCCTCCCGGGCCTGCGACTTGGCAAACTGCTCGGCACGGCTGGCCTTGAGGACAGCGATCTCGGCCTGCTCGAGCTTGCCAAAATACTCATCCGCCCTGCTCTTGTACATGTCGAGGCTTGAGTTGACGTCGGCCAACTTGGATGTTTCCGCATCCAGTCGGATTTGCAGATCCGTGTACTCCTGCAGTAGCTGGCTCCGGCTTTGAGACTCTTGTTCACGCGCCAACGACATCTCTTGAAGGTCCGACTTGGTGTCTCGCAGCTCGACCTCGAGCTTCGCCCGCTCGTGCCGCATCTTGTCAAAGTGGGATTTGACGTCGGTTAGCTCCGCCACGGCATCCTTATGGCTGTGCAGTAGGGACCGGCGCGACTCTTCCTGGCTATTGAGGACATCCAGGATCTCTTCGTGCGATCTCGCTTGAATGTCCCGCAGGGAAAGCTCACCGGTGCGAATGTTCTTCTCGAGCGTGGAAACCTTCTTCGCCGAGTCGTCCAGCATGTCGTGCAGACGGCTGTTGACCTTTTCCAACTTCTGCATCCGGCGCAGAGAGGGACTCTGCTCATCGTAGCTGTCCGGAGCAGGTGAGCCCCGTTCCAGCTGGCTCTGCAGGTGCCGGTTCTGCATCTGCGCGAGCTGAAGCTGGTTTTGCAGCTCCTCGACCTCAGTCTTCAAATCCATGCGACTGTTGGCACCCACCGTGTCCACGGTCTTGTCCGAGCGCGCAGAATCCTGGAGCTCCGGGTCATGAAGGCGCCGAGTCGGAGTCGACGTGTTGGAGAACCGGCGACTGTTCATCTTAGCCGTGCGTCGCTGAGTCGGGGACCCGCTGTAGGGTGCCTCGTTATGGTGAATCTCCTCCAGCTTGGGCCGGTTCGGTGTCTCATTGCGAGAAGCTCGCAGCTCCGTCAGCTGGTTCTCAGCGTTGGTCCTTGCCGCCGTCTGAGCGCGGAGATTCTGCTGAAGCGCCTCGACCTTTCGGACAAGATCGAACTTCTCCAGCAGCGTCTTCTGGTTGCTTGCTTCTGGAGGCAGAGGAATGTCGACGTCGGGATCGGCAGTCTTCAGCGCACTGAGAATCTGCCCGCGCAGCTCCTCGAGCTCCTTGTCTCGCGAGTCCAGGGAGGCCTGCAGAGTGCGAACCGTAGATTGAGCCTGCGTACGCAGCTGGCGCTCTGATTCAATCGTCCGGTTGGCCTCAGCCAGCTGAGCGGTGTAGCTCGACGAGGCCTTCTCTGCGTTCCTGCTGCTCTGAACCTCCCTGGCCACCTCGTGGTTGAGATCCTCTAGACTGAGCTGTAGCTTTTCCGTCCGCTTTTCCAGGGACGCAATTGTGACTTGGGCATCGCCAAGCTGCTTGTTCAGCTTGGCGTTCTGCTCCTCTAGCCTCGCCTTCTCCTTGTGGAGGGAGTGGACTTGGCCTCGGGACGCCTCAGTCGCCCGCGACGTCGACCGCGCAATCTCGAGTCCCTTTTGCTGGAGCTTGTTGAGCAGTGCGCGGTTGTCGTTCTCCGATGCTGCAAGCCGACTCTTGACCGTGCCGAGTTCTCGCTCCATCCGTTCCTTGGCTTGGTCCGTTTTGAGACCGAATTCTCCCGATGAGAGAATCAGCTTGTTCAGGTGCTCGATCTGGCGATTGAGCTTGCCGCATTCCTCCTCAAACCATTGTAGTCGCTCGTGAGCTGCGTCGAGGTCTCTGCGAAGGCTCTCCTCTCTCTCTCGTGCTGCCTGGGATGCTTGCCGCTCGCCGATAACCTCGGCCTGGAGCCGTGCCTCCTCCGCCTGCGTCTTTGCAGCGCGGAGTCGGCGGATCTCATCTCGGGCTTCGTCTCGCTCCCTCTCCACAGTCGTGCGAGCTTCCATGGTGCGTCTCAGCGTATCTTGTTGCGCGTACAGCTCCTTCTCGATGATGATTTTGGACTCATTCAGGGTCTCGAATTCCTCCTGAAGCGACTGGTACTTGTGCTCGCCGAGCAAAAGCACGTCATCGCGGGATTGGCGTTCCCTGCTCAAGTCCTTTGACGTCTCGAAAAGCTCTTCTTTGAGGTCCTTGATCTGGGATTCCAGAAGAGCGCGGTTCTCATCGGCTTGCGCATCGTCAGACAGCCGGGCCTCGAGCAGAGTCCTGGCCTCGTCAGCCTCGCGCTCAAGCTGCGACTGTTTAGACTTCATCGCAGTAAGCTCGGCCTGAACATCTCGGAACTTGGTGGTAATCTTTTCTTTCTCGTCCGTCAAGGCCTTCTTCTGGTCCTCCAGCGACCGCCGCTCATTCTCAAATTTGCGCTTGTCGCTTCGTAGCAAGGCAAGCTCACTTTCCTTGTTGCGCACGAGATCTTCGTAGTCGGTCGACGTCTTGGAGAGCTGAGAGAGCTGCTGTTGGACAGTCTCGTGCTCTCGCCTGAGCTGAGACTCACGCATCTTTGTGGACTCCAGCTCTTTCTGAGCCGCATGCAGTTTAACCTCGGAGTCTTGGTCGATTTGCAGCAGCTTGCCCTCGAGATCCTGCGTCTTCCTGTCCTTGAGGGCCAACTGACTCTGAAGGACCTTGATCTCGTCTTCTAGTGCTGCCTCCTGCTCACTGCGCTCAGACTGTTTCTGCGCAATATCTTGAACGGCGCACTCGAGCTCGACTGATCTAGCAGAGAGCTGGCTCTTTTCCTCTTCCAGCTTCGCGATCAGGGTTGCGGCTTGTTCGAGCTGGGAGCGATACTTTTCCACTTCTCGCTCTGCACGGTTTTTGGCTTCCATGAAGTCGTCGAGCTGATCTTCCAATCTCTCCTGATCTTCGAGGGCGCCTGCGAGTTTCTCTTCCAGCTCGGCTTCACGGTTCTGAAGCCTCTTGAAGATCTCCTCCTTGTCCAACGCCAGCGCACGCTCGCTCTCGAGGGTCTGCTGGATGCGCACCATCTCGGAATGGCAGTTTCGGCGCTCTTCTTCCAGCTTGTGTCGATTCTCCGTTTCGTGTCTCATCTGGTCGTTGAGTTGCTTGATCATTGCGTCGCGTCGCTTAACCTCTGTGGCCGTCCGGGTGGCGCCAAGCAGAGGCTTCATCTTGACGATGAGCTGCCACCATGGGTTCTGGACGAGATCATGATAGACAAGAAAGTTGCGCTGAATGATCCGAGTGGCTTCGGTTCGAAAGAGCTTTTTGTAGGCCAGACGCCTTTGAGTGAAGCCCCTGGCCACCGATTGAAAGCGCGCCATTATCTCGGTGATGAGGGCGTCGCGCTTCTCTTCCAGCTCTGCAAGAACACCGGCCCTGAAGAAGACTTTGGATAGACCAACGCGGAAGAGTGCCTTGTCGAGGCCCAGCTTCTCCAGCATCAACGACGCCGCTGCCTGGCCCTCCAAGTATCCCTTGGGCATATTCGAGCAAAGCACCTCGTACCGCTGGCGGAACTCTGCGAACGGGAGTCTGTTTGGGAAGCCGGTGCGAGCGATGCGGATGCCTTCCAGGACACCATTGCAGCGGAGTTGGTCCAGGACCAGGAGATTGTTGAATTGCTTCGGCCGCTTCTTGTGGTTTGGCAAGATGCATCGCACGAAATGGGGATGAGTCGAATGCAGCTGGGACATCAGGCTGTGCAGTTGCTCCTTGTGTCGTTGGGCAACCGTGCGGAAGAGGCCCTTCTTGACGCGGCTTCTACCGCCGTTCAACTCCTCGTCTGTGGCGGCACAGTCGGCGAAGAGGGCGGCAACATGCTTGTCGGTGGACGAGGCAAGCAGGCGGGTGATATTATCATTCATCGGGTCCTTGTTCTTCTCCAGCCACCCTTCGGTAGAGTACTCGACTTCGGCCGCATAGTGCGTCAGGATAAACCCCTGTCCAAGGCGCGAAGGGCGGTATTTTGCCGATTTCTTGTCCCACAGCGAGTTCAGCTTATCCGTGAATGAAGTATCTGTCGCTTTGGGCATGACGCAATCCTCATCAAGGCACGAGAAGACGCCGATGGGGTTGGAAAGCTCGATGAGGTCAATGGTTGGCTGCAGATCTCGGCCAAAGTCGATGAATTGCCACTCAATTTGCTCCCGGGCGTACTCTTCCTGCTCAAGGACAAACATGTGGTGGTTGAAGAACTGCTGCAACTTTTCGTTTGTGTAGTTGATGCAGAGCTGTTCGAAGCTGTTTTGCTCGAAAATCTCGAAGCCGGCAATGTCGAGAACGCCAATGAAGTGCGAATCGTCCATACCCATCCCCGCGCTGTCAAGTTGCCGGTTGATTCGGGAGACGAGATCGCCAAAGCCACGTTCGTAGATGCCCTTGGACAAGGCATCGAGGCTAAGCCGCACCTGATCTGGAGTTTGGACCTTTTCCACCCATTCGCGCCCTGCCTTGACCTTGGGATGCAGCAAGCTTCTGAGAAAGGGCTCTAATGGAACGCCGAGCAGTTGGCAGACTTTGGCGGCCTCTTCCTTTGCGTTGGGTGCTAGTCGTGCCTGGTCGGCGGCCCGGCTCTCCTTTACGACATCGATGTTCCCGAGGTGCAGCACAGCCGCTATGGTTCGGAGAATCGAGAGCTGTTCGTCGTCTGCAAAGCCCATGACACCGAAAGCCTCCAGGAGCGAGTCCCATTCGTCCTTGTCCGATACTCCGGCGATGCTGTCGTGGCCACCTCGAGTGTAGGTGAAATCTTCAACGCCGAGCCCATCAAGCAGGAGTTTGCCTTTGAACCGGTTATCGGCTCCTTTCAGAAGCTGGTAGAAGACGTGGTAGTTTCGCTCATGGGGGTTGATGAGAACAACCCTCGACTTCTCCAGGAGATACCAATCGATGAAAGCACCAGTGATGGCACCGTTGCGGTTGAACTCGATGCGAATGAACTTTCCAAACCGCGAAGAGTTGTTGTTCCGCACAGTTTGTGCATTCCCAAAGGCTTCGAGAATGGGGTTGGCTCGGAGAATCTGCTGGGACAGGTTTGAGTGCTGCGACTTTCCCCTTGCCGCCGTCTCCGATAGGGCGACGGCGGCTAGATACTGGATGACCTTTTTGGTGTTTTCTGTCTTTCCGGCGCCCGACTCTCCGGTCACCAGAATGCTCTGATTCTGCCCCTCCTCGACCAGGTTTCGAAAAGCCTCGTCTGCCACGGCAAAGATGTGCGGTTTGGTATCTTCTCTGCTCCGTCCTCTGTACATGTTGATGTACTCATTGCTGTATATGGGCAGAGGGCAGTAAGGGTTGACGGTGACGAGGAAGAGGCCGGAGTAGGTGTATATCAGATCGGCCTGATATCTCATGTGGAGATTGTGGACAACCGACGCCTCGTTCAGATGAGTCAACTCGGCCATATCGTTTGCCTTATCGAACTTGGCCGGGTTCACTTTATCCACACTTTCGGCGTCAACCTCGAGCTGCTGCGACAATGTTAGAAGCCATCTCGACCTGGCAGAGGAGGGCATCACTGACTGTGCCGTCATCTGTTTGAACTCGGATGCGGTTGTCTTCCAATTCATCGACTACCCAGCCCTTGACGAAGGCGGACTGCGGGTCCTTAAGCCACACGTAGCGCTTCCCTGAGAAGTCGTTTTCTCCCTCGATGCCGTCGACGGCGTCGTCGCTTCGCGCCATCGCTTCCATTTTGATGAATGACGGAGCGAAAGTACTCGAGGTGGGCGTTCCATTTCTAGAGCCGTTTCGGAAGTGCCGCGAGGCGCTCCCAAGCGCAAGAGCCGCCGAGCTAAACGAGTTATTGGACTGAGATCGGCTGTGGGAGGTGGGACTCGGTGTGCCAGGACGAGGCGCGGGTGACGAGGCGACTATGGACCTGGGTCTGCTAACAGACTTCGGAGTGGAGGCGGGCGATGTGGTTCGAGAGAAGGGGTTGTTGCGCCGTTGCGCCGAGCTGTTGGCGTTGTAGGACATTGCTCGTCGTGGGCATCAACAGCGTGTGTTCGTCATACGCGCGTGTAAACAAGACTGGAGAGCCAAAGGAAAACAGCAGTCCCCACGCTTTCGGATTGGAAAAGAGAAAAGGAAAAAGGATTAGCGATGAAGCACCAGCGCTTCTTTCACGACTGCAGACGCATGGAGGAGGGCAGCGGTGAGCGTTGTTGCGTCTGCGTGAAGGCGCGAGGGAGCAGCTGGCCGGCAGGCATCATCACTGCCGTTGCTGGGGAGAATTCCCGCTCCAAGTAAACAGACACTTGCACGTGACCGACACGGCATCTTGCTTGCGGCCTGGCCTTGGGCACCCTCGCGGCGCTAAGCGCCTTCGGGATTAGCCGCAGATTAGACGGGCGCTAAATCTAAGCCAGGCTCAAAATTCGTAGCCACGGCACGACTCAACGGAAACGCCACGTCCAACGACATCACCATCGCCCCTTTTCATCCGACAACCAGAGGCCGATCAGCTCGGCATCGCGTCATATTACTGTGCTCGCACAAGCAAGCTTCCAGCACGAGTCCCAGTCACCAGTGTCCCGAGACTCTGGACTGTGTCCAGGACCAGCCCGACATCTGAACAAGGCGACAGTCGAAAGCGTTTATTCATGCTCCGACCGCCAAGTGATGCGCTCGAACTTTTCAGTCGTTGACGAGAAAGACCGACCGGGCGGCGACCCATCCTATCATCACATACCATCTTGGCTCTAGCTCCAGTTTCGGTTGACCGAGCACGACGCGTTGCGGACCGTGGGGAGTGGTGCTGAATTGCTTGAAGAGGCCTCATCCCCATTTCAACTTCCAAGATGAGCCAGTCCGGCTATGGCTATGGCAAGCCCCAAGGGTATCATACGGCTCCGAGCTTCCCGAATCCATCACACTCGTCGTTTGCCCCGCAGTATTTGAACGAACCGACAGAAGTTGCCGCGCAAAGCACGCAGGCGTCATATCAGTATCCTCGCAATATGATACCAGGTTTGGGCTTGGGCTTTGCAGCCAGCGCCCCGGCTCAGCACGATATTTGGGCTGGACAGCAGGCTGATCGCTGGGAGCTTTCATCACAGCCCTCCCAAGCAGCTGGGCAGAACTACAACCATGGACCTCCCGGAGCCGTCAACTCGAAACCCCCCGCGAGCATCGATGGCGGTCTCGGCACCGCTGAAGATGGTTCAGAGGAGGGGGAGATAAGTGAAGGAGAGAATGGGGATCTTTACGATCCCCGCGAGGCTGGGCGTCTTGCAGCCACTAACGAGACCCAAGCCTGGGACCAAGCCAACGCAGACCGAGCCAACGACGTTCTAATGATGGACCGGCAAGACGCTCCCGCGGCTGTTGACAATCGTTCCTCGGGAGCGGCACATGCCGGATCGAACTGGTCTGCAAATCAATCCGGGCTGGCGAGCACAGCACGAGAACGCTCGGGCTCTTACTCGCCGTATCTTTCACCGCGGGAGATTGGCAACATTGACTCCGAGCAGACATCAACCGAGCAGGGCACTCATGGTATGAGACGCCGTGGCAAGATTTTTGGTCATCCCAGGCTACGGTTTGCTGACTTGGGCACAGAAAACTCATCCATGCCGAGCAACCAGTCCACGCGCCGAACCCTCTCGTCGAACCGAGTCGTTGACCCTCCACACTTGCTGATTGCGAAGAACGACACAGCTGGGCTATCACCCGTCAATGCCATCGGTACGGCGAAGCAGGAAGCTCGAGATGCGATTCTAGGTCTCTGGCCACTCAACGTACGTCACCAAAATTTCCTCGAGGAGGGCATCGACAGCGCGATCCTAGGTGGCCTTCTCAACGACTTGGGGCTGGAAGCCCAAGAGAGTAGCCAGATGCCTCAAGACACTACATTGAAGGACGTGGCCATGCTTCAATCTCCAGCTCCGCCCACCAGGTCTGGCTCGAACACGTCCAAGGTTCTAGCGATTCCCTCGCGGCCAGCACATGCAGAGACTGCAAAACCCCTCGACAAATCCGAGGAGCGCAAGGACCGGATTGCACGTCTTCTCGCCGCCAAAGGCTCAAAGCCTCCAGTCCCTGCGACAGCCTCGGTAGCTGTTCCAGCAAGCCTCCCACCAGCAGCTCCGGCAAAACCCACCCAGCCTTCACCAAAAGCGCAATCCGAAAAATCCAAGTTGCTTCAACAGAAAATGGACGCGCTGCGCAAGTCTCGGGAAAGTCTCGCTCGGATTCGAAGCAAGCAACAGACGCCCGTCAGTTCGATGGAAGCTGAAACCGAGGCAGAGAAACCGTTGGTTCCAGCGGCTGACTGGAACGCCAGTGAAGAATTGCCCAGCGTCCTGGAACCATCTACGCAAGAGCCCGGGTCAGGCAAGCCTTCACCCTCGATACCAGGTCTGTTCCTCTCACCCACCCCGCAGCTTTCGCATGAGACCGAGTCGAGCCAACAGCGCCGCCCTACCCCAGTCTCAAGCGACTCTTCTGCGAAGCCCATTCAACGACCCTTTGGCCAGCAGATGGAATCTCGGCCGTTCTTGATCAACGTTAGTGACGATGAAGACGATGCCGAGATGGACATAGACTCTCTCGGTCGAACCTGTTCACCTGCGAACCATCCTGGGACGCCATCTCAGAGAGCCGCTGCTGTTTTGCGAGAGTCGTCGCTCACAGCGAACAGTATGATGCCTCGGCATGCCGTGACCCCAGCATCAGCTGCCACACCTCCGAGAAGCTCAGGTAACAACAGCGGAGGGGAGGACTTGGCAAACATGAACAAGAAGATTGAAGCAATGAAGCGCAAAATAGCGGAAGCTGAGGCGCGGAAGAAGACCAAGCGACTGAGACAGGCCTCCCCGGCCAACTCTCACCTTAACGACAGTTCTCGCGGTGGGAGTGTGGAGGCAGCAAGTACCCCGAGAGGATCTGTTGCACCTTTGTCGGCGGGAAGAAGCCAAACGCCAGTCAACAACAACCCGACCGAAACTGCTCCCGCCACCATGCCTCAAGAGCGACCGAGCCGTTCCAGAAAGGAGAGCCAGGTCTACAGAAGTGATAGGCGCAGCCTTTCTACAGCTGCCAGCGAGCGTCTACCATTAATCGAAGCTCGTCGCAAGGAGCAGCTCTTGAAATTGCAGAGCCTGCAGATCCAAATCGCTAAAGTTGAGCAGGAGATTGCAGAGGGCATGCGCGAAGAGCAGAACCTAAAGCAAGACCTCGTTTCTGACGACTCGGATCGTGACGAGAGTCATGCAGCTCCCCGGACGGCGCCTTTTAGTGCCAACGGCTCCCCCGAGGGATCCAGCGTCAACTATGGCAACACGTCGGCGAAAGCCCCGAAGCTCGACACGGCTCAGAAATCTCAGGAATCCACTGATTCCGAAGATGAGAACAGTGCTGCTGGACGCGTCGAAGCTCCACTTGCGATAACCGCAGGCCAGGCTGCCGTGACCCTCAATAAATCCAGCATACCTAGTGCGCAACTCGAGCACGACGACGTGGTTATGGAAGAAGCGGAAGACTGCACCGGCATGGATTCGGAGGAAGGGTCCGATGACTACGAGCCGCCCGATGCCGAACCATCCTCGTCTCAAGAGTTCGCATCGCCCTCATTGCAAATTGCGTCTGCCAACGAGAAGCATGCCTTCCCACAATTGGCCGAAGATGCCGCGGAAGCCGTCCCAACCCCGGCAGCAAGTGCGCAGGAGATCTCGGCAGATCAAACACAGCCTGCGCCCGAGATAATACGAGGAGAAAAGGGCGATCAACCAAGCGAATCTCGACGCGAGTATGAACTGCCGGAAAGGGCCTTTCAGCGAAGCCAGGGCTCGATCTTGGTGTCCCCCCAACCCCGATTTGTACCCTACGAGACGCCGCTGCAGTACTTTCGTGCGTTTCGGTTCCATCCCGAGTTCAGCAAGTATGTGACCGGAGGGCTCCGATCCCTGACGTACAGCAACAAAATCGATGTACGGAAGGAAGTGTGTCCCGACGAGCTGGCGGGGCAGGCGTGTCCTAGGGGCGGCCAATGCGAATACCAGCACTTTGGAAACATGAAGGCCCCGGGTACGTGCTACTGGTCTACCATATGCTTCGTGGACGATCACTGATGCTGATGAACGACGAGGCAGATGAACAGATCTTGCTCCAGCTCGGAGCAGCGGGTAACTACCAAGCTGAGCAGAAGCAGGAGTACATCGCCGGACTTCGACAGCTGCTCACGGATTTCCGCAATCGCAAGGTGAAGGACTTTGATACGATCAGCCGGGGAATCGTCGACTACCGCGCCCAGTTCCTCAAGGACAGGTCCAAGATTCTCCCCCTCAGCGGCGTCACCATTTGAAGGATGGTTGGCGCACTGCGTAATGCCGCCCTTGATATCTCTTGCCCACGTACCCCGAGCCCTCATTTTTGCCGATGAAAGTAGGCTAATCGAAGCAAGCGAGCGCCTGCCTGCGCGGCTCACGGAGCCGCTTGGCAACATTGAGCTTTCAGTTCCGACCTTTTTTCCCTATCAAATCTTTTGGAGGCACCAGGACGTAAAAATTCAGATACCCCGTCTCCCATGCTGCATCGCCCATCAGTTGGAACGAGATTTGCGCAGCGTGCTAGCGCCAAATCTTGTTTTATTTTGTTTCACCTCATCTGTGAGCCGGGACTTGAAAGATGCATCGAAAGCAGCGTCGGCGAACAGGGTCTGCAATGACAGGCCATGGGACCGAGCTTGGCGGCACGGCGGCCGGCGTCCCTACGTAGCCAGCCACCGAAGTGGTGAGGAGAGTCAGCCAGCAATCGAACAAGTTTTTCTCATACTGGAGGAGCATGTCTCCTGATACGTCCATTTCCTGGCCTTTCTTGGCCAAGTCGAGGTCGATAATTGAGATTGCATTCAATCGAGTTCCATCACCTAAGTCACGTCAGCCACGTAAGGACAGCCTCACGAGGTCGGCCCAGATGTCATGATGAGTCGACGAATGCACGTCCCTGTGACTGATGGACGGGGCTAGTCGAGACGGTCCTTGGTGGAGGCCTTGCAGCAGAAGGTTTGGGCGAGCAGCTCAGTCGACGCGTCACTGCCGGGGAGGCTCGTCCTTGGCCAGGTCAGCGACGTGAATGATACTGTACGTTGAATTTGGCCCCGGTGGAGTCGACCGACGGACACGGAGTTTCTCCCAAGCGCCCGGAAGCCCGTCCTGGTGTTCGCGATGGAGATGGTGTGCTCAGCCAATCAATGGTTTCATCCCAGTCATCACCGCCGTCTCTTAGCCTCACGTGAGTAAAGACCGTGATGCGAAGACTTGTGTTTTATTCGCAGTAGAATAAAATGCTAGTATTGGGCCAGTTCGAGCACGTTTGTTAAGGGTTTTGCTATCGAATGCTCGTCGGCCACTCCTGCTGTGGCTGCGCCTTCTCGGCAGCATCACCTACACTGGGAGCGTATCTCCCCGGGCTATCAAAACACAAAGACAAGTTACAAAAGGCGTCATCGACTGAGGAGCCGTAGACAGTATAGTCGCACAGGGGTATCACTGTTGCTTCTTCTCCGCTTCCCCGTCTTCACCTGCAGCCACGTCCTCTGCCGCCGCACTGTCGCCGTTCTGGGCCTTGGCATCGCCCGCCGCACTCGCACCTCTGGCGTCCACGTCTCCAGCCCCGGTCAGCGTGCCTGTAGCAGATTTGCCCGCCGCCGCCCGTCTCCCAGAGCCAGCCTGCTTAAGCTTCTCGGCTGCCTTCCCCACACGAGAATCTGCAGTCTCCGACAACGCGTGGCGGCTCGGCGGCTTGCTCCCGGGAGAGCTGCTGTCGTGCGGCTCTCTCGCCCGATGCTGGTGAACTTGCGGAGACGAAGGCTGACCGTCATTGCTGCCCGCAATGGTCGAGGTTTCGCTCTCGCTTCCCCGGTGGTTGACAAAGGAATAGCCCGAGCCTATCAGACTCTCGTTCCTGACAAGACGGTACCGATCGTATTCTTCTGCCGTATGCTCCGCGTTGGTGAAACTGTCCAGCGCATCAAATACATGTTGGAAGACTTGCTGATCGACGTCTCGAGCCCACAGGAAGTCGAGATGCTCGTAGTGAGGAATCTCGGTCGCCACCGTCTGGGGGGGCAGTTCTTTGAGCATGGAGCCAATGTCGACCAGGGAGTCGCTGCCGCCGTATACCAGCACGACGGGCGTTCTTATGTTCCGCGTCGGGTACTTGGCGACCTTGGAGTACTTTTGCGACGTGCTGACGCTCATTGGCTGGTGCACGTCGTCGTCATACATCTGGAAGCAGCGGTTGCGGATAATCTGGAACCAATGGACCACGCTCTTGGTGCTCGTGAAGGAGTAGAGGTGAGGATAGGCGGCCAATTTCTGGCTGGTCGAGATGTTGCTGGTTTGCCACTTGAAGAGAAAAGACAGGCACATGTCGATGAGGCGGCAGAAGAGGGGCGGATACACGAGCGTCTCCCACATGGTGGCAGAACTCAGTATGGATCGCCGGCCAAACATGAGGTACAGAACAGACGGGGAGGCCTTGACCAAGGAGTCGACGATGCCGTTGGAGAGGCCGGCGGGGGCCATGGCCGGGGCGAGGCCGATAAAGACGTTGACCTGGCTATTGAGCCGGGGATGGATGGCTAGAGTGGCAAAGGCTTGGGCGGTACCCTGGGAGAAGCCAATGTAGGACAGGCTCTTTTGCTGCGTGGTGTCAAGGATGTACGAGATGGTGTCGGGGATGTCGTGGAAGGCAAACTCGTCCATGGAAAAGTCCCAAAACTTTACCGACGTGGGCGAGCTGTGGATAGCCTTTTTGGAATACTTGTTGCCGCGGTTGTTTCCAAACTGCAACATGGGCGTCAGCCGTGTGTGGAGTCCCCCGAGACGAGAGATGGACATACCCAGACGTCGAAGCCGCGTTCAAGCAACTCAAAGGGCAAGCACCTCTTCTCGTCCGTTAGGCAGACCCAGACCTCGGAGTTCATGAGCAGGCCGTGGTGCAGATAGGCGATTCGCTTCCTGATGCTCGTGGGCCCGTGGTTGACCCTCTGGTCTTCCTCACCCCTTCTCCACTGCAAACGATGGATGCCGAGAAGGTAGCCGTCGGTGGTCTGGACGATGTGCTCTTCAGCCTCGTACCCCCAAAGACGACAGAGCTCGACAAAGTCGGACGCATCTCGGACCGAGGTGGATATGGCTAGTCGACGTGAGCTTCGCACTGGCGGTGGGGACCACGGGTCGGCACCGACACTTTCTCTTGTTTTCGGCTCTCTTTTGCTCGGGCGAGGAGAATCGGTTGAAAATGCGCCGCGAGGCTCGATAGCACAGTGACACGAGGAAAGGAGCTTGAAGGCCGGTCAGCGGGAGAGATGGGCCGGCACGGACAAGGCTTGCACTGACGCAGGGCAAGCGTGAAGACGCGGACGATGGCCTCGAGCCCGACGAGGAGAAAGGAGCCGACGAGAGCGAGGTACTCGGTGCTGCAACAGTCAGCTTGGGACGCAGCAGACGAAGGGGGTGTGTCCATACGGATGGAGCCTCCCGAGAAAAGGGACGGGCATTTTTGTAGGATTCGAGTCGGCTCGAGAGTCAGACGATGAAGCAGAAGGCGGCAAGCAACGCCAGAGCCATGTCGGGAGAAAGGCTTTTTACTGCACGGCTTGGAACCAAAGATTTGGTCCTGGGCGGTGCTTCCGACATGGAGGCGCACGGTGATGTCACATGCAAAAGCGTGGCTCGTGACGGGGTGTTAGTCAGCGGAAGTACCAAGTGCCAACAACTACGAATACTGCGTCGTTCTTGACAGTTGATATGATGCCATTCCTCGTCCTTTTATCATCTCTTGGTTTATCATCTCTTTCAGAGCAGATGACCTGGGTCGAAAGATTAATGTCGGACGCTCGTGGGATGGACAAATGGTAGAGACTGGCGCATAAAGATACAGCATCTGCTTGTAATACAAACTTTTGGAAACAACCGACCTGCTGGGAGATCAAGTTGGTTGAGTGATGTCATCGATAACGACAAGTGCACGAGTCAACACTTCGTTCGATGAGGAAGGAGTCCAGTGTCAAGCACTGACCATCGGGTGACGGAATGTGGCTGAAGCTGATGTTGGTTGTGACAGTTATTTGCTCAAGTGAGTCGAGTCTTGGTCTGTCAACCAGGTGTAGCGGCCGTCAGCGAGGAATACCATGTCACCTTCTTCATTGGTATCACACCGAATGCCCGGACCGTTACTTGACGTCGAGGAAAGAAAACCAAATGCCGGGAAATCAACCGCCACCCCACGCTCATTCTCCCGCCACTCCACGCTCTATTCGGACTTGGGGTTTGATATCTTGTCCACCAGCTTGGCTTTGGCTTTGCAGCTCATGTTCCCGACTTCTTATTTCATCCCTGATCTGGCGCGCATGGGCTAAAAAGGGTAATTTCCCCAGCCCCGGCTTCGAAATTGCATCCTTGTGAAACTCGCGGTTCTCGGGCTTCAAACGCGCTGCAAAAGCCATGGCCTTAAGTTCATTGCAGTGTCCGTATATATAGTTTACGTGGACGACTAAGTGCCGCCGGAGAAGGCAGTCGGGGGGCGACTCGAGCAGACTTTCGATCAAGGCGTCTACCAAAAGCGGTAGCGGAGGAACGAAGCCATCTGGAGTAGACGGACGTAGGTTTTCCACAGCGACGTTCCAATCCACCGCCGGCAAGAGAATGGTAGTAGTCGGCCCAGGCGAGTCCTTCAACGGATCAAACGGTTTGAGACCCGAGGGTTTCAGACTACGGTGGGCGATAGATGGATGGTGGCTCGTGAAGTGGTATTTCCCATGGTTGTTCGTGTGGGTGTATCCGTGACTGCGGAGCGCGCGTGCGGCCTCGTCGACGTCAGGAACTAGAAGAAAGAGGTCGAAGACTACGGTGGGAACACCGTAGGGGGCGATGGCGTCTTCGAACCACACAAGGCAGGGAATTCCATGGTCGCGAAGAAGCGTGCAAGGCTCGTACCTCCCCCGAGGAGACGTCATGACTGATGATGGCCACGTCGTGGTGGCATGGCGGCGTAGTGGTTGAAGGAAGAAACTGGGGACATGATCTCCGCTTTCACCGCCACGGGGTTTGCCGACACGCCCGAACGTTAATCCGACACACCCCACTTTACGACGACCAGCGTTCGAAATTCCCACTTCTCCCCCGCAACCGCCATCCAACTATCCCTGTGTCATGGGTGCGGCTCTGATCCGAGACTTGATCTTGAAATGCCAAACGCTCCGCAAAGATAAGTCATGATATTTTGGCGCAGTATATAGATGGGCGCACGGCTTTCTTCTATTCCTTTCGAGATCCGAGAATCGTTGCTGCTTTACCTTACGCTCACCTCGGGTGTTCCTCGTCCTCCATCTGGACGGCGAGCTCGTTGGTGTCCTGTTGAGCAGCCAGCCGTATACTTTCCATATGGCGTCCTCGTCTTCAAAATATCCACTCCCCGAGCAGGTACGTGCTGCCGTCGCAGCCGTCGCCACTGCTATGAGAGACGGAGGACAAACCTACGCCATCGTCGGCGGTGCAGCCTGCTCAGTTCTTGGATCAGCTCGCCTGACTGCCGATGTGGACTTCGTAGTTCCTCAAGGAAAAACAAAAGCTGCCAGAGCTCTATTAAGGGAGGCGAAGCACGAGTTCGCCGTTGAGAACAGACCAACCATACAATCTACCTGAGCACTCCTCCTGTGCAATTTGAAATCCTCACTCCTCCGGCTCTGTTTAAAGGAGAGTTTCGGACTCTACACCAACTACCATGGTCAACGGAATTCGAGTTCTCAAGCCGACCCTTATCTTGAATGCCAAATGCGCTTCGCTTCTGGGTCGAGCAAGCGAGATTAAGAAATCATCGGATGCCATCGATATCGGGTTCCTCCTGAACTGGTGTGCCGATGAGCGCATTTATCCGACTGCATCCGAAGTTCCTAATGCCACGAAGCAATTTGCGGACTACTTCATCGCCACCTACGGCGATGCCGACTCGTGGGCAAAGGCCGGGTACGATGTGAAAGCCGGTATGCAAGTTTTCGATCCTTTAAAGTCTGCGCTGATACCTAGTGCCAGGGAAATGGCGCTGAAATCGAGTCACCTCCAGAGTCTCAACTGGAAGACATGCAACCTCTGGCTGAAGTATCATGCTGAGAAGGATGTATGTTGGAGGTGTATGCTGTTGCTAGACAGCGCATCCCGACCGTAGCGTTATGTCCCCTCTTGGTCTGTGCTTTCATCAATAAAGCTATCGGTCACCTTATTCAGCCACTTTGAAGAAGCCGGACTGATTCCTTATATCCTGTCATGGGTTAGGCATGCACTTTGAAACTTGCCATGCAAGGACGAGATTCTGAACTCCACCAGTAGATGACTAGTCAATCATCATTCAGCCAGCAAACCATGATTATCGTTAAAGGGTCTTCCCATCCTTTCGAGTGCAGTCCAGGATTGCTTTGAATGGATCATGTTTTGTTGGAGCAGTGCCAAGCAAGTGTCAGGTCGGTGCTGGATTACGAAGCATGGACAAGTTTTCTTATTACAGGAGCAGCTCCAGCCTCAACTGCGAGAATCGCCCCCAGGCCACAGTGCCTGGCTAACGAATCTATGGGAACATTGCAGTGAATGTGTTGAAACGTCCTGATTATCGATCGACTTGGTAGCTTGTTAGGCGTTTACTGATACTTGGTCCTGACACAGTAAGCACCCTGCTGGTTGTGGTAAGACTGAGAGGGGACAGCTCTTGCATTAGTGAGTCTGTGGCAGCGAGATTTCCACTGTTTGTGCCCTCTCTACCAACCAACCGAATGCAATGTGCAGGGGTCGATCGGCGTCAGAAATATCACCTTCTTCTTTGGTATCCCGCCGGGGCTATGTTCACCCAGACAGACGGGTCAACCCCAAAGCGGAGAACACAGAGGACTTGTGCCGCACACTTCGGCGTCAAGCATTGACTCAAATTTCGGTAGCTATACAACGTCACTACCGACCACCATGTCCTATCGATTACTCGACCTAGACTTCAGCGACGGCGGTGCTCTGGCGCAAGCCTCCATGGATGCCTTCTACGATGACCCCATGCAACAGAGCCTTTTCCCAGGAATGACCAAAGAAGAGCGCGTCAAGGGGGTGATATCCCGATGGCCAAGCAACTACGCAAGCCTGGACAAACACTGGACCAAGGTCGTTGACGTCAAGAGCGGGGACATTGTGAGCTTTGCGAGCTGGGTCTTTGCCTATACCGACGTTGTGGGCTCACTTAAAAAGGTCCCTGGTAAGACAGCGTCTATTTTCCCTCTCCTCTCGTGCACTACAAACAGAGCCCGCCAGTCTGTGTAGCAGCCATGTGGCCCATACACTCGGAAAGAACACTCAAATCCCTTGCCAAAGCACAAGCTGAATGTACCCATCTCTGAATTCCAGAGGAACTAGCTCCAGAGTCATCGTCTGTGCCAGAGGGCTTAAACGATCCGTTTGCCATAGCCTTTACCAACGAAATCCGCAAATGCCGCGCACAACACCTTGGCCAACGACCTCAACTTCGTAAGACGACACACGTACCGAGCCTTGCTAGAACCTTGTACTGAAGTTGACAATGTCCAGGTCTCAACATGCTCGGGACCGTTCCTTGTCATCGTCGACGGGGCGCCGCCAGACTTCACCTTGAATGGGCTACGGAGCTGGCAGACAGAGAGAATATCTTTTGCTGGCTTGATGCTTCCCCAATGTCCGTGGACCTATATGAAAAGTTTGGTTTCGAGAAAAAGGGAACCGTCACGGTGGATTTGGATTTGAGTTGCGGTGGCGGCACTTATACGCATACCTGCATGATGCGTGAACCACAAGGTCACAAGATCGCCACAGGCATAAACGCGATGCCATAGAGTCTCTCTTTCATAATATTCGACAGCAGTAGCGATAGCCAGCCCTCCGCCCAACAGGTGGCAGGGTAGGATATGTGACCACAGCCAGACTGCACTTTCTACCGACGGAAGTCCAAAACCAACAGAAGAACCCACCGGGCTTGCTTAGTGGTATTTCAGCTCGAGACGTCCATCCTGAGCTTCTCTTCCTTTCTTCCTTGGCTCTAGATAGGCAGCACGAGGGCGCCTGCTTGTGGAATATGCTCCATTCCGGCCGCTTCAAGCCGCATCGACGCGGCCAGCTTGCGAAGAAGCTATAGGGCGAACTGGAGTCTATGTGTGACTATGCATGGCCATGTATGTCCATGTAAGGTTCGAGCTTGTATTATACGATTCGAAGCATGGCAACATAAGCCACAATAAGATCATTTTCCAGTACAACAGGGTTCTCGCTCGTATCTATATCAGGAGCGTAGAAGCCGCACGTGCCCAACTGGCACACGTAGTGTATTTTACGACCCTTTTCCCGACTGGCCACCTGTCTCCTGCTAGACACTCCACAGCAGCACAACGGATTGCTGGGGTCGATTCCTCGGTCATCTATGAAAGCGAGAAACTCCCCACAGCTAGTGCATTTGTGATATGGGCGTTTAGCATTTCCATTTCGATTTGAGCGTCGCGTGATGTGACTCCTGCTTGGTCCTCCGCATCTATGACAGGCTGGCGGCTCTTCTAGCGGCGGAGCAAGATCGGTTGTTACGCTCGCCATCGTATCAAAAGAGAGACGAGCCTGATTTTCAGTGAGCTAAGTTCCTTGACACGAGAAGCATTGTGGCTACGGTACCAGCTTGGCCGTGAAGAATATGGCTTCCAGGTCAGAAACGGAATATCGTGCGAGATTGGGGAAGACAAGTTGGAAAATAAGAGAAAAAGGGATGGTATTAATAACTCGAGCTGCTTAAAAAATAATGCGGCTTATGATCGACCATGCGATGATATTAGACCTGGAGCACGGCGAGAATAGTCTTGCCCTAAGCCCTAGGGTACTGAATAGGCAGCGGGTTCTTAGTCTCATCTGTGGCCTCAGACAGTGTAAGTGAGGCAGCCTCATGATGATGGTGGAATGAGGTCTCTCTGTCTGAGTTAGCCTCGTTTGCCCCTTTCCTCCCTCAGCGCCTGAGACACTAAGGGACGCGCGGTCCGCAGGCGCGGGTTCTGCCTAGGACTATGCATATAACTTGCATCGCCAATCTGCGCCTTGCTCGGGCACTCCAGCAACGTTACTGTCAGGTACATGTGCGCAAGCGTCGACAATGACGTCCAGCAAGGGTCGCTGCGCCGCCAGAGGCACTGCTTTCGGCACGTCGTTCCGCTTCGAGTCCGAAAGATGGCCGAGAGTAAGACAGTAAGACGTAGGAGCACAGCCCTGACTGGAGTCCATCATGTCAGCTCCGTTTCGAGCTACACAAGCAGCCGCATAAGCGGTCGGGTAATCAAGGCGGATCGTTGGAGAAGCGCTTATAATAAATAGAATCGCCACCCACCGTTGGTTGACGAGAAGTTGGAGATGCACTGCAGCTCACGAGCAAGGAACCTCCTCTCCAGGTAATATTCACAATACATGCAGCTAGCTCAAGGCGTATAGCCTGCTTCAGTATTTTCTTACAGATAACTTCTACTCGTTAAACTCGTTAACCCAGCAAGATGAGAATTTCTCACCTCTCGTGTCTCCTTGGCTGTGTCGGCCTATGTGCAGTAAGGGCCCGACCCCGAACTCCCTCTTACAAGCTACCTCTTACTTACACGTTGACGCAGGCTTCTCTAGCGCGTACGGAAAGAAGCTTCCACACCAATATCAAGAGGGCCAACTCGTCGGCCGGCGCCATGTTCCAGCTCAGCTCCGACTCCGACTTCCACTTTGAGATCCTCCGCACGATGTCCCTCTCACCGTACGAAGGTGCTGACATTGGTGACGTTCTCATTGCAGCCAACGAGATCAAGCCTGGAGATTTCGAAAGTTACTATGCTGCCTTTAATAAGCTTGCCGTCCGCGTCCACAAGGCGGCCAAAGATATTGACTCTCGCAAACACCCCGTCTCTGCACGGAACGCCCTCTTCAAGGCAGCGAGCTACTACCGTTCTGCCGATTTCTTCCTCCACGGCAACTGGAACGATCCTCGGATCAACTCGCTCTGGGCGAAGCAGCTTGCTGCATTCGACGACGCCATGGCATTGTTGCCAGTCCCTGGCGAGCGTATCAACTTGCACGCCAAGGATGACAATTTCACCACCCCTGCCATTTTCTTTGGCAGCGGCTTACCAGGCCCCCGTCCAACCATTATCATGTGCAACGGCTATGACGGTTCGCAGGAGGAGATGTATCACATGGTGGGCCAGGCAGCGATACAGCGTGGGATGAATGTCATTACATACGAGGGGCCAGGGCAGCCGACGGTTCGACGCGAGCAGAACCTCGGCTTCATTCCGCAGTGGGAGAGGGTCGTGACACCTGTCGTCGACTACGCCCTCACACGCCCTGAGGTCGATGCCGACGGTATCGGCCTCATGGGCTACTCGTTCGGTGGCTTCCTCGCGCCCCGGGCCGCCGCCTTTGAGGACCGTATCGCCGCTGTGTTCGCCATTGACGGCATCTACGACTTTGGCCAGTCTATCATGGACAGCTTCCCCACGCAGCTCATAAAGATATTCAAATCCGGCAACGCGCCGCTCTTCAATTCCATCATCGACAAGGCTGTTGCCGATCCTTCGGCATCGACGGCGAGGCGATGGGGCGTACAGCAGGGCATGTGGTCGTTTGACGTCAAGACGCCGTTTGAATGGATGTCAAGGGCGGAGGCGTATAACCTGACAGGCTTGACGCAGAACATCAAGGCGCCTGTATTTGTAGCAGATGCACAAAACGACCAATTCTTCCCGGGCCAGGGTAAGATTCTTGCGGATAAGCTTGGGAGCCGTGCTACATACCATTACTTCAAGACTATTGATGGCGCTGGGGAGCATTGCTCGGTAGGCGCGAGCGTAATGGGGAACCAGGTGTCGCTCGACTGGTTCGAGGATATTTTGTCCAGAGGAAGAGATTACTCCTAGGGGCGAAGCAAACTTTAGACAAGGTCAAGGAGGGCTGGAGAATCTTTCACAATTTTTACAAAGCCGTCTCTTGATGAATCCAGGCTTCCTCCCGGACCGCCTCTCCAAGCCCCAGGCATAGAAATGTGGTCTCAGCACATACAAAGACGCCAGTCGAGCTATATAAGCCCGGTAGTTGCATAGCTCTTGATGAACGCATCGTTCGCCATACGGAGCTGAGTGCGCTCCGAAGAGACAACGAGAGTGCCCAATAAGCTCCCGCTTACAGGTTACAAAGTGTGGGTTGTGGCCCAACGAGACTATTCTCTACTATGGCTCTGGCATATGCCCGGCGAGGCGGTGGGTCCACCGCGGCGCAATGAAGGAAGAGAAAGAGAGGAGTCCTCCAAGGGTTCAGTTTCTTCAATCCGTTCCGAGGTGCCGTTCTTGCCTCAACAAACCTCCTACCAAAGCAGACTTATCACATCTTTGCCGATAATCCCTTGCGAGACCACGGTCACGAACTATTAAAGCTATGTTTTGGCAACCAACCATTCAAAGGAGTCCTCCTGCCTACAGCAACAGCGGTGTATAACAATGAAATGAAAGGGGTCGATGTTGGTGACCAACTTCGACCCTATCGCGGGTTTGAGCATGCTATTCGTCGCGGCGACTGGCAGGCAAGCTCGTGTCGCTCGCGTTGCCGGGCTTCACCACTCCTCTCAGCTCCGACACCGCGTTCTACGACAGCAAAGCGCAAAACATCGATTTGACAAAAGTGTCCATACTTGATGAATCTTATTCATAATCGTACAATTTGTCGACACATTCATAGTTGGTCTGAGAGGAGTTGTCTAGTGTACAAATCGTCCTTGGGCACGGACGAAGCCGTCCTTCCCCAGCCCACGGTGGGCATCATTCCATGCGGCCAGCAGGTCAATTCCGTCGTTTGCGCTCAAAATCCGCAGCAGCTTCGAGTACGAAGTCAGCAGTCTCTTTTGGCCGACTCAGCATCGGGGAATGGCTGCTCTCAATCTCCCGCACCGTCACATCTGCCCCCGCGTCCTGCGCTGCCTTGACAAACATGTGTTGAGCCTGAGCCGGTAGCGCCTTGTCCTGCGTTGTAAGGAGAAACCAGCACGGCACGTCTTGCCAGCCGGCATAGGAATACGGCGCGCCCTCGTATAAGGACTTCAGACTATGCTTGGTGAGCTTGCTGACCCAAGCCGTGCCTTCTTTCTCCGGGAGATCGTGGTAAAACATTTCCCTCGGATCCACAACTATAACAACGAAGCCATTTTCTACATCATCCTTCCATTCCGGCGGCGGTTTGCCTCCCAGGCCGTCCATGAAACATCGTCCCGAGACGGTAAAGCCCGTGGCCATCATGGCGAGTCCGATAACACGGCCCGGACGGGAATCTTTTGCGGCGAAACCCTTGATTGCGCTGTTGCCAACATGGCCGCCGTATGAGTGCACAACCAGCACGACGTCGCGGCCTAGAGTCGTTTCTTTTACAATGGCATTCTGCACAGCCTTAACATCGTCCTCAAACGTAATTGCAGGGTCTGATAGGGTCGAAGGAAGGGTGACAGCGACGCATTTGTATCCCTTTGGCTCAATTTCTGCGATGAGCTTGTCCCATGTTTCTGGACGATGCCACGCGCCGGGAACGAAGACGAACGAACAATTGGGGGCCATGGTGAATCAGACTGTGGTTGCTTGGAAAGAGAAAAGTGCAGAGAAGTAGGTTTTCAACAATGGTGATTTCCATAGCTATGGGTTCTGACTCCTGAGCGTTGCAAATGAGCCCAGTTTCCAGTCCGGTTTCCCCTCGCGTGGCTCCGTAAAGTCCCGATGTGGTATGCCAGGGGGCCATGTAAAGCTTACTTCCCTTGTGCGCTTGTGGCCCGACACGTGCATCCAAGACACATCCCGAGGAACTACTGTACAGTTACTAACTTACAGTACTTGGTCAACCAGGACCCCAGCTTGCTGGTCACCTGTCGTCAGTTGGATCTGGTCCGCGGCGTCGACGCTAATGGACTGTTCCTTATCATTTGCCCAACATGTGTCAGTTCATGACCGCCGGCCGGCATAAGCTTCAGACACTATCGGAAGCCATCTAGCTGCTTCGGGAACCACACACGAGACCGGGCCGGTCCTCCGCACAGATCAAACACTCTCAAATGCCGCAGTTCCGTGGAAACTTGGCGGCCCACATGCAACCCTCCGCCGATCTGCGCTCCTCCAGGGATCCCCCCTGGCTGAAGTCGATATCAGGGCTGAAGGAATTCGTTATCTGACGATTGCTAATGGTTCTGTGATAAGTTAACGTTGGTACCCAAGGACTCATGCTCGGTAGACGTCCTTTACGTCGGCACCTCGTGGATGGAATTTATATGAAGCAGTGAATAACGTCTGCTCGTAATTGGTATACCCTTCATTCTAAGCGGTTAGTCTAACGCATTGCGATACTTTAGCATTTAGACATGCTTTACTAGCGCGTATCATCATCAACTAGGCCGGGTTCAACGGTATATACTTGGGATAAGCACGCTCTACGAAGCAACGGTAGACGAACCCCCGATGAATCAGATTGGCCATGTAGAGCACAAGGAAGAGCAATAGAGGCAACCAAGCTGTGCCTGCCTCTGCCTTATCATGAGCAGTCAGGTCGGGCCATCCAGTCTCTGTTTGCGAAGCCTCGCCTACACCTGACGCGGGCTTCTCACCGAGGGCTTTGCTTCCGCGAGCTCAACCGCCACCAATCAGACCGCCAGACCCGAAGCCGGCTGCGCCATGCCGCGCGTACATGCAAGGTGGTGGGCGCTAGCTCCGCTCCCGGCGGTCCCAGAACAAGCAGCTTGCATCGCCCATGGCCAGGGGTTCAGGACCAACCACTCCGCCTTCCTCTCGTCGGCTCACTCATCACTGGCGATATTTCCACCGAGTTTACCGTGTACCACCTGTTGTCGCCCGTCTTCCTCCACCTGGCATGGCCACCCCCAAGATCAAGATCGAAGACAACAGCTTCAGAATCGGAGCCAGCCGCGTTGGCAGTGAGCAATTGAACCCCACGGACACGAGCAACGACCATGCTGGCGGCGTCTACTATGGCCGCGACCTATCCCGCGCTGCCACCGATCGCGCCAGTCTCTCGCGCTCCCGTACCCTCGATATCGAGGCTGATGGCGACGAGGGAGGCGATTGGCGCCGAGATGGCGACAGGAAGCAGGTCTTCAGGGGCAAGACTCTGCTCTGGTCTGTTTCTACATTGAATCGTGCCGGTGCCGGTGTCTCTGACCTTTTCCACCTTCAGGCTGGCATATCAATCCATTGGTGTCATCTATGGAGACATTGGAACCAGGTGCGTGCAAACCGCATGCCTTTTGATATCCATCTTGTGTTCACACTCCGTTAGCCCCCTATATGTGTACTCGTCGACCTTCTCAGCCACTCCGACAAGGAACGAAATCATCCAAGTGCTGTCGCTCATCATCTGGTCCCTGACGCTCATAGTCACAACTAAATATGTCTTCATCATTCTTCGTGCTGATAACGAAGGCGAGGGCGGTACCTTCAGCTGCTACTCTCTCCTGACCCGATATGTGCCTCTCTCCGTCAAGCCCAGCGTCTACTACGCTCGACTGACATTCCAAAGGCAAACATCGCCGGCAGAGATCCGCGAGAAGAAGTTACAGTTCGGATGGAGCGACACAACACCCAAGATGTCCGCCCTTCCACTCGGAGCATCCGTAAAATCATCGAGAACAGCAAGTTTACTCGTGCCTTCCTGAAAACGATTGGCGTTTTGGCCGTCTCCATGGTCATGGCCGACGGCGTCCTCACCCCAGCTCAGTCGGTCCTGGGTGCCATCCAGGGTTTATCGGTTGTGAAGCCCGACATCGGCACACCAACGATTGTCGGTACCAGCTGTGCCATCCTTGTTCTCCTCTTCTTCATCCAGCCCCTGGGGACCACGAGAATTGCCTTGGGTTTTGCACCCATTGTCATAGTCTGGCTCGGGCTCAACGGCTGCTTCGGCATTTACAACCTCGCCAAGTATGACTGGACTGTCCTCAAGGCCTTTAGCCCCTCCTTCGCCATCCAATTCTTCGTCGAGCACAAGACTGAGGGATGGAAGATGCTAGGCGGTGTCCTGCTCGCCTTCACCGGCGTCGAAGCCCTCTTCGCCGATCTCGGCGCATTCAGCATGCGCGCAGTGCAGATGAGCTGGCTTTTGTGGACATTTCCGTGCCTGCTACTCGCGTACAGCGGACAGGCTGCTCACCTTGCTCTCATGCCTGACAAGTACACTAACCCCTTCTTCAATACCGTCCCACCCGGAATGCTCTACCCCAGCTTGGTTCTTGCCATCTTGGCTGCTATTGTTGCTTCGCAGGCTATAATCACGGCAACGTTCCAGGTAATCATATCATAGTCCGGCATTTGCTTTCGATTTGGACAGTCATGCTAATGTTCTCGCAGCTGATCAGCCAAATAATGAAGCTCTCCTATTGCCCTCAGGTGAAAGTGGTGCACACATCTATCAAGTTTCATGGCCAGCTGTACGTCCCTTTCCTCAATTGGATCCTCATGCTCGGGACCATTCTCGTGACCGCCGTCTACAACAACACCACCAGCCTGGGTCATGCTTACGGCGTTTGTGTTATTTTCGTCACCTTCTTCGACACCCTTATGGTCACGCTGGTTGCCATCCTCGTCTGGCGTCGTCCAATATGGCTCGTATGCATGCCGGCTCTACTCTTTGCTACCCTCGACGGGCTATATCTCTCGTCGGCCCTTAACAAAGTACCCGATGGCGCCTGGTTTACGCTTCTTCTCTCCGCCATCTTGGCTGGCTCCTTTCTGCTGTGGAGGTTCGGTAAGGAGAACCAGTGGCGCGCCGAGGCCGAGGATCGTTTCCCGCCCAAGAATCTCGTCACGAAGACTGAGGACGGGTCATTGGCGCTGACTCCTCGCTGGGGTGGCATCCCAATTTCTACCGTCGGCGGTTTCGGCATCTTCTTCGACAAGACTGGGGTGCTAACTCCGAGCGTTTTCACCCACTTCATCTCCAAACTGGGCACAGTGCCAAATGTTTCTGTCTTCTTCCACCTCCACCCGGTCGAGACCCCATCTGTCGCCGACGAAGAACGTTATCACGTCTCACGATTCACTGCCATCCCGGGCTGTTACCGCCTCGTAATCAGCCACGGCTATATGGACGAGGTCATCAGCCCAGACTTGGGTATTTTGATTTACGAACAGGTACGCAGGTTCATCATGAAACAAAGCGCGGCCAAGCCCGTCGCTGCCAACTTTGCCGCCGAAAACGAGTCAGGGAACAATGTGACGTCGGGGTCCGTCGAGAATGCGGAGGACCTTCCCGAGCCCATGAATGAGAGGCTCGAGGCGGAGTTGATGAGGCTGGATCGCGCATATTCACAAAAGGTACTGTATATTGTGGGCAAGGGTCAAATGCGAGTCCGAACGGGGACGAGCATCATGAGACGAATTTTGCTGGTAACCTTTCTTTGGTTAAGGGACAATACCCGCGCAAAAGTTGCGAATCTGAGGTTGACAATGGAGAGAATTGTTGAAGTGGGGTTTGTGAAGGAGATCTGAGTTCAACCAGTGCCCGGTGCCTGGAAAGATAAACGAGTTGTTAGAATACACGCACGTCCAGTTACTAAGTCTGCAGGAAACATAGCCTGGTGTCAGTCTGCATGGGTTGGCATTGCCTACTAATAATATGGCTCGTAAACATAACTAAATATAACCCGTCCGGTTAGTAGAGTCAAAGGCCTTATACGAGGAGTTTCTTAACTGGAATGCTCCTTTGGGTCCTGCAGTCCAACTATTGGGAAGTCTAAGTTGCGAAATTGTGCTAGGCATGGCTGGCAACGCGCAGTCCATGTTGGAATTAAAACCCTTCTGAGAGTCCGGGTTTCTGTCGCAGACCGAGCTGGCTTATTCGACAGGAATACTGGCTATGCCTTCTAGTAAATGCCCGCTCGTCGCGAGGGAGAGCTGAACGACTTCGTCGCTGACGCTAAGCAAGACGGACAAGATGTCGCCGAGCTGACTCCACTGGGCCTTGGGGCTCGGCACTTAAATCTGATCCCGTCTTGGTAAAGCAATTAAGATACGGGCAGCTAGGGATGTAAAGATTTGTTGCAGGATTGCTCAAGGGAGAGGTGTTTGCGAGAGGTTAGGAGCAGAGGAGAAGCCGGAAGAGGGATTAAAATTTGGTCGATATACGTAAACCGATGCCTCTGATGTGTCTCTCTTCGACCTCCCAAATGACTTTGACAATCGGGTCTCATATAGCGTATGGCTCAAGCATATAAACATACATATCCATCTGGAGAAGCCCAAGCTGTATTTTGGACATGCTATAAGTTCAAGTCTCAATATCGAAGCCAATTCAATGAGTACCAACCCATGATGTTCTCTCTCATCTCTTACTCTTGGGGTGAATGGGGAGGGCTGAAGATATACCGCACAATACTTTATAGGCTCTTGCTTAACGAAGTAGCGCTAGCTCGCCTTTATGGCTGTGAGCTTAACTGAGAACGAGTGACTTGGCTATGACGCGGCAATGGAATATTAATGTTTGTAGCTACGGGATCCTGAACATGAGGGTGCGAGCCGCCTGATTCTGCCATCATTCATCTGGAGGTTATCACAAATCATTACAACACAACCCCTCAGCTGGGGATTCCGACATACGACTAGTAATAATCCTTCCTGACGTATTTCCCGTTCTTCTTCTCCATATCAGGAAGAGGCAGATCCTCCAACTTATCTTGAAGTCCTTCCAGCTCACGCTTGAGTTTTCCCTTCCGCGCCAGCCAAAGATTGGCCTCCTTGTGCCAGGCCTGCCCATCCTTCATATCGAGAACATGGGTCTGGCAGAACCTGGCGATTCTGTGTTCCGAGTGCGGGTCAAGACTGGCCAGTGCATCAAGACAAGCGAGGGGTGCAAGGAAATGGAGTCTTATGCTTTACACTCTTCATGCCGCTGCCTGTAGATGACCTCGCGCTTGGGAATGCTATTTCCTGCTTTCTAGAGGGCGTTTTGGAACCTGGTCTCGCCCCCGTTGTACGTATTCTTGAGTTCAGAGAGAGCGTTCCACTCCGTAGTACCCATTGTGATGTGCGAGAGCGTTTGTGCGTGATGGAGAACGAGAATCCGCTTGCTTTCAACACCCGGCTGGTGGGTTCGCCTGGCCAGTCTGAAATACAGCTCTGCGGAGAAGCTCGACATTTAACTCTTTCCTTCTGGCCACATAATGTCAACTCCTCGCCATGACCGCGTTATCAGTTCTTGGCTACTCAACCTCGGCTGCTCGCTCAGTTCAAGGACGAGCTGTGATCTATGTTATGCGCTGTAGCAGCAAGTACTGTATACTATACGGCATGGATTCAGCCCTAAAGTCTCGTACGCGAGTGATAAGTGATATCAACCGGCCTAAGAGGTGGCTGCGTGGTAGCGGGAACCCGGCAGGCCCGGCATTGGGCCTGTCATTTTCATTGTAAATGTAACAGCTGAGATGTGATGGAACCCCGGACGCAAGCAAGCAGGGGCTAATCTTTCCGACCTAACTCTTCCCTGCAAGCCTACCATGTACAGTACGTATGGGGGACGCTACTACCGGCATAAACACCGAAAGTATTCCTCCAGAATGTGTGTACGGAGTATTGACATAAGTTTACTGCATGTAACCGGGGGTAACAACATGGATGTGTCAACAGTGAATCTACCGTGGAAAGCGCTCTTTTCTCCTGTCGTCCTCCCGGTGTCATCGTGCCATCTAGTTTGTACGTTAGACTCCAATGATATATCGGCTTTCATCGGATGAAGGCTGCTGTCTGGTTGCCGTAAATGCCACGACACATCACTCCCACTGCCAAGCTCGGAAGCTGAAAAGACCCTGGGCCATGGCCTGGAAATGTTGCGTGCATTGTTAAAGACCTCCAATAGGTTATCGTGCAGTAGATTCGAGCGCCCGGTGGCGCTGCCCCGATCTGGGAAAAGCCAACCAGAGTCTGCCAGGCATCAGGCAGCTACTGCGTACCGTATGTGCACATGCCCGTCACAGGCGGAGCATCAGATATTGACTCGACTTGGATGCAGCCGAGTCTGATAATCAGTTATCAGTAGATGGGTGGTCAGCGAGTCCAAGTCTTGGTCAATATCCATGCGTCTCGTTGCATTTGGTTCTCGTAAAGCATGACTTTCTTAAAGATGCCTGACCAGTACTGAAGCAGAGCCGCATGAGGATACTCAATGAGGAGACCCCAGCTTGGCGAGACTAGTTTTCACACAGCCCGCTTTCCGCTGCCTCCAGGTGGCAGCTGGTAGTTGAAGCATCGACTGAAGCAAACTCTCCGCCGTACGCGAGTCTGCTGGGAAAATCACCTGCGCCAAGTCTCAAGAGCAGCTACTCGCTTTATTCATGCCGGCTTTCGTTCCATTGCCGCTGATTTCTCTCAATTCATCGGCCGAGCCCTCCCCATGGATCATCTACCCATTCCAGAAGGCACGCAACCGCCGACAGTGCCTTTTCTCGGACTTCCGGCGCTTTCTTGACGAGCAGTGCCCAGGTGGTTCGGTCATAGCTTCCTGGCCCAACGTCGCCCTCGCAATCGCGGCACTAGGGTACACCTTCCGGCGTGTTTCCGATGAGCTCTACGCAACAGTCGGCAATAGAGCGTGGCGGCAATAGAGCGTGGCAAAGCTGGGGCGTAAACAGGATCCTGCAGGCGAGACTGGAACGTTCATAGAGGTGTAGATCCCTGATTCCCAATTTAATAAGAGACAAGAAGCTCGATTATCTTGTCTTTGTTGGCTCGATGCCTCTTCCTCGCGCATTTGACAACCGACGAATGTGAGGTAACGGTCTGTCGCGGAAGAGTCCATACCACGGATTATCAAGTCGCGCACGTCTCGGAAGGCTGCGATTGCGATTTTTGGGACATGCCATCTGCGGCCGTGGAGATGATTGAGAATAAAGGGGGTCCGTTGGCAAGTTGGTCTGATGAGGAAGGCTTGCGGGTGATTGAGTATCAAGAGGACACATGTATGCCCTACGTCGCCATCTCGCACGTGTAAGTTGTCGTCAGGTTTGCCCTCTACTGTTGCCGATTCACCCATTATTTCTTAGATGGTCCGACGGCAAGGGAATCCGGGCCGCAACGCGCTGCCTTAGCTGCGGCTTATCCAGCCAAAGCCAAAAAGCTCTACTCAGTCCCGCGATCAGACACTCGGTCGCCGCTGTTGATCCCGAGATCCGCGCAGGCAGCCAGCCGTGTCAGGAGCAGGTGGTTTCGGGCAAGGTGCTCTTCTCCAAGAACAACAGGTGGTGCATCATGTAGCCTTCGGCTTGCTCCTTTGGATAGATTCAAGGATGACCAAACTATCTGGCTGAAATCAGGCTTAAAGAGCAGCTGTTGGTCGAGCTCTCGTGAAACATGGCTGTAAGGCGGCGATTATGCGAGTAGCGGCGTGAGCCGAGCATGTACTGTACTGTACATAAAATAGGAGGGTGCATGACGATGACGTGCACTCAGCCCACACGGAGGCAGGCATCTCTGACATCAGTCAGTGGACATGGGCAAGCAAGGCTGCATGGCCTCGGCTCCCGATCTTGGCGCTTTGGGTATGTAGTCTTGTGCAAGACACTCGTGGCTTTGATGGAGCAAGATGGGCTGAGCCGGTAACCGAGACGCCACATGAGCGTGAAGAGGCCGAGCAGGCCGGACGCAGACGTGGATTGCCGTTCATCCCTGGTTCCATGGCAGGACGAAGTTGGCGAGAGCGTGACTGATGGGGGTGGAGATTATTATTACGTATCGGGGCGGTGGTTGTAATCGATAAGACAACCCTATCCGCTATCCACCACGGCCCGCTTTTCGTCGGCCGTCTCGGGTCAAGACGAGGCTTCACTCGCCATCACGCACGCCTCGATTCGCATACGAGGCATCCAGGGACGGCACCCCGTCGAGCTGCCACGGTGCAAGATGCCCAGTTCCTGCAAAGAGCTACGTACGTCCCCCATCCCCTCTCCCCTCGCCCCTCTCCCCCACCCCCTACCCCGGGGGGGCTACCTCGTCATCTCCGCCCTGTTTCTCACCTCTTCCGTGGCACCAACAGGCGACGCCCTCGCGCAGTGCCTGCAAGAGTCCGACTGCGTCATGGTCCAGCGCCACTCGGCCGCCGACTGCCTGCGCGAGCCGCTCGCCGACACCCTGCCGACCAAGTGCCAGCAGCTCAAGAAGGGCTTCGGCGAGTGCAAGCGCGGCATGGTGGACATGCGCAAGCGCTTCCGCGGCAACATGCCCGTCACCTACTCGGCCGTCGAGGGCGCGTCCGAGGCCGCCAAGGGCTACCAGCTCTACGGCGGCAAGCCCGCCTTTGCCGGCGGCGTCAAGGAGACGAGCGGCAACGAGCCCATTCCGCCGGATTGGAGGGAGCTGGAGAATGAACAGTATCGCCTGCAGCAGCAGCAGCAGCAGCAGAGCGGGCAGAGCGGGCAGAGGAAGTGAGAGCGTCGGTGCATTGCCATGTGGCCGGCCTAGTGGCGCTTTGTCGGCTTAAAGGTTCTGCATGCTGCTGGTCCGCAACCTCTCCTCCAGACTCAACTCGACTCGACTCTACTCCAACGATTCCCATTGATGCCATTCGCACACTTGCCATGGTCCTGCACAAAGACTGTTGGGCGCCGGCTCTGGAACGCATCCCCGGCGTCCCCAGCCGCCCTCGTGGCATGTTTATTGCCCGGCCCTATTCCGCACCGTCTGTGGCCCTTGTGTGAGTGCCGAAGAGGCCAAGAACCCTTCTTTTGCGTGCCGCATCTTAGAAATAGCAAGAGCTTCATGTCGGGGCAGCGCCACCTTGGCGGCCGGAGCTATAGCGCCGGGCCTTGCGGTAGCTAAGCGCGCCAAGTATAAAATTAGTAGCGAATGGCGGCGCCCAATTGGCCAAAGACGGCGCGGGAAAAGAAAAAGAAAAACTCCGTATCCTCCGTCCAGTCATAATATCTGTACAACAATGGCCTCCTCCCCAGAGCCCCTTGGCGTCATCGTGCTGCTGCCCACGCGACCATTGTTTGCAAGCATGCACAAGCACGTCCAAGTCTTGGCGAAATTCTCACGCCCCGTCTTGCTCCCTCTCCTCTTGCCCCCCCTCCCCCTCGTCTCCCCCCGTATGATTACCTACCTACTTTCTCCCTCGGCCGATCGACAAGGTACAGGCGAGAGAAGACAGACAGCACCCTCGACAGGAACTGACCGCTTTTCTTCTCTTTGTTGGTCACCACGCGGCCGGTCCGTTCAACGAGTGCCTGATTCTCTCGCCACGACGCCGACCGTCGACTGATCCTCGAACCTCGCCTTGCGATTGATTAACCCTCGTCCATCGCGTCGACAAACCACCGCTCCGACACCGCCGCCCCGGAATCTCGTGCCCCTTTCGACCCCAACATGGGCGCCGTCATGGCCATATCCCAGGCGCAGCAGCGCGCCCTCGTCTTCGCCGCAACCTTCTTCTTCATCGCCAGTGTCTACCTCTGCACCACGCGCCTCTTCAACATGTCCTTCACCCACGAGGCCCTCGGCAGGCACGCCGCCACCGACACCAGCAGCAGGCCACAGCAGCAGCCGCAGCCGCAGCCGCAGCACGACGACGGCGACGAGATCCGCCTCGGGCCCGCAGACCTGCCCATGTCGTACGGCGAGTACCGCCGCCCCAACGTCGACGGCCTCAGCCTCATCGCCTCGCTGCCGCGCGAGTACGTGCCCACCCCCGGCAACGGCCGGCGCCTCCTCGTCGTCGGCGATGTCCACGGCATGGACGCCGAGCTGACCCGGCTGCTTGGCCATGTGGGTCACGACCCCGCGCGCGATCACGTCGTGGCCGTCGGCGACATGGTCAGCAAGGGTCCCGACTCGTCCGCCGTCGTCGCTCGCCTCATGGGCCTCAACGCCAGCGCTGTCCGCGGCAACCACGAGGACCGCGTCTTGCTGTCCCGCGCAGAGGTGGACAATGTGCAGGGCATCAGCGCGCAGCTGGCCTCGCCCGAGGCCGAGCGCCACAGGGGCCAGGCCGCGCACCTCGCCGTCGCCCGCAGCCTGTCGTCCGAGCAGGTTGACTGGCTGTCCAAGCTCCCCGTCGTCCTCGAGGCACACCCGCTCCCGCTGTACATTGTCCACGCCGGCCTGGTCCCCGGCGTTCCCGTCGAGAGGCAGGACCCCTGGGCCGTCATGAACATGCGCACCCTAGTCTACCCGCGCGAAGACCTCCGCAAGAATGAGAAGCAAAAGAAGAAGCAGGACCTGCGCCGCCGACAAGACGCCACCTCCGCCGCCGCCGTCGATGATGACGACACCATCGACAAGACCGCCCCCGACCCCGACCGCGCCGTCGCCGTCCCCGTCGAACACCGCAAGGGCGAGCCGTGGCCCAACGCCTGGAACCGCCACCAGATGCGCCTCCCCAAGCCCGCCCGCCGCACCGTCATCTACGGCCACGACGCCAAAACCGGCCACGTCGAGGGCAAGTACACCCTGGGCATCGACTCGGGCTGCGCCGCCGGCGGTGCGCTGACCGCCCTCGTCATCGAGGGCGCCGAGGACGGCGGCTTCAAGCGCAAGACGATGCAGGTGATGTGCAACAAGGCGTCATAGGAGCACAGGGGCTGACCTTGACGCTACCATCCACGGTCCGTTCGTCCCGGCTTGCGTCTCTTGAGCAGCTGCCGGCTTGTTTTTCGTGTCCTTTACTTTTCCCCCAGGCCTGTTGCTCTTTTCTCGAGCAGCGAGGTAGGTCCATAGGGCGGGTAGCATTATTCACCATGCGCGGGCGTTGGGAGTTCTTTGCGGTGAGAGTCGGAGTTTTTTCGCTTGACAAGAATTGGTGGCATAGTCTCAGGCGGCAACTTGATGGCCATGGGCATCACGAAAGGTGTCTTGAGGACAGGGGAGAGATAGACGTTCCTGAATACATTTCACTTTCACGCAGCTATGTGTCTTCCAGCCCATCCAAGGCCTCCCAACAGTTTTACACAGCCTTATGCTTGCTCTTTTGGCAGCTCTTGTCCGGCAACAAGCCCCCTTTTCCCATCCTCTTCCGTCACGGTCAAAGTACTTTGTATGCATTCGCGGATGCCCTCGACAGTGACAGCTGCGAGATACACTTACTCACTCCTGGCCCCGCGTCCCGCGCTGTGGCGCTCACGAGAGCTTGGCCTTGAGAATGTCCTTGAGGGTGACGGCGTCGGCGGCAAACTTGCTGATGCCCTCACGCAACTTCTCGACGGCCATCTGGTCCTCGTTGAAGTCGAAGCGGAAGAGGGCCTCGTCTTTGATGTACGACCGGCGCTCGAGCTTGAGGGACGCGGCGCCGGCGGAATCGAGCTTCTTGGGGACGGCCTCGTTCGAGTTCATGAGCTCCTCGAGTAGGTTGGGCTACGTAGCCTTCAGTCAGCAAACCAGTGCAGAGCGACAACAGGGTCAGTCGGTGGAGCGTACAGAGATGGTCAGGTAGTCGCAGCCGGCGAGCTCGGTGATTTCGCCCGTGTTGCGGAACGAGGCGCCCATGACGATGGTCTTGTAGCCAAACTTCTTGTAGTAGTCAAAGATGTTCTTGACGGAGACGACACCGGGATCCTCCTGCTTGGAGTACTCCTTCTTGTTGGCGACCTTGAACCAGTCGAGGATGCGGCCGACAAAGGGGGAGATGAGGTAGGCGTTGGCCTCGGCGGCGCCAATGGCCTGGACGAGAGAGAACATGAGGGTCAGGTTGCAGTTGATGCCGTGGTCGCGCTGGAGGATCTCGGCGGCCTTGATGCCCTCCCAGGTGGAGGCCACCTTGATGATGACCCGGTCCTTGGAGATGCCTTGCTCCTTGTAGAGCTGTCGCAGCCAGTGGTCAGTGTGTGGCGGAGATGCCAAGACTGGAGAACTTACGTCGATGATGTGCAGGGCCTTGTCGACAGAGGCCTTTGTGTCAAAGGAGAAGCGGGCGTCAACCTCGGTGGAGACCTTGCCGGGGATGATTTTGAGAATCTCCTTGCCAAACTCGACGAGGAGGCGATCCAGGGCGTGGTCGACCTTTGAGTCGATGGAGCCGCCCTTTGACTTTGCGTAGTCGATGGCCACGTCCATCAACTTTGCGTACTCGGGCTTCTTGGACGCGGCGAGGATGAGGGAGGGGTTGGTGGTGGCATCCTGAGGCTTGTACTTGCCAATGGCTGTCGGTGCCGGTGCGTGTAAGTTTCTTATTATGGAAAAGGGGGGGGGGGAGGGTTGTCGCCCTTTTTGCGAGGGGAGCTTGGAGAGGGCGTTGAGGCAATCGGAGACGGGTAGAGGGAGACTAACAAGCAAAATCACCTGTAGGACAGTTAGAGCGCGTATGGAGACGGGGAGGGGTGCGGCGGGGATTTACCAGAGTCGGACACGACGACCTATATGGCGGAGGATGGGAGCATCAATAAGTCAGCCAGCTGTTCCCATTCGCTGTTTGCCCGATACCCTCTTCCAGCAGGCAGAGGGCAGGCAGAGGGAAAATCGACGTCGTCGAGAGCTGCTCCGCTCGGCGACGCTCGACGGCGAAGCTCTCCCAAAGGAGGGGCAAATGCAGTCCAGATGGCGGGGGTTTGAACAGAGACAAGCGTACCGTGCCGGTGGCCTTGAGCTGATCCAGGGAGTTGGGCATGGTTGCGGTTTCTCGAAGACGGCAGAGAGAGAGCGCAGTATAAAGGCAGTGAGTGATGTGAAGTAAAGCCAAGTTGTTGAGGATGGGAGGTCTTGGGAGTGAATTCTTGGGGGGGATTCCTGCTACACCCGGCACCATCGGGCGGGCCACAATTATGACCTAATCAAGCTCCGGCCATCCGTCACCCACCGACAACGGAGACCGAGAAGCACACGCCGGCTATTGACTGCTTAGTCGGCCTCATTAATTGCCTCGCCACCATCGTCTCCTTTTTCTTCCTTGTCAGATGATGCCCATACCCGAGTAATTGAATGCCATGGTCTTTCATATTTGAACCCCCTTTTCGACAACTTTATTGCGCAATCTGGACGAGTACGGGCTGAGGAGCGCTTCCGCAACCGGTCACCAGGCAGAAATGTCACCTTTTGCAATGCGCCGCGGCTTCATCCAAACCATCGCTGCGCAAGGCTTACAAACCACATCAAGAATAGGCGGAAAACCCGCTGTCACTGCTTTACACATACAATGAGCGGCCCTATTTTTATTCACTCTCTAGCCCCCTTTTCCCACTCGCTTTAACCTGCTACTCCTCCTCCTTCATCGATCATAACACCCATAGACTCGGACCTCCTTCATCACAGTTCCCGTCTCTCCCCCGACACTTGACGCTCCCGCACGCAAAACACCCCCCTAGTCCTCGGTAATGTCGCCATACTCCCACATGCCCAAACGGTCCTGCTTCGCCTGGCTCTCCACCTCCCGCAGGTGCTTGAGGTACGACTCAAACGCCTTGCTCCGCTCCCATGCCTTGAGCTTCTTGGGCACCATGCCGTATCCATGGGCCACCACCTCCTTGTTGATCGAGTCATTGAGCCCGGGCAGCTCGCCGTTTGACTTGGCGTCGTACAGCGTCACGTAGCTCACGCCCTCCTTGTTATCCACAAAGTCGAAGCTGCCCACCAGCCGCTTGCCCTCCGTCAGCTCCGCGATGAAGCCCATGGCGTCCTGGAAGTAGTCCGCCCCCGTGGGGAGCTGCACAAACGACAGGGATGCGTCGAGCGCCTGCGCCTTGAGTTTTTGCGTTCCAAACTGGGCCTGGCTCAGCGGCCGCAGGCTGGACCACGCAACCTTTTCCGAGTTGCCGTAGTCGACGTACATGACCTCGGCCATCTTGGCCGTGCGGTCGTTGGCGCGTACGCGAGCCCGATACCATTGACCGTCGGCCGAGAACTTGGCCGACACAAACTCGCCTGTCTTGGGCGCGTCCGCCAGCGGCTTGTTGTTCTTGGAGTCGAGGTGGAACTTTCGGAACTCGTTCATCAGCGACTCCAGCGCCGACGTGCCCTTGCCGATTTCCTGGATCTTAATCTTGCCATTTCCGTCAATGTTGGTCATGACCACGTCACGGTAGTCGGTCGGCTTCTTGTCCAGAGTTACCTCGGATTCTGGCGCGGCCTCCTCGGCGGCCTCATCCTCGCCATTCTCCTCCTGCGAAGGGTCGTAGTCGTGCCAGAGGCCCTTCTTGCCCTCCTTGGCCCGCGTCTCGGCGCCAAACAACTCCGTCGCGTTGCCCGACTTCTCCGCGGAGTAGGCATGGACCGAGGCGAGACCCTCCTCCAGCAGCACCTTGGCAAAGTTCTCGCGGTTAATGTACAGGTCGCCGATAAAGCCGCCCACCTTGTCCATGTCGTGGATATCGACCTCGCAGTCTCGCTGGTTGCACCTGCGGTTGGCCAGGTCAATGGCTTCTTTGCCGAAAGGCTCACCGCCTTGTCCATCCGCCCGCGGAGCTCGGGGAGCGCGAATGCCGCCGAGCACCATGGTTAGCTTGACGTTCTCCCGGGGGATGAGGATGGTGAACCGAGAGCCGGCCTTGCAAAAGTCGACGATTGCCGGCACCTTCTTTTGCCGTTGCAGGGTCGCAAGCATAATCTTGGCCTTTTGGGCGTTTTCAGACAGATCCGTGTACTGTTTGGCCTTCTGCGGCTTCCCGGACCACATGCCCTTCTTCTCCTCCTTGGCCTTTTCCTGGGCGGCAAGGAGCTCGTCGTAGTTGGAGGCTCTGTCAGTGTCGTCCTTTCGGTGGCGAATGACGGAAGCCCAGCCAGCCTCAACCAGCATCAGGCCGACGTTCTTGCCCTTTTCCGTGACGGTGGCGACGTCTCGGGCATCGAAGCCGTCTGCGGCAGGCTTGGTCCCGTCGACGCTGATCTTGACGTTCTTTCCAATCAGTTTTGAGCGCAAAAACTCCTTGGCCTCGTCCCGGAACGGGCTTTCGGAAGGCTCTCCGGCCCGAGGTCCGCGCACACTGCTGAAGCTGATGCGCTTCTCCTCGGTGCCGGCCTTATTCTTTACGAGGACCGAGTCGGCGCCGATGATCTTGGAGACGGTCATCTCCTGATTGCCGCCGTCGGCCTTGGCAACATGATGCTTGTGGATACGTAGCTTCTTGGACTGGGCTTGCTTCTCCGCGGCACGCAGAGGCGCCATCTTTTCGCCCAGCATGGTGGAGTGGAAGTCGTTGCATCTGGCCAGACCGTCCTGCAACAAGAACTCGGCAATGTTGCCGCGTGGGTGGATGATGTTGGCAACCAGCTGCCCCTGGGGGCTGGCGCCGACGATCTCGACCTTGACCTGGCGTTGCAGCAGTCTTGCCTCGACAAACTGCCGGGCCTCGTTTCCGTACTCCTCAGCCGGCTGCACGGCGCCGGTAGAAGGCAGGGTTCTTTCCGTGGACGGGGTGCGGATGCCGGCAATCAAGGTTATGGGCTGAACATGCTTCTTGTCCGAAAGCAGCAGCCTCGCGACCAGACGGTCACCGCCAAAGACTCGCTCAATGACTCCGTCGACAGTCTTGCCTTTCCACTCCTTCATGAAATCAGGGCCGCCAAGGTCGTTCTGGACCTCGATGATGCCGCCCGAGCCGGCCCACAGGCCTTTGCTCTCGCCCTTGGCCGCGGACTCGAGCGAGCGGAGCTTGTCAACCCTCTCCGAGTTCTCCTCCGACTCTTCCTTACGGCCGGCATCGTCACGGACCTTGAGCCAGCCAGCCTTGACCGACTCGTCGGGCAGGTCGGCACCATCCTTGAGCTTGGCAGTGCCAAAGTCGCGGCCGGTGGTGGGGATGGTGTACAAGACGGTGCAGTGGACGGGCTTGCCGACGGCCAGGTTGCGCAAGAACTCGCGGGACTGGAAGGCAAAGGGCTCGTCTCCGTCTCTTCTCAGGTGGGGAGCGGAAACGTAGGCTAGCGAAAATATTCGTTCGGCCGCGGGATTGTTGGGGCTCGTCAGGACCAATGTGTCGCCGCTGAGGACGCTCTTGACATTTCCGATGAATGTCGTGGACATGATGGCGGGCCGGCGATCAGGCAGGGGGAGGCTAGCACAAACGGGTCAGCCCAGCTGGCGATTGAACAACGACGCCCGGAGCAGCCGGGCCGGGGAATTGCATCAAGTCTGGGACGTCGCAGATGTCGCGGGACAGACAATCGGCCCATTGTTGATTCGTGGCGTAACAGACGTGAGGGTTGATGAGGAAAGCCCCATCTACACGGAGGCCACCGCCATTTTGACCTTGGAGAGGCATGCGTGCCCAAGGGAGAGGAACTCAAAGCATGGCGTGTGACTTACTTGAAACTGGAGGAGAAGACGACGACAGCTGGATGGAGGGGGGGTTGGCAGACGGGATCCAGCTTCTCGGGCGAGCTTGAGGATCAAAGGTTTGGGTAGAAACGGGAGCTCGACGGCCGTTTTGGCAAGGTGTCACGATTGGCGGCCCCTCGCCGAGAGCAACTGCCACTTCAACTGCGACAGTACCCCAGCAGGGGTCCACTCGAGCTTCAGGGACAGCTGGCGACCCAAGGCACTGCAAGTACCGGGTGGACCTTGGCGGTGCAATACCTCTTCTATCTGCTGCCGCCTTTATTCTTCGGGCTTGTGTGTATTTCTTTCCGCCAAGCAAATCCAAGATGAGACGTAATACTGGTCCAGATGCCTGGAATCCACTCCCCCTAATGATTGCGCAGAGCATCGAGCGCAAGGCAGAGCCATTGTAGGTAATGCCAACGCGGGGCAGCCTGAAAAGTCTCAGATGAGGGGCAGATATTAGAGATGGCTTCAAGCTCCCCACGACTGCAAGACGAGGACAATCTATTCCATTGAATAGTAGAGCCTGCGAGCAAGCTCAAACGTGCCATGCGTGACAGTTCATATATCTTTTTTATTGATCCGTGTCTGGCAATCCGTTCGTGACAGAAAGGTCTCCATCCCTGGACCATCGACAGCTACCGGGTCACTCTGATGTAATCACAATTTTACCCCTCACCGTGGCATTCACATCAACGGAGCGCTGGCGCCCGTCTTCCGTCAAGTCGGCGAAGCTGACATGACTCAATTCTCTGCACCGAGATGCGACCTATCTTGCAGCCAATTTTACAAGCGGTTTTCACAGGGCATCAAGTGTTGTCCCGAGGTCAATGTTCCAATTTTGGCCGTCCAATTTTTGCCGTCCAATTCACACCTTGCCTTAGCCGGAAATGCCAATGACACCTAGCACAGCCTTGTCAGTAAAGCTGTCGAGCATGGGTAGATGAACAAGAGACGAACCGCAAGCGGGCCGACCGCCGGCATTGCCAGTCGCAAGAGACTGCTCGTGGCCTCCCTTGCCGAGGTCGTCGGTACCGTCATGGATGACGACGGTGCGCTACGTGGACGCGTCAGCCATGGATCCAGGTGTAACGTGAAACGCCTTTTAAACTTACGCCAACGACGCTGTGAGGGCCAATGAGCTTGATCTGCGGGTCTTTCAGGGTGCCACTGGCGACGCCGTTGCCATCAGTCTTGACATTGCCCATGTCGCCGACATGGCGAACGTCGGCATTGGGAGCGCCGTGTTGCTGGTTGAAGGGGTTGACTGCGACACCAGGCCACGTCAACGTCAAGGGAGTCGGGTCTGCCCGGGGCGACGGGACACTCACAGTGAGGGCCGGCCGAGGTGCAGCCGTTGGTGTTGTCGCCAAAGGTGTGGATGTGGAAGCCACGCTCGGCATTGGCGTCGTTGCCCGTGATGTTGTAGGTGATCGTGGTGGGCGCAGACTCGGACTCCTGCTCGAAGATGACGGTGCCGCCGACATTTGCATCGCCGCGGAGAACGCAGACTGCACACCGTCAGCCAATCCATCCTTTGCGTTTGAGGGTGCGTGGATGCGTCGGCGGTTGCAGGGGGGGCAGAGCAAGAGAAGTCCATCAAGGGACACTGCATGCTTGCTGAACCCATCAGGGTCAAGCCATTGGGCACATGGCAGCAAAACTCGCGCAAACCAGCTCGAGATAAAGGCTTCCCCTCTTTGCGGCGGCCTATATAACGGGGCATGCCGACCAACCCGCGCACACACGCCGTCTTGATCCCTCGGTGGACCAAAGAATGAAAGGATGACGACATACCTGCCTTGACCATGTTGACGGTTCTGTTGCGTACGGGCTTGAGAGGAAGACGGGCGGCAGTTGATGATGGTGATGGCGGGAGAGATGGAAGATGGAAAATACAAGAGAGGGGGGGCGTACTTTTGCCGGACTCGACGACCTCGGACAAGCTGTTCGCGGAGTTACGAGAGGAGGGAGGGGTTGCAACAGCGTTGCCCCTCACCCACCTCGTCATAGGCGTCTTATCCTTGCTAAGATATGTGAAGCTGACTAAGGCACTACCACATGGCTAAGCTACGTATTATTATCCAGGATCAATCCATGGCTTGAGCAGACTCACGCACACCTCCTATTAGACGACGAGACATTTGCGCCGTCTTCCAAAGCAAAGAGGCCTGAATCTTCTCTATACACGAACGGTTCTCTATAGAGGAACTGCCCCTTTTCGGACGAATAGGCCGCCCGCTCATAGCCGCACTCACTCCTTTACTTTCGGCTCACCCACTGATAGGCGATAGCTAATAGTTACTTAGTTTCCGGGAACTACATGTAGCATCCTAATCTCCGGATATCAAAATATCTACCGTGGTCACTTGCAGGTCTACTTAAGAGTCCAACAGGGAGGGTCTCATTGACGTGTTCCGCGCAGCGGTGCTTTGGCGCCGAAGCTTGAAGCAACTATGCTTAGCATGTTATATTGAGCAGGTGGCGTGCAACGGCACCTCACAATCCTGCCAGTTTTGTCCAATTACCCGGACTGGAATGTTTAGGATAAAAGTGTTGATCAGCCTTTGCACTATTACGGCATAGCTCACGCATAAGCCGGATTGGCTTCGCCTTTACCTTTAGGACAACACTTGAATACCTTGGGACAAGGCCATGCCCACGTGTATAAAGCGTTGTCCTTCACAGTGAGCGTGGCCGAGGCTAATACATAGCCAGTCGCCTCGTTGTCGTTTTCTCCCGGTGGCATGATTAACTAGAAATGGTTTACGCGAGTCAGATGCAAACTACGTTACTATGCTGAAGGGCTCACTTGCATTGCTTTGAGAATCCTCCATGTAACTTCCGTCCATCCTAAACCGCGATCAAGTATTCAAGGGAGCCTGCGAACAAGTTCTGCGGCTCTTGCTGTGGTATAATTTACTCGCGCTTACGAGCCAACCGGCAAGTTTCTTCTTCGAAGCCGGAGTATACGACACAAGGCTCGAGGACCCAACTTGAATCATAGTGAGCTCCGACATGGTGCTTAAACTAACTCAAGCCTGCCTTGGGCATTTATGGCGGACTGTCAACAAGGTTTCCCGCTGCCAGTAGGTACCTCACGAGCCGACCGGCTTTTATGACCGGCCAGCATGAAAAGCGAAATATTTCGAGTAATCGTCTTGAATTATAGCAGCGGCCTGTGTTTCCAAGTCACTGGCAAACAGACAAGCTGCCTGTCATCAGTAAATCGTCTTGCCCAATGCTTACTCCTACCACGCCTCGCGCGGCGAAACGGCCCAAGGAAATACGGTATGACTCGGTGCACATCCCCTGGGCGGCCGAGACCAAGGCCGATGATCAAATCATCACCAAGACACCAAACCAGACACTTTCGGGCGTTGTTGTAGCGGCTGTGAGGCATGGAGCAAAATACAAAGGGATTGTCCATTTCCATCATCGCCACCTCTACAGAGAAGAAGCTACTCGCGCCAATTTATGTCATCACGATACTTACGAGATGGCACTTGGCGGAACTTGGGTGAAATGGAACTAGTTGCTTGTGCTCAGTAGGGCTTAGGGTTAACTACCTGGGTAGGTTATCCTGCCCTCCGCCTTGTGGCTCTGCCAAGCACTTTAGCCGCACTTCCCAAGCCTTGGGCGTCGTGGAATCTTCTGAATAACCCATGCACCTTGAAGCCGGCGGCTTATCAAATCGCCCAGGGGCTTTTCAAGCCCGTCAATCAGAATGCTGTGGGTTGATCGTCCACAAATCGCATAGGCTAGACGTCTACATACCGTACCCACTGGTCAACCTTGGCATCTAACAGTGCCGGTGCATGTACGCTTGCGTAGGTATAATTCGAATTTTATATCCGGACGAGGAGGGTTGGACAATTCAATATGAGAGGGTTAGGGCTCAATGGCATGCCGATACGTGTAGCATCCATCATTCGTGAGGTCGACATTTCGTCAACGAGGTCGCGCCTCTATCAACCTCACCTAACCCTTAAACCCGGTCAGAAGGTCGAGCTCCTTGTCTCCAGCTCTCGCTCCCCATGCATCGACAAGACATGGGCGACGGCGCCACGGTGACGCAGAAAGCGTCGACGGCGCCGTCGACTGAGAGACAGGCGCAGCACCTCGATGCCCCTATGAGCACTCCAACGTCCCGCTGGCGACGGGACAGATACCCAGTGGCCCTCTCGTTCAACGTCGCTGCCTTCCTGCTTCCGGCCCTATATAGCACCCTGGCCAAGCTTTGGGTTGCTAGGATTGACTCCAGCATGGTCGTCACGATAGAGTCAGCAGCCTCTTCCTCTCCCCACCAACTAAGGCTCCCTATCCGCGACTGACATATTCGATTCCCAGCGTCTACACGTATATGGCCACCATCGCCGAGGTCATCAACGAGGGTCTCCCGCGCGTTTCGTGGACCACCATTGGTGACAAGTACTCACGCAAACGCAGCTTCTCGGTGCTTAGCGGTGCCATCGAGGCCGCCGTTGGCGCTGCGACGAGGGCTCTCGACGAGCCCGACGTTGCCCTTGTCTTAAGCTGTATCAAGTTTGCCGTAGCCGTAAATATTGTCCTCGATTTGCTGCTGATCTCAACCTTTAGGGTTGGGAGTTTTAGGCCGACGGTAAATCTACAGGCGGGCATCCATCTGGCCTGTAATCTCGCGGCTGCTTTCGGCGGCCTCGCTTACTTTTTGTTCAAGAACTCTGTCCGGAAAGGGGGGAGGGAGCGGGTGGCCCCCGGTCTCTGGGCCCTTAAGATCCTTCTTCGCCCGGCCATTCCAACCTTTGTCGAGTCGGCCATCCGAAACACCTTTTATCTATGGCTCGTCACCACCATTATCTCTATGGGGACCGTCTACGCCACGGCCTGGGGCGTCTTTAACACCATTCGCTGGGGCTTCGTCATGGTCCCCGTGTCTGCCTTGGAAGCCACGACCCTGACCTTTGTGGGACACAACTGGAGCCGCTGGCGGAGCGATATTGGCATTGCCACGCTCCGGCCCCGGCCGAGTCTGGCGTCCTTAGGTCGAATCGCCCGTCCTGCATTCGTCTCTGCCGCCGTGGCGCTCGCTTTCGAAGTGCCACTTTGCATCTCTATGTACTTTGTGGGCGCACGCTCCTTCGCACGATATCTAAGCGGCAGCGATGAAGTGGCTGAAGTGACCGCACGTATGTGGAGGACGTTGGACTGGTGCTACATCGTGTACGCCGTGTCAACGCAAATGAGCGCCATCTTGCTTGCAACACGGCCCAAGTGGTATCTATGGCAGAGCTTGGCTAGCACGCTTTTATACGTCCTGCCCTGGACCATCGTCTGCCAGGTCGCCAAGCTAGACCGGAACAACGCATGGACGTACCACGCGCTGACGTTTGGAGGGAGTCTGGTGTTTAGCTTTGTCTGCATAATGGCTGTCCTAGGACTGTGGGCGTGGACTCTGAGGACGGGGAGGGCGCACTTGGAACAGGTCAGAGACCCGTCCGACGGTGCTTAACGCGGCACTCGAGTCATCAACTTCGCGGCTCACGCCGCAGCCAAGCTCTTTTTGGGGGAAGAAGGGGTAGGCAGGGAAAGGGCCTGGAGAGGGTAGCAAGAGGCGTACAAGGTGCTCGAGAGGTGAGCCTTGGGCTCGGCACCTAGGTCTTGATCCCACGCAGCACTGTAGCGGCCTTTCCATCTCGAGGTACGATCCGACATGGATACCTCTTGGGATGGCTCGTCAAGCCGCTGGTCAGTTCGACTACCGGCTCAATGTCGTTGCCATCGTTGTCTCTTGCCTTCTCAATGTTCATTGCGCTCAACATGGACGCAATGACAATCCACAAGCTGGCCTCGGCCAAGTGCTTTCCGACGCATACTCTACGGCCGTAGCCAAACTGTCCGATGGGAAAGGGCTCGCCCAAGCCGCCCTCTTGTACCGGCATGTACCGATCCGGGTTGAAGTTATCCGGATCGGTATAGACCGACTCGTCATGCGTCATAGCCCGCGCGTTGGCGTAGACAAAGGAGCCCGCGGGGATGAAGTAGCCGTTGTAGACATCATCCTCAAGGGAGCGATGAGGTATGCCAATGGGGGAAACGGGGCACCACCGCAGGGTCTCCTGGACAATGTAGTCAATGTACAGCAGGCGAGGACGGTCCTGGAAGGTGGGCAGCTTGTCGCGTCCCACGACGTCGTCGATGAGGCGCTGTGCCTTTGCCTGCACTTGGGGATGAAGTATCATGTTGAGGATGAAAACGACCAAGGAGCTCCACGTTGTGTCCTGGCCGGCGGCGTAGACGGCACCGGCGGCGCCCTTGATGTCGTCGTTGGACAGCTCCGGCTGCTCTCCCCTTTCTAGCTGGAGCTGTCTTTGGTCAAGCATGTCTTTAATGAGCGACTGGGCCCTTTGCTCGGAAGCCAAGACGGCGTCGAAGGGCTTGTCGTGCAGGTTGCAAATGGCCCACCTCCAGTCGGTGGCAAATTTGAGCGAGCGGTCATGAAAGCAGCGCGGCATCGACTTGAGAAAGGGGAAGAAGTCGACTGGGGTTCCGGCGGGGGCGCCGCCATGGGCAAGGGCGTAGCTGGCGTCGGCAGCCACCTGAATGAAAGGGTCGCTGTCGCTGTCGATGTTAATGCCGAAGCCTATGCCGAGGACGACGGCCGTGGCAAATCGCCTCAAGGCGTTTTCCCACTCGGCAGGGCTGTTGAGGATGCCCTTGAGCAAGATTGCCGTCTCACGCTCCTGCAGAGGCTGGTATCGCACGACGCTGCTCTTCTGGAAGCTCTTCTGCAGGATGCGACGGTGCATGCGAAAGTCCGGGCCCCATCTCAGGAAGGTGAGAGTCTTGCCCCAGCCCATGACCTCGAAAAGGACAAAGCGCGGGCGGTCGCAGTAGTTGGCGCCGCGTTTGTCCAGCAAGTCGACGGCGGTGCGGACCGAGTTGAGGACGACGACGGGCTGCCCCAAGACGTTGAAGGACAGGATATCGGATCCATATTCCTTGGACCATCGCATGTAGGCGTATTCGGGGCTGTAGGCAGGTATGATGCGTAAATGGCCCAGGATCGGTTCTCCAGAAGGGCCAGGAGGGAGTGGCAGTGGGCTTCGCTTCGAGGTTGATCGGGCCAGGACCAACAGGAGGATGGCGACGGCGACGGCGACGAAGGCGAGACCGGAGACTCCCGTCAGTAGCTGAAATAGGGCCATGTCTAGGCAAGGATGGGGGCCCGCAAGCCGAGGGTGAAATGCAAGCAAACCTATGGCGAGGTGCCAATGTCGTGAAGGAGAGGGGACGGAGAGGGCTGATGGCAGGAGGCACTGTAAGCTCCGGGATCTTCAGGGTAGCAGCCATGTTGGACCCCAAGGAGACGTCGATGCTCTGTAGGTACAGTACCTCTACGGTAGTACTGTAATTACTGCAGTCCCCTGGGATACTACTAGTATCTTCAAGAGTCATACGACAAGGGGCCAGGAAGGCATGTACTTTGTGTCTGCAGTCGATGCCTGGCAGGTACTTTTGCGCAACTGCAGGGCGCAATTTCCACGAGCCTCGGCCGCGTTCCTTCCTGCCCGAGGTGCCCTGGAAAGCGCTGGCGAAGCGCCGGCAAAGCGCCGGCAACGTGCTGTAACTGTGATGGTGTCACTGAACGAACCTTGGAAGCACAGCTGTCGCTGCTGCACGTCATGCAGGGTGTAACTTAGACAACCCCGCAGGGTTGATGGCACCGGGTAATAGTACTGTAGGTAATTAGTAATAAAGCCTTTACGAACCAAGTCAGCCACTCCCCGCACAGTACAGGCCGTGTCGGGGAGACGCGCCTCTGCCCTGCCCGCATCGGAGGTACTTTGCCAACCTCCCTTGGCAGTTGGTTGAGTCTTTTTATCTTTTTGCAATCCGCTCAGCAATAGGTATCTGCTTACTGTGGGTGCCGCGACCTTCCCGCCCCTCCTCGGCTGCCAAGGGGAGTGAGTTGCCGGCAATCGTCTCCTGCAGTCTTGACTTGTCTGTCCTCTTCTTCACTCCTCTTTTGGAGTTGCCGGCGGCACACGACGACACTAGGCAGTGCAAGAACCAATGTCTCCGTCTCTGCAGCGCCACCAGAGAAAGCTCCCTGGTGCATGCAACCTTTGCATCTGTTGGAGTCGAGGGGGCGGAGCATCGGTGTGCCATGCGCATATCCTTGGCGTCCTTTTGCCGGCCGGGACTGTCTTCGAGAAGTTGATTATTCCGGCGGCTATCGCACAGGTAAGACCTGCCAGCTCATCAGGTACCGACCGCGAGGGTGAGGTTCGTTGAGGTGGATACCTAATCCAGCCATTCTCTCCAACAAGCCAAGTCACCGAAGGGCGAAGGTCAACATCCGTCTGACTACCTACACATGGCCATCATGATGTTATGTACATATATGCCTCCTGGATGCCGCAGCCATGGCTGTGAGAGAACCGCCCTTCTTGTTCGTGCGGACAAGGCAAAAGTCAAAAAGAATACAAAAGAACAGATAGGCTCCGAGTCCGCGGCATTGGTTCACCGGCCCGGCCCCAGTTGCCGTGGCGTTGCCGGCCTAATCCGGCGACTGTCTGGTTGCCTGCCGCCGGCAATCGCTGACCCTCTTCTCCCCGACTGGACCTCGATGGGAGGAGGAGGGGGCCACAATGACGCGGGGACGAAGCCGTCTCGACACCAAGTGCAATCTGATGCTACCTACACGCTCTCCTTGCTTTTTCAGCCCTTCACCTACACCTCTCCTTCTACGTGAAATACGGCCTTCAGCATAGGCCATTGGCTCCCTCGGCAGATTGGCTCAAGACGACGCCTCGACATGTACCCTCCGTCCCAAAGAGCGTCAACGCAGCCGGCCCGTCTTTGTCTGGCTTGATTAAAAGCCCTCCTCTCCTCTCCTCTCCTCTCCCCTCCAGCCTAGCTAGCCTCGCTATTCGACACAAGGACGCCCCTGCCATGAGTCTCTGCCCTTCAAGACACCCACGGTTGACGGTGGCTTCTTATTTGCCTGATTCCTCGAAGCAATAAGATCCATCTACTCCCTGTTGCCCATGCGTCTCTTCTCTCGACTCTTCACCACCATGCCACCGTCCGAGATGATGAGTGCAACGGCCAGGACCGGCCTCACCACGCAGCCCACCGATGCCGATCCGCACCGTTACCAGACCGGCTTCAGCAACCGCTTCGCCTCCGAGGCCGTCCCCAACGTCTTGCCCCGGGGCCGCAACGTGCCCCAGAAAGTCAAGTACGATCTCTACTCGGAGCAACTCAACGGGACCGCCGTCATCTCCCCTCGGCATGCCATGCAGCACGTGTGGATGTACCGCATGCGACCGTCCGTTGTCCACGGCAAGATATCGGCCTCGAACGTGAATCCTCATGCAAGTGGCCCCTTTCCTGCATTGTGCCGTTGGAAGCACTGTCTGACGCCTCGCCAAGATCGAGTTCTGCTTCTCGGCAGCCAACGAGAGGGTCGAGTTTGTGGCTTCCCAGCAGGCTTGGGATCCCTTCCCGCTTCTGGAGCCGCACAATGCCGCCTCGGGCGTTCCAGGGACCGATTTTGTGCGCGGCATCCGGACCATCGGTGGCCAGGGGAGCCCGACTCTGCGCGAGGGCCTCGCCATCCACGTCTACTCGGCCAACGCCTCCATGGACCAGCGCGCTTTTTGCAACAACGACGGCGACTTGCTCCTCCTGCCGCAGCACGGACGGCTCAACATACAGACGGAGCTCGGCTGGCTCATGGTCCGACCGGGAGAGCTGGCCGTCGTCCAGGCCGGCATCCGGTTCCGCGTGCTGCTCCCGGACGGGCCGGTCCGCGGCTACATTCAGGAAATCTTCGGCACCCACTACCAACTTCCCGAGCTGGGCCCCGTCGGCTCCAATGGCATGGCTCTTCCGCGGGACTTTGCGTCGCCGGTCGCCAGCTTCGACATTGACGAGACTCCCTGGGACATAACGTACAAGGCGGCCGGGTCGCTGCACTCCTGCCAGCAGCGGCACACGCCCTTTGACGTGGTAGCGTGGCATGGCAACCTGGTGCCCTTCAAGTATGACATCGAGCTGTTCGTCAATATGGCCAATGCAAACACAGACCAGGCCGACCCGACCATCTACTGCGTGCTGACGGCCCCGTCCAAGACGCCGGGCGTGTCCCTGACCGACTTCCTCGCCTTCACCAAGAAGTGGATCACGGCCGAGGACACCTTCCGCCCACCCTACTACCACCGCAACATGAGTACCGAGGTCATGGGCCTCATCTACGGGCGCTACGGCGGCAGCAGCCACGTCCTCGATGGCGGCGGGCTCAGCTACGAGGCGAGCTACATGCCGCACGGCGAGACGTACGAGACGTGGAGGAACGCGTCGACAAGGGAGTTGGGCCCGACGACTATCTGCGAAGACACAATGGCCTTTATGTTCCACATCAGCGTACCCCTTTATCTGACAAAGTGGGCTCTCAGGGGCGATGGCGCCAAGTCCCTTCATCCGAGCGACCCGGGCCAGTGGGACAATGTCAAGGCTCACTTCCTCGATCACCTGGACGAGATTGACGCAGAATTGAAGGCCAGCGGGCTGCCCACGCTGTCTGAGAGCAAGAGGGAACGAAATTCGCGGGATCAAGGTCTTACTTGAGGTCTTGCGGTTTGGTGTCGTCGGAGAAGACGAGAGACGCAGTTGACTAGAATCAAGGTCGTTGCTACCCGTGAACAAATGCTGCGGGTGAAATGGGAATACACTCGTGAAATATTGTCCCATGAGAGTGTTGTACATGGATACCTAGAAAATACAAGAGGTTAATTACTTTTCTTTCTCTTCTCGGACATTGGAGGCTGACTTCAATGGACAAGACGTCAGTCCAAGCCTTTGCGTAGCATGAGTTGAGCCTCTACCTCGGTCTGTCTTCTCCTAAGGTACACCAGCACCGAGAAAGCTCGGCCGCCACTGTGCTTGGCCGAGGGTGGATGGCTCGGCATCTCGAGCGGAGCTGAAGCTGTCGTCCAATATGATGCCTGCACCGTAGCACAAGCCTCAAGGTCTCGGCGGGCCGGGAACGTGGATTACGGCTGGAAGACAGCCCCGCCGTCAAATCTGAAACCTATCGACTCCAGCTCTTTAAAAACTACGAATATTTGCCCAAGGATTGCGTATTGCTGTACGTCAACATTAGCCCACTTCGCCTGGTCTGACACTCGACAGGCCCTATTTGCATAACTCGTAGTTAAACGAATTTCGCACATCAGGTCAAAAGAGAGAAGGATCCAAGCCGGGGATCAAAACAGGCATCAAGCTGCGAACCAGATTATGCAGCTCCCAAGCAGAGCAATGCCGGACGTTGCCCGAGCTCAACGAACGACTGTGGCCGTAGCCTGCCGGCTCATCTCATGCACCCCTCCTTCAAATGGACAAAAGGGGAAGGATGGTGATGAGTCGCGCGCCAGATCTCCATTCACACCATCTTTCCCCCAAGGATTCACTTCAGCCGGCCGGCGACGGGGGATGGCATATTTTGCAGGGCTGAGATGAAGACAAGCACGGCCTAATGATGCAGGGACAGGGCCAACTGTGGCGTCTGTTGTTTGACATCCCAGGAGCGGCTACGCACATGCTCGTGTCCATCAACTCGCAATGCGCTATTGTTCGACTGACAAAGCCAGTCGAGTCCAGACCTCCGGTGCTGGGACTCGGTCGTTGATAGCCTTGAAGAACATCATGGCGGGCTAAAGAGCGGCTGAGGCGTAGTGTGCAGCATGCGCCGCGGCTGACATGCACACGGGCGGTCAGTCTAGGGAGCCTACATACAGCCCAACTGACTCTCTTTGCGTATGCTGGAGACGACGCACGTACTGTGCTTCACGCTCCTCGACATAAAGGCCCTCCGGGGCCGACGGCGGGCTCCGGGTTGCGGGACCCACTCCGGAGAACGGAGGCGGCACCTGTATCTGTCGGACCGGACCGTCGCCTGAGGTTACTTGCAAAGACACGGCATGGCAGACGGCGCCAGGCAGTGACTGAGAGGAGTGCATTGCTCCGCATCTAAGCCTACTTGGTATAACCAGCAGTTCAATACAAACGACGGAAGCATCTTCCGGCGTCTGGCATCCCTCGTGGACCAAGCAGAGGCTGAAACGCGCTTGGTGAGGTGGCCTGGTCTGATCCCGAACCAAGATCGCGATGCGGCAAAGGCGCTAGTTTGAACCTGAGTTGGTTGCTTCGAGAACCTTGAGCGGGGACCAGTAGAACGACGAGTGGCATGAATAGAATGGAACGTCTTTTCCCTTGTTCCTTCCTACCTAGGAAAGACAGGCGGCATATGCCGCAGCAGTGACAGCATGTGCGAGCGTGTAAAGCCAAGACGGGGTTTCCCTTGCGCCCTCCCTACCTAGTTCATGCTTATTCGAAACCATGCCTTAATTATTCATTTCCTTTTGTCTGCCCCGGGTGACTCGGTCGCGCCGTCCGTGATGAAAAGCTGGAGTTCCACTTGGCAGGGCCACAACTGAGGCCGTGATTCATGACTCCGGCCGGGACAAAGTCTATTCTTCATCAACAAAAAGATTCAACAAGAGTGGTTGCTGTGACGAGGTTGAGGGACGCGGTGGCAGAGAGGGGCTGCATTGGGGAGGCGCAAGGGCGTCTTTTGTCCTGTCTCGACGACAACGCAAGGCTGGTACCAAGTACGGAGTAATACGGATAGTCAGATCAGCATCTACGGCATCACAAGTTCACAAGTTCACAACATTCTCTATTGCTGCCGTTCGTCGCGGCAACGGTGGAACCTTGCGAGGTGGAACCAGCCCGCAGCAGACCCGTACCTACTAGGTACCTAGGTACAGTACTTTACAGTGACCTGCCGCCATCTTATCAGTCTGTGAGCCCGCCCCAGAGCTGAAGCCGGCGGCCGGCACAGCGTGGCACAGGGCTGGGGGCGCCCTCAACAGGAGCCGAGATGGCGTGAACCTTCAACAGCCGTGACAATGTATCTCGAAGGTACCTTTGCAGCTTCCCCACGGCCTTGCTGCAGCGTGCATGAACGGACGTCCGTCCACCCCGAGGCTCGCCACCGCATACGGCGACCAGCAGGGAACACAGTCGCGATTCATTGTTGCCCTGAGGCTGTTTTCCCGCGGCGTGCGTCGAAAAAGGCAGTAATACGAATAAGTCAGGTACTTTGTAGGACTTTGTATGGAGGACTTTGCACGACTTCGTGCGAGCCGAGTACGTAAGCAGCCTCGCCATTCGGCCTCGTACCTGGACCGGTGAAATCCAGTGCCCCCGGTACAACCTTACCTTATGCAAGGTCCTGCCCCGGTGCCTTATCAGGTCACGTCTCCAGCAAACTCCAGCCCAGCCAGGCCCCGTCGTTCCCCCTCCGCATCGCCGTCATCCATCCATCCATCCATCCATCATCTATGCATGTGGCCTGGCGTCGCGCACAAGTGCCTCGATCCCCTTTCGCTTCCACCGACACCTTGCTTGGCGTTTTTCTGTCCCCTGTCTCTGTCCCTTGCCCGCCGGCTCAACTGCCGCGTAACCCAAGAGAAAACAAGGCAGCGCCATTCCACGACGGCCATTTCCCTTCGAGTCCGTCCGGGCGTATGAGCACCCCGACGCCGCTGGGCCTGGCGGTCGACGAGACGCCGCACCCCGTCCTCGACAGACGGCTCGGCTTTGGCTCGCTGTCCCGCCTGCTCGTCGATGCCACCGATCCCACGACTTGACGGCCGACGGTGCGACCTCAGCGTCCCCGAGTCGCGATAATATTGACCCGCCCCAACACGACCTCTGTCGACCTTGGGCGCCTGTCCTCTGCCTCGCACCTTCGACATGTCTTTCCGCGCCGACGACCAGCGCCGTTACGGCCATGTCCCGCCTGTCCAGTATCCCGTCGCTGGTCAGAAACCCGATCGTCAGCCCGTTGGCCGCCGCCTCAGCTTCAACACCGGTGACGACGCCGCCTACCATGACGACCAGGCTTCGGACAGGCCCCCTACTTCTGTCCACGGCGCCCAGCCGCCGGGCGCTGACGAGCTCTTCCTGGACAGCCCGACCGCCTCAAGCTCCTCCATGGGGCGCTCGCCTTTTGGTTCCACAAGCAGCGCGCTGTCTGGCTACCATCCAGACACGACGCCCCGGACGCCGCCTGCCCAGTCCACCTACAATCCTCAAAACTTCGCCCATGCATCCGGCGCTGCCTTTCGGCGATCTCCATCCTCGGCCGTTCCCCACCACTCGCACTCCTCCTCGCGATACTCCGCCACCAGCGCCAGCTCGCTTGGCACCTCCAGCTTTGCTCCGCAGACGTACAACCCCGCCGCCTACGCCAGCACGAATCCGCCGCAGCGCCAACCTACATATCCTGGTTACGGCCACGACCAAGGCTACGGAGCCGCCGTGGGATCTGGGGCTTCGGCAGTCTATGGGCAGTCGCCTGGTGCGACCTACTCCGCGCCCTTGCCCCAACAACCCCTTCCCACCAGCCCTTCGACCTTCTCAGGCCCCAGCTCGCGCGACCAGACTCCCACCTACGACCCCTCTCAATACGCTGCCGGCTTCTACTCCACTCATGGTGCCGACGCCGCCAGCCAGGGCTCCGGCCCCTACTCCGCCATACAGGCCCCGTATCCCGTTTCCTCGCATATTCCAGTCGGCCCGAATTACGAGTTCGACGATCCACCTTCGCTCTACAACCGCCCTTTCCGATCCGATTCGCAGACGTCTCCTCGAGCCTCTCCTCACGTCCAGCCGCAGTCCCCGGCAGGGCTGCAGAGGCATCCTACCAATGCTCCGCTCCCGAGTCGGCCGATGGACGAGTTGATAGATGAGGAAGTGTATTGGGACTCGAATGGACGACCGCTGGGGAGAGAACCCAGCATAGATGGGTTGACGTCGGAGAGCATCATGCAGGAAATCGAGGCCGAGCTGGGCGACGGCGGTCGCTGGCCGCGACGACGTCCATCCCCTATCAACGGCCAGCTGGCGCGTGAGCAAGCCGAGCAGTTGCGCCGGTGCAGCCCCGGCGCCGGTCCACACTCTCCCTCAGCACATTGGGCCTCCCCGGCCGCAGGGCTCCATTCCATCGATTACGACGACGACGATGATGACGACGACGATCCCGAGGGGACTGCCGGTGTGCTCGCCATGCAGCAGGCCGAATTGGACGAGCAGCGCTTCAGTGGCAATGCTTTCATGTACCGCGACGTCCCAGCAGCCGTCCCATCGAACCCCCTGCCTCCGCCACCCGAGGAAGACGACATAGGCAGTGACAGCGAATTTGGGGGCGCGGTCGACCTGGGCATGTTGAGCGGCAATCTTACGTACGGGACCACTGCTGGACCACACCCGGACTCGTCTTTAGCGACCGAGGGATCACGCCCGCTGCCCACGCCGGACTACTACTCCTCGCTACACGAGGGCTATAATGCTGAAATGGACTATGGCGGCACCGGCGGGCTGCAGCCACCGAGGGTACATAGGCTTAGCTTTGACGAAGGCCGGGAGGAGAGCGTCTCGTTGCATTCACGGCAAAGTGGCACCGACTCTCCCACAAAGAACGACCATCAAGACCCGTACTATCCTGGCCTGTCCAGCCGCCCGCTACCGGCGCTGCCCCCTGGGCCTGATTCGGACAGCAGCTCGATGCTGTCGGCTCACAACAGCCTGCGCTCGCAGCATCAGCACCATCACTCGCTCAGCGCCGATGCTCGCTATTACCAGGCCGACCCGGAGAAGTTCTATCAGACCACTGCGCACCAGACGCTGCAGCCGGAGAGGTCGATATCGCTGTCCGGCCACAGCCATACCCCACAAGTTCAGGCCCCGACGAGGTCGCGGACAGATGCTGCAGAAGAACGAAAGAAGATGACCAGACAGCATATGATGGGCCTGCAGCATGGGCCGGGCTTCCCCGAGTCGGAAGTGGGCTCCGGCTTCCCTCCGGGAGCTTTTGACGGCATCACTCTGCCGAGCGGGCGCAAGAAGAAGTTTGTGCCCTCCAAGCTGACTGCATCCGACTTCCGCAGGTGCCAAGAACCCTGGGCCCTCAGTGGCATCGAGACCTGGGTTCGCTCCATGGGAGATGCAGAGATTGACCTCAGGGAGAAGACCATCGAAGAAGCGGTCACGAACTTGTTCGCGTTCAAGGTTCCCACAATGAATGTGGCAGATGCAGAGATGCTCAGCGGCCGAGTTGTCCAGCTCATGCTCAAGTCGGGCACTCTGCTTCCGGACGAGGAATGGGTCAAATTCGGCGAAGGCCACATTTCGGGCGTCCTGTGGCAGATGACTGGATCAGGCTGCTATGCCCCAAAGCTTCACGACTTCGAAACGGCCGGCCACTGCTACTCACGCCAGTGCAGTCGCTCGTCCAAGCGCATGTTCCTAGGCAGCTTGCTTCTTGAGCATGAGGAGGAGAATGATTGGCGCATCTTCCACAAGCTGAAGCCCGAAGATTATGAGGGAAGGTCCAACAAGGAACTCCAGCTCCAGTTCAACCTGCACGAGGTCGTCACCGGAGAGCGTACCTACCTCTACCAGCTGGAAATATTTCATGCACTCTATCGAGACGAATTGCGGGCGCGCGATCCTCCTGTTATCCATCCCGACAAGATCGACAAATTCTTGGCCACCGTGTTCAGAAAGCTGGACACCATCTTTGATATCAACAGGGATCATCTCCTTTCTCCTCTCAGGTATCGCCGCCAAGAGCAGGCACCGTGGGTTGTAGGATTCAGCGATATTTTCCGCGAGTGGATACGCAAGGCAAAAGCCGACTACCTGGAGTTCGCCTCGGGTTACCCTCGCGCGGCCTACATGATTCGGAAAGAGGCCGATCGGAACATTCTCTTCAAGAAGTTCATTGACGACAGGCAAAGACACAAGCTCTCCTCGAAGCAGGACTGGACCCATTTTCTGTTTCAACCGATACAGCGTCTACAACGTTATCCACTCCTCCTGGAAGCCGTTGAAAAGTTGATGCTTGGCGAGAGCGAAGAACGAACGAACCTGATAAAGGCCATCCAAGAGATCAGGGCTGTGGTGTTGGAGTGCGATGCCAGGGTGGCCGAGACCACGAAGCGGGTGCAGATGATGGAGCTGGATCGGATGCTCGTCCTCCGCCCAGGCTTCCAATCCGTGCTGAATCTCGACCATCTCGGGAGGGTTCTCATAAGGGAGGGCGAGCTTCAAAGGATGGGCTCCAAGGGCATGCGCTGGGTCGACACGCATGCGCTGCTTTTCGATCATTATCTGATTCTGGCCAAAATCGTCATTTACAAGGACGGCAAAGGGGAGAAGAAATACGATGTATCCAGAGAAGTAAGTCGTCCCTTTGGCGCGCGCCTCTGACGCCAGCATGCTGACCATCATCATCTAGCCTATCCCCATGCCGCTCTTGTTCCTCGAGAGCATGAATGATGAGCCGGTCACCAAACAAAAGGTTATCGCAGCGCCCCTAGGCCGAACGGCGGCTGCGCCGGCGTCCAGCACCCACCTTCACAAGTCCGCGAGCAATGGTAGTGGGCGGCAGGGGCTTGAGCATGCCGCCACCGGCTCGTCCACCAACTCCCTCGGCGCACCGGCCTCTCACGACGCTGAGGGCAAGATTCTCTATCCCTTCAAGTTGAAGCACCTCGGCTACGAGGTGTATACTCTCTACGCTTCATCCGCGCAGAATCGTCAAGATTGGTGCATGAGCATCATAGAGGCAAAGACGAGACATGCCAAGGCCCTCTTTTCGCAAAACGCCGAGCCGTTCCGCCTCCGCGTCCTTGCAGACGCTTCGTTTCACTACGACGCCAGCTCGGTGTATGCGAGAGCGTCGGGTGTTCCCGTCAAGGGGACGCCTCTTGATCGAGCAATCCAGGAAACAGAAGATGAAATGGGCTCCGGCCAGGGGATCGCGCCGGTTTGCCGAGCTCAGGTCAACTGTGCCGCCGGGTTCTCGGCGTTTGGCAAGTCTGTGATCGCCATTGGCACAGACTACGGCGTCTACGTCTCTGATCCGTCTGAGCCCCGTGGATGGCATCGGGTAAGAGCCCACATACACTCGCGTCTTCTGTTGTCGGAAATGCTGACCTCTTGATAGACTATCCAGACCGCCCGCGTCACGCAAATTGCGATTCTCGAGGAGTTTTCTGTGTGCTTGGTTCTCGCGGACAAGTCCCTCATATCATACCCACTGGACGTCGTTGCGCCCTGTTCTGATTTCGCACCGCCCATCAACGACAACCCGCGACGCGCTCCTCAGAGACTTGCCAAGGACGTCGCGTACTTTGCGACTGCACGGATGAAGGACCGTATGCTCGTGTTCTATAAGCGCAAGGAGGGCCTGCACACCTCTTTCAAGGTGCTAGAACCCATCCTCCACAAGGCGTCGGAAAAGAGATCAAGGCTCTTTGGCGGCCGAAGGCCTGCTGCTGGCATCACGGATACTTTCCGGGACTTTGACGAGTTTTACTTGCCCACCGAGTGCTACTCGCTCAGTGTCTTCCACACATACATTGCCGTTTCCACGGCCAAGGGCATCGAGATGCTCACGCTGGACAAGAAACAGCCAATGTCGATACCCGACCTCAAGGCACAGTCGATTGCCAACATTGCTCTGAGAATTCGCGACCAACGCCCGCTGGGCATGTTCCGACTAAACGACAATGAATTCATACTCACGTACGAAGATTGCGCCGTGTATGTCGACAAGCACGGCGATGTCAGTCGCACGCTCATCATGGAGTACACGGGGAAGCAAAAAAAGGCCAGAGGTGCGACCATGTACGGGCAATATCTGCTGCTCTTCAACGAGGATTACGTCGAGGTGCGCAACGCGGAGAATGGCCGGCTGCGGCAGATCATTGCGGGACGGGATGTGCGCGTCATCGACTTTGGAATCAGAGGCCCGACGGGCGGCAACGCAGCCGAATCGCAGCAGAGCCACCTCGGTCAAAACGGCCAGCTGTCGGACGCCGGGGAGGTGAGCAAGGGGACCGTCAAGATCGCCATGTGCCACCCAGAGCTGCCGGGCAAGCAGATTGTCCTGGAGATGCTTCTCAACGACGGCCATGCCGAGTAATTTCGAGATGTCCGCCGGCGGCATCACGGCGGTTTTTGACACGATTGTGTCCGGCGCGCGAACGTTTGATGGTGATGAGGGAGGGACGACGAGCGGCGTTGAATGCATGTAATGGAGGGTTTAAGGCGTTATACGGGCTGACCATCTCACACGCTACGAGTCTGTTGTCAATGTGTTTCTCAGCAGGTGTTTCTACCTTTTGCCTTTGGCTTTGAATTTCCTTCAATTTTGCTCTCCATTCTTGTTTGGTGAGTGGGAAGAGTGTCTGCAAGGGAGGGGAGCAAGGGGCGTACTACTTGATGGCGTGGATTTACACACTTGGTCGAGCCCCCTTGGGCTCGTCGAGGGAGTTGGGACTGGATGCCCCTTTTTGTCCCGGATCATGCTGCTTTCTCAGCCCACCCGTCTTTTTGTTTCCCGGAGCTCGCACGGCGTTGGGGTACGGACGGAAGGGAGGAAAGGGAAGACGTGGGCTCGCTGACGAAGAGAGGGAGCTAGGTATCATAATAATGATTGATGCGTGGATCAGCTCGGGCTCCGGCAGGGCGGTTTCCAGTCATGTTTCGCTCCGGGCAGCACCGTCGGCTGTGTGTATCAAGGGAAAAAAGCTTTGCCCTGTGCTGGCAGCCAACGACAACTTAAAAGATGTTTTTCACAGGCGTGACGGAGCCAGTTCCAATTGGCTCGCTACTGGAAGAATTGTACCGTTGACCGGGTTGACTGTGAAGCACCGTACTTGTACAAAGCCCGCGAGAGTCTTCGTCTTCCTCTTGTACGGACGTGTCGAATGGGATCTTGTAATGAGGAAATCCACTTCCCTCCCCCCTCTCTTTCAGGGCTGCGCAATCAATTAGACTGCACCCCCAGCAGCACATGTACGAGCCAAGCCATCCATTTTGCCCGCACACGCCCCAGGGCAAAGCGTTGCGTCATGGCGCGTTGACGCTGCACCCATAGATAAGTCAAGCAACTCAGGCCGCGCACATCTCAAGACGAAGGAAACAGAAAGAGGATTAGACTCAGGCCTTGACCTGGTCCTTGACGTCCTCCTTGACATCGTCGACGACGTCGGAGACGGACTTGTTCTTGGACGACCCGTGCATGCCGATGCGGGTGAGCTGGATGATGCCGACAATGCCGAGGAAGAAGTTGACGGCGGCCAGGCTAGAGGAGAAGGGTGAGCGGGCGAGCGTCGGCGCCGGAAGGCAAGCAACGTACAGGTAGTTCTTGGGCTTGATGATGAGGCACCACCGGGTCCAGATGAGGCCGGTGCAGGTCAGGGCAAAGTTTTGGGTAAAGGACAGCTTCTCGGCGGGACGAGCAAAGTCGGAGATGCCGGCGAGGACGAGGGCCCACTGCAGGTGTTATCCAGAGTTGGTCAGCGTCGCGTGTCCATTGCGAAAGTCGCTTCTCGGGCACGGGCTTATGGATGAGGGACACACCTTCATGACGGGGGCCCTGCGCGTCAAGGGATCAGTCGGTCATTCACACGACAAGTGGTTGGGAGCAAGGGCGTACCAGAAATGCACCGTCTTGATGCCCACCTCGCTCTCCCACATGCGCTTGAACCAGCTCGGGTGGGCGGTGTCCGAGGCGGTGCTCTGCCACCTGCGGCCGGCGCCATCGCGGAAGCGGAACTGGAACTGGTGTTGCTGCTGCTGCTGCTGCTGGCCCATGCGCTGGGTGCGGCGAAAGGCCTGGCGGAAGAGCGGCCGGGAGGCGCGCATGAGGGTGCTTGAGGGGACCATGGCTCTGCGGAATGGGAGGAGATGGGGTGTTAGTTTTCGAGTCTTGTCTGTTCCCCTGCTCGCTCCGTCTCTGGCCCCCCTCTCCGCGTGTCTTGTCCGCGAGTGTGCTTGCGTGTGGATGGATGCGTTGGCGATGAAGGATTGTGCCTTGACAAGGTGATGACGGTCGGTAGACGATCGGGACTCAATCTCGTGCGGTTCTCGGAGCAGTCGGAGGAGAGAGGGCGACAGGGAGAGAGGGCGCGTCGCGGAAGAGGAGGGAAGACTGGTCCGGTCAAGAAGGGGGGACCAACGTACCGCAGTGTACTGTGATGAACTTGGTTGATTCGATTCGTACGAGCAGAGGAAGCGAGATGCACGAGACCGGGAGAAGAGAGAGGAGAGGTGAGGAGAGGAGAGTGTGGTCGTCTTCCAGTTCCCAAAGCTTGCTCCGGCTTCCGCTGAATGGCGGCGGCGGGAAACTTTCCACAGGGGACGAGCCCGGGGCACGGAGAGTCGAGAGGCCCGGAGGCGTGGATGATCCGCTCCCGAGGGGTGCGAGGCCGGACCTACCTAGTGCATCACAGCAGTCGGCAGGAATTATGCAATAAATGTGAATATATCTGCTGGTGCACACTATGTATACTGCCGGGACAACATGGCAGGAGAGTACATGCCTGCCTCGGTCAGTACAACGCCTGGCTCTGCTGCTTGTGCCTGAGCTATCAATTATGCAGCCTCATCCTGCGTGAAGCTCATTGTCGCCATCCACAATCCATCACGAACCGACCCGACACCCACAACACCGACCACGCGGGCCTGCCGGCCGCTGCTCCCTCCTACCTCTTCTTCGCCCCGCGCCAATTGGAGCTTCCCCCGAGGCGTCCACACCTTGCCCGCCATGTCGGCCAAGTACGGCTTCACCAAGTCGCTCAAGGAGCTGCGCTTCCTCTTCTGCCAAACCTCGGAGCACAGTGCCGCCGTCAGGTAGCTCACCTCTCCGGACCGAGATCCAGCCAGTTCCCGTTCCACATGCCGAGACAGAGGGGGAGAGAGAGGGCTGACGTCGCACGCATCCACAGATCCTTCCTGACGCGCGCATACCCGACGATGAAGAAGAACAACCCCGACACCCCCATCATGCTGCGCGAAGCAGCCGGCACGCTGCCCAAGATTTACGCACGATACGGTCCGTGATCTCTCGCACCCTCTTCGACCCCGTGCGACGGCCCCGTGGACGGCCAGGCTAACGTGCGGGCCCCCTTCGGTGTAACAGAGTTTGGCAACGAGAAGCAGCAGTCGCTCGAGGGGCTGTCTGACAAGCAAGTCGAGGACGCCGTCGCGGGGCTGGTCAGGAAAACCGAGGCCTAAGCGTATGGGGTGTGCGTTCTGCGCTGCACAGACGAACGCGGCGACATTGCTGTATGTACGAACATGGGATGGAGGCCACCAGGCGCGCCTACGCTGTCTACAGCCTCCAATCCTGCCTGGTGCTGTTGAGCCAGGACCGTTTCCGCGTCTCTCAGCTCACCCGGGGAAATGAATTGGGTCACGCAGGGACGGCTTGCGCATCATGTTTTCTTATTGAGTCCTAGACCGGACGAGGTTCCAAGTATTAGCAGCAGGCTTGTCCGTCGAGCTCCGACATGGAGCCCTGGGACAAGCAGCGAAGTAAAGTAAACCCCTGTCTCCCGTCCCCAAATAAAGGCCGTCCATCCCCTGCCCCGCCATTCTCGCTCAACTCTCGCTCCTTGCTTCCCTCCCTGTCTGGCCTTTGCGCAGTCGCTGCCTCAGCCTTCAACTCCGCCATCTGCTCCGCCTTTGCCTCCACCCGTCTGTCCTTCGCCAGCCTCGCCCGTCACAGGCGACTGCGTGCCCGACCTTCCCTCAGTGTCGTCGGCGACCGCGCGCTGCTTCCCCTTGGAAAGGCTCGCTCGGGGCGCTGCCGTCGAGGTGGGCGACACGAGCTCGGGGCTGGGCAGAGACGGCCACTCCTCGACGTACACATTCTTCTTGTTCTTCGTCGCTTCCTTGGCCGAGACAGGCGAGCCATCCTGCTTCTTTGCCTCAGACCGCGACTTGGTCTTCTTCGAGGCCTGGGCCTGAGACGCAGCAGCATCCTTTTGCCCAAGTATATTTTTCTCAGCTTCAATATTGTGCTCCGTAGTCTCCTTGGACTCGAGCTGCTTCTGCCCAAGGGCCTCTCGCGCGTCTTTACGGGTAGGCGACTGATGGTTCGGGGCCCGTCCAGAGCCGCCCTTGGTCGAGCCGCCGCGGTATCCGCCTCCCTTGCCCGCGTTCGCACCCTTGTTCTCCGGCGCTGCGTGGCTCGGGGACACAAACGTCAGGGCAAGCGGGTTGAGGCCAGGGTTGGGCGCTGCATCCTTGACTGCTCCCTGCTGTCCGTGGCGGACAATGTTGACATCTGAGCCGTTGCGTGAGAGGAGCTCAAAGGAAGACGTGGAGGATGAGGAAGGAGTACCGGCAGAGTTCCCATGGGAATCGGCACTCTGCGTGTCGATGGCGTGCGGTCGATTACGGCGCTTCTTTTGCATTCTCAGCGAGCCGCCGGCGTCGGCTCTGTACTCCTGCTTGGGACCGTAGTGGGCGGGTCGCGACTTTGAGCCACTGGCTGCCGGGCGATCTCCCTCGCTGTTGTCGTTCTGGCCCTGGGACGTCGATCCAGCTGCTTTGCCTTCATCCGTCGCCAGGTTGGGGCCTCGGTGGGACAGCTCGTCGCCCCGTACCCCAGCCGCACTGGCAACCTGAGAAGAAGACTGTCCTGGAGATTTTGCAGTCTCAAGACCAGCAGTGCGAGCGTCCATATTCAAGGCGGGACCCGAAAGCTCTCGACCTTGACCGACTTCATCGTCTCTCTGCACCGACACCTGCTGACCATCCCGAGCCGATCCTGCGTGCGGTGCAAATGTCGATGTCGTCACTCGCTTGGCCTTCTTGTTCTTCTTCCTGTTCTTTCCCTTGAGCGTTTCCTGCCCAGGGCCCTGGCCCGTGCTGGCCGGTCCGCTCTTGGGGTCGCTCGCCTGACTTTGACCACGAGTAGCAGTCTGACTTGCCTTGGTTGGGTTTTTTCTCCAGCGCCAAGAGGATGGACAGAAGAGGATCCGTCTTCGACCGCGTTCGCATCTTGCTTGCTGGACTCATCGCCCGAAGCTTGGCCAGCAGGTTGGTTGGACGATGCAGCGGCATCATTGGCCGAGCTGTTGGACGCCTTCCCCGACTTGTCCGACGAATACCGTTTCTCAAAGACTCTGCGAAGTACGTTAGCCACCCGGTTAAATCTGTGATGCGGACTCGTCATGGAATCTGACTCTTGGGTGGTTGTCTTTGAGCCGCCAGAATCAGACTTTATAGACGAAGAGTCGTCTCCCAAGGTTATCTCCATTCTCAAAGGCGACTTCGGACTCTCAGTGTCCGCTGGGTGTTGAGCTTCCTCAGACTTGCTGGACTTGATGTCGGGCTCGCCAGAGACGGCATTGGCTGGCTTTCCGACCTTGTGCGGATTCAGGGGCATAGGAATCCTATCCCAAGCCTGCTTCCTGCCCTTGATCTGCTCCTCCGTGAAGATGCTAGGAGCTCTCGCCTTGCCTCCCAAGCCAGCCTTTTGCTGCGGCTCATTGCCCGCTGCGGCATATGCAGCCGGGGACTTTTCTTTGCCCTTGCGAGCAGCCTCATCATGCCCCTTCTGCTTGGGGACAGTTGGCTTGGAATCTCTGCCAAGGCCTTTTTCGACATTTTTCGACTGCTGCGGCTCCTTGCTCTCCGTGACAGGTGCAGCCGGAGCTTTGTCTTTGCCCTTGCGAGCAGCCTCATCATGGTCCTTTGGCTTGGGGACAGTTGGCTTCGATGGCAGCTCTCTGCCAGATTCTTTCTCCGCACCCTTCGACTGTTGCGCCTTCGTTGCCACTGTGGTGTCCTTGGCATCTGCGGCAGGCTTGGAGCTCTGGCCTTGGTTGTCAGGCTTCGCTTCGGGCGCTTTGGCCTTGGGCTTCCCACCATCCTTGTCATGGACTTCCTGAGGAGACATGGTTGGCAGAGCCACGCGAGCCTTGGCAGTTGGAGAGGTCTCGCTTCTCTGGCCGGTTGGAGTCGATGGCCCGCCTGGAGCAACCGGATTCACTGGATCCAAGGCCTCCTCAGAGGGCGGCTTGGACTGAGCCTTAGCGTGCTTCGGCGGCTCCCGCTCGTCTCTGGCAGCGTGAGTCGCGATAATGGTCGGCGACACAGGGGGAGAGCCCGTCGACGGCTTTGAGCTCCCGCGTCTAGCTCCCGCATTCCCAAGGCGGCGACCAACGGACGCGTGAGTGGGAGACCCAGTAACTGATCCCTGAGAAATATATCCCGAGAATTGCACAGGGGCTCCAGCATGGGGGTACAGGGCAGGCGGATATCCGGAAAGCATGTATGACGGAGCGAAAGGCGCAGGCTGCATGGCAAACTGGTTCATGGGCGGCATACCACCGGGGGCCTGGGGACCCGGATACCCAGTCGCCGGGTTGACAGGGCCCGCAGCCCACTCCTGGAATTGCGCTCCTCCCTGGGTGTTTCTGGACGAACTGCGAAACGCCTCATTGATCCACTTCGACCGATGAAGGGCGCTGATGATCACGGAGAGCTGCTTCTCAGGGATGAAGCCGCGGCCGAAGCGAAGAGCACCCGCAACTGACGCCTCGTTCTGGAACCTATTCGCGATGCGCGTTAGCATCTTGTTCAAGCCCCCGAACTCATGCTTTTGTCTGGGAACATGTGATTTCTTACCTGACAACGAATGCCAGCTTGTCGTGGCCCGGCATAGGAAGCACCGCTTCAACAGGACCGAATTTGCCTGCCATTCCCACATGAAGGCGTGCCTGAACATCGGCGGCTGGCACCTCCGATTGCTCGTTGACCAGGACCCAAACACCTCGGTTCCGCTCATGGCAAAAGGCACAGCTGCATGGCCAGTACGTGTACCTGCCATTTGGATTGTTGTTGCGGCACTCGATGTTGGCATAAGCTTCGTTGTGCGGCCCGGCTTGAACGCGCCAGGACCCTTGCCATGTAGCTCTCTCGTCGCGGCCATTGTTACCGTAGTAAGCGTCTCCGAGGTGCTGGCTCGAGGCTCTGTCGCCCCTCTGCCCAGAAAAGCCTCCGCGGCCTCTGCCCTTAGCGTTGCGGCTCCCATACCAGTTACCGCCTTTGGGGGACGTCGAAGGAGCCCGGTTTCCAGGTTCGAGCTGGGATGGCTCGGCAGGAGGCCACTGTCCGTCGGCAACCGAAGGAGCACGGCCAACACGCGGGACGCCGGGTGCAGTGTAGTTGCGCTGCGAAGCGTTGGCGAGCGGTGGACGATACGGGAGCTGGGGAGCATTGCCACGGCCTTTGTGGACTGGCCGAGGGCCGAACTGCTGTCCTTGATTCTGTTCAAAACACTCATTAGCTTGAACTGGTCGTTTGTGCCATTTTACAGACGGGGCAGAAGGTGTCGTCGGATGGAAAACTAACCATGTCATTGAAAGACGGATATCTCGTCCCGGCTTGCCCCTGAAGGCGATCATGTCCCTGAGCCTGATACGGGTACGACGGGTGAGAAAACTGCCACGGCACATGTCGAGTTTCTGGCGCATGGAATGCGGGCGTCGTCGCCAGACCAGCGGGAGGTGCAGTTTGGCAGCTTACCTTGGGCTTTTCGTCCACGAGCAGCTTCGGCTCATCCGCTTCACCAGCTTCACCAGCTTCACCAGCTCCCGATGATTCCTTCTTTGGGCCTTCCGGCTCCTGAACTGTGTCTGATTTCTAAGCAGACAGCGGTTCGGAGGCGGGCGCCAGGTGAGGATGGGTAACGGGAGCACAGCTTTTCTTGCCGTCATTCGCAATGTCGGCATGCTTGTGGGGCTGGTCTGGCTTGCCCTCTGACTCAGTCTCGAGCTTGCTCTCGGGCAGCGGCTTGGTCGAGGGAGCTTCTTCGTTGGGATCCTTGCTCGACTTGCTAAAGCTTCCGAGATCGGGAGAACTGGCAGTGGCCCTTGGTCCTTTGGCAGTGGGAGCAGCATTCTCACTGCAGTCGGGATCAGGCTCGACCTTGGCACCCTGAGGGTCTGTTTTCTTGACCTCCGGCTCGTCCTTGGGGTGGACCGGCTCTGCAACAGGCGTGGGCTTGGACTCTTCCATCGACGCCTCATCAGCCGCTTTCGGTGCGGCAGACTCCATGATCCTCTTCTCCCAGCCTGGGGGAGGCTTGCTGCTCCCCATGGCGATGACGACTCCATTTCCCGCGATGACAGTGCCTCGCTTCGTTGTGGCTGCGTCGGCCGATTTCTGCAAAGCCTGGACAGCCGCTGACTTCCCGACCGGTCCTTGCCGGGAAGCATCAGGTCCCCTGGGATGATAGATGTAGCCCTGCTGAACGAAGCAAGGGGCAGCAGCATTCATCCCATTCGGCGAGCCGTTGACTGGCTCCGAGGACGGAAGGGTAGGCATGCCGTTTTGGCCCAAAACCGGGGCATCAGCTACAGCATTCTTGGTTAGCGGCGTGTCATTGCTATTGAGGCGACGGGAACTCACCAAGCCAATTCACCAGTTCTCCAGACTGGCAAGCGGTCATCAAGTCGGTGGGCGGCTTGTTGTGCGGATACTCGTCGCCCGCGAGAAGGATGTCCCTTCGGTAAAGGAGGGCCGACTTGAGCAGCGAGGCATCTTCGTCCTCGAGATTTCTAATCTCCTTCCAGTCATCGGCAGAGAGAATAGACCAGATGGGGCCGTCAAGTTCGTTCCACTGCTTGAGCGACTCCCGGTTCTCGGGCGTCTTGATCCATGAATCGACAAAGTAGCCGACTTCGAGGGCCATTTCGGCGTTGCAACCCTGGGCAATGATGCAGTTCTCGTCGTAGAGGGTGTTCATGACGTTCCAGAGATTCAGAGCGCCGTAGTGGTACATGTCGTACGCGTCGAAAAACTCCCAGAGGTGGTCCCAGCGGGTGGGACGCTGCAGCCTCTTCATTTGTGCTTTGAAGACGCGGCGGAGAGAGTTGCACACAGACTGAATCTCGTCCTTATTCCAGAGATGGACTCGGCGATCAGGCAAGAGATCGCCCATGGCGCGAAATGGACCCTGCCCATTAAAGGTTGAGAACTTTGCGGCCGCGAACCGCGGAGGGTTGGTATAAAAGCGAGTAGGGAGATGGTTCTCAAGATAGTACTGCGGAACTCCCCCAGAGTCTTTGCCGTGCTCCATCTGGTAAGTGATGGGAAGGCCATTTGGGTAAAACAGGGCGAAAGCCGCTTGCTGTTCAAAGGGTTGGCTACTGGCGTGCATTCTGGGGACATTGATCACGTCCCATTCGGAATGAGGCGCGTCCAGAGACGTGTTTGGGTGGGCATTGTTCAATGCCGACCCCAAGTTGGCGGCCATGATAACCGGATTCTCCTGTGAATGTCTGCGATTGATCCAGAGTGAACACTTTCTGCTTGCCGAAAGCCGTCGAATGCCAGAGATTGAGTGTCGATTTGGTCGGATGAAGTCTTCACCTGCCAAACTCGATGCAATCAAAACAGTGATGTTGATCTTGGGCACGATGAGTGTTGGAAGTCGAAAAAGTCTGGATGCCCAGTGGACCAAGCACAGGGCTTTTGCGAGTTGCGGAATGCTGAGTTCTCAAAGCCGAGCGCTCGAGAGATAATCAGAGGAGTATTGCCGGCAGTTGACAACACAAGCTCGACTTTCAGTTGTGCTAGCGAGCAATGGACTCGAAGACTTGGCGGTTTGCATAGATTTCACTTGTCAGAAGTTGACAGAAGTCATCGACAAGTGCAATGCTCAAGCACTCCTGCCCAATTTCTTGCAGAGTCTCCTTGGCTTCCGAGCCAGGATGTGTTGCGAGATAGGGGATTCTTGTGATAGTCGTAGTTGAGACACTGGTGCGCTAGGAAGTGCTAGGAAAACAAAAGTCTCCACGAAACCACACGGGCACTTGACTCAAGGCAGCTTGACAGCTGTTTGGCTCGACAGGCCAAAGGATGAGGCGGCTCGCGATGATCCGTCTGCAAGAGCGCGAAGAGTCGAAGAAGAATTAGAGGGGGGGGCTATGCAGAGTGTGAGAAGGTCAAGAGTGACGGGAGGGAGAGTTGAAGGTGTGGGAGAGGATGGAAGAAAGGGTGATGAAGAGTTTTCGAGTGCACTTAGTGGAAACTTGTAGAAACGGCTGAGCAGGGTGTTTGACAGGGCTCATTGCCCTGTTGCGGAGTTTATTGGTGGCCGTGGGTGGCAAACAGCTGTCGAACAAGCGAGGCAGGGCACAAGGGGTGCCGTTCACATCAAATGACCTCGGGGCTGCTGGGCAACGGAACAGGAGTGACGTAGTTGCAGCTGGGTGAACGGGATGTGAACAGGCTGTAACTTGAGTCCCACCGCAAGCAAGCAAACGCTGCAGGCATTGAGTGAGGCCCGGTCAGGTCAAAGCTTGCTCTGCCATTTTGAGACCCGGGCAATCATCAAACAACGCCGCCCATGTACAGAGCCAACCCGTCGATTGTGCTCCCCTCAGCTTAGGGACGCCTCTCACGTTTGGACACTGGTTCAAAGTGGGCAGAACTCGGAGTTGCCGGAACAAACAAGTAGACTGGAAGAAAGGAACAAATTAAGGGATCACGTAGCGGTAGCACACTCAAATCAATAAAAGGTGCAAAGGCACGGGGCAACGGGCACACAGAGGTATGGCTCGTGCAAGATGGGTAGTTGTATTCCACCCGTCTAGGGCTGGACTTGTTCGTCGATGGGAGAGTTTAGGGGTATAGGTACAAAGGGGGATTGAATGAACAGTTTTTGGTGCGCAGGCGCGAGACCAAAGTAACCCATCACTTCTGGGCTTTCAGAAGCCTGAGGATCTCGGACTCGTTGTCCCCAGCAATGGCCTTACCATTGTTCCAGTCTACCGTCTGCGGTCCGTGTCAGTTCAAGCATACAACAGCCGAGGGTGCTCCCGCACATACCACGGGTCGCAAAAAGCTATCCTTGTTCTTTTTGAACTTGTCCAGCGCATCCTTGTTGTCGCGGGCGCCGTTGATGATGCGCGGAACGCCGCCGGCGCCGACATATTCGAGAATCGTTTGGACTTGGTCGACCGTGGGCGGGTCCTCGGTGATGTTGAGCTCAAACGGGTCCCGCGTCCCCTTGCTCTGGCTGTCGTGATCGCTGGCCTGGTCAATGGTGGCCCCTGACTGGGCGTTCGCCGACAGCTGCTTGAGCAGGTTGGCGACGCGGGTCGAGGCAGGCGAGCTGGCCTTGTGAAAGACGGTGACGGTGTCGAGCGTTTTGCGCTGTGTTCAGGAATTAGTGGCCACCCAAACTTGACGCAGGACAACCCGTTTGACTGACGAAGCGGAACATTTCGGAGGTGGGTGCGGGCGTGTCGTGAGTCAAATGCAAGGGAGGTCAAGCTCTAGAGTTCGGATGAGGTCCTTGCTTGGAAGACATTACGTATATGGCGACTTATCTTATCCTGATAGCTTCTGCTCTGTACCATCTTGAGGTACCTAGGCATGAGCCGCAGATGAGTACTGAGAACTTGTTTCCCGCAGGAAGAAAGGCGGCGACTAGCGGTACAAGTACTTTTATCACATTGCAAGCTGACTCGTCACCACGGCCCGACCCAGTCTCGCCACCAACGGCCCGTTAGAGCCTCATCATCGCACAATCTTGTCAAGCCAATCCAAACAAAACGCGGCTACACGTTGCAATGCCATCGATTACTTGACGGACCTGACGCTAGTTAGGTCCAATCGCGCGGTATGAGGCACCGCGCTCCGTGCACTGACAATGCTAAGTCCTCCCTCGCTCCATGTAGAATCAGCGACGCCATCAAACCCGTGAGATGCGGCGCGCAGTTAATCCGTCAGCCCATTGCGCTCTCCCGAGTACCGCACAGGATATCTCGTCGTCTCCATCATGCTGCAACTGCCACACAGAGTTCAAGGCCGTGAAACATGCTGCAATTCTGAATTAGAATGTACACTCGCATTCCCGAGTCTCCGCCTCGCAGCTCATCCCCAGGCTTCGCTCATGCATTTCTCTTCGTCTCCGTTCTATGCCGAAACTTTTCCAGAATCTCCTCTTCGCTAAACTTCCTCGTCAGTTTCTTCAGTAAGTCAACTCTCCCCTCCATGGTGAGGTCAATCTGGCTTCCCATGGGCACCATGCACTTTGCGAGGTGGTGGTAGTCTTTGCAGAGCAAGCGGAAAGACACCATGAGGAAATCAATGTTGTGGAACACAATGGCGCCCTCCCTTGCGTACGTCTGCTTCTGTTCGAGAAAAGAGATGGGATGGTCGCGCCAGTGGCGGAGTGGATTGAGGTGATGCGAGGTATGGTAGCCGTCGTTAAAGCAAAATCGGTTGCTCTATGATGCTTCAGTCAGAACATCTCGGCAGCCATCCAACTCGTTGATCCACTTACCGCGACGTCGATCAGCGTGACGCTCGAGCGAAAGTCAGAGTCGGGCTCATCGGCATCCACGAAAGCGTGCTGGCCCCAGTTGCCAATCATGAGGCCCGTCCGCATCAGCAACAAGGGGAAAAGGTAGACGAAGAAGGTTGCTTTGCCGCCAAACAGTATCGCCATGGCACAGTAGAAGACATAGGTGAGGGATTCACATCCGGCCGCTTGCATCGCCATGCTCAGGCGGTTCTTGCGGAGGAAGTAAAGCGGCAGTTCGATCCAGACGAGGAAGAAGAATCGCCCGACGTAGCAGAGGAAATCTGCAACGCTGTCGCGCTGGAACCGCAACGTCGAAGACAGGTCGTCCGGGCCGTTGTTTTCCACGTGGTGATGCTTGACGTGATGGTAGTAATACGAGTTCCAAGTGTGGCCCATGAGCGGGTCGAGGATGTAGGGAAACAGCTTGTCAAAAGCAGCAAACTGTTTGGCCAAGATGCCTCGCTGATGTATGTGCTGGTGCATCATCAGCGTGTACGATCCAAGGTAGTAGATCTGCATGGCGGAATGAAGAATTCCGTGAATGAGGCTGAAGCGCCGGTAAAGAAGAATGGCGCTCGGGACCAAGGTTGAAAAGTACATGATGAGGTGCGTGATCATGACAACGTCGGTCTGATGCCGGGCCACCTTCTGGGCCAGCCGGACGTACGGCTGGAGGAGATGCTTGTTGACCGCTGGCGAGACACGCTGGGAGCAGTCGTCGACTGACAGGAGCACGGTTGGCTCGAATTCGCCGCTCCCGGGGTTTCTCAAGGCTTTGAGCCTGGCCACCTCTTGGGCCGTCTTGCTCGACTTGCCGGCGTCATGGCCGTCTAGAGGCCCGTCACCGTCGGTAGAGGTTTCCTCTGAGCCGATGCCGGAGTCTCGATCCGTCGAGTCGTCGGTGACATGGGCGCCGTTGGAAGCTTCAATGTCTCTGGCGAGGTTTCTCAGGACAACCTGGTCCGCCCGGGTCAGGGCCGCGTCCAGGACGATTTGCTTCTCCATGGCGACGACGAGACACCCGGATAGAGCTAGCAGCAAGCTCGATGTGTTGGACAGAGGTGAGCTTTACACGGGACTTGCATCTCTCATGTAATGGGCAGCATCAAATCGTCAACACGGCGGCGCCCAGCCCTTTTGTGGAGGTGGCCGACTTGGTAACCACACAAGAAAAACCCCCAATTGTCAGACCACACAGGGGCCAATCTTTGGCACGGTTACAGTACCTGCGGCCCCCATTATTGCCCCTCGAGCCCCCCTAAGCCCCCCTCTAGCCGCCTGAGAGTGCAGGCGCCCCACCAAGAGAAGATGGGGTCATTTCGCTCCAGCTTCCCGTCGCCCAGAATAGGGGTCTGGGTCCGTGGATGATATGCCAGATTGAGCACAGGTCCCGCTTGATTGCCTTGGAAGCAGCCGGCCGAAGGCGCTGGAACGCATCGTCAACGATCGTGTTGACACTTGGACAACAGTAAAAAGCAAGATCTCTCCAAGTGGTCTAGAACCGCACTCCCACGGTTACAGCCACGGATGCACGGCGTGAGCCCGTTTCATTCTAGCCACGTTTGTTCATATGCCCCTTTCTTTTACAGATACCCAGGTACTTGCTATATGTATGTACTGTACGTACTTTGTGCCTTGTTGTCACGGAGTAAGACGCTTCTGAATCCTTCGCATTCGTATCCGTAGATGCACCCGCTTGGACGAGGCCAAAGGGCGCCAAAGAGCCACCTCATCCCGCTACCTTTATCTCCTTATGTCCTTCTTTTTTAATAAAAAAAACCCATCAGCAGAAGAAGTTGCTTGTCACTTGCTGTTGCCTCATGCCCACGGCCCGGAAACCTCGGGTTGATTATTACATCAAATGCCGCCTTTGTCAAATACCTGTGAAATTAGGTACAGGGTAATTGACAGACCCAGAGTGGATAACAGCAACGGCCTCTGCACTTATCAGTGGCAACGTGCAGCGGGAAGGCAAAGAGAGGTGTGCTGAGGATTCGTCGTTAGATTTCCAATGGCAAATATTCTAGCATGGGTAAAGGGCAGTTGAGGCTGACCTTGGGAGCTTTGCCCAGTTGACACATCATCCACACCTGGGTTGTGCACCGCCGCCCAAAAAGTGTGAAAATGTGCGCACGTTCTCGATATTCTGCCACCAAAAACACACCCTTATTTGGCTTCATAGGCCTCACATTAAAACACGAAGAAATGGACGTAGCTCGTCTGCACCGCAGACTCTATGACGTATGCTCTACGACACTAGGCCGGACAAGCAATGACGTAAGGTATGAAGTAAGGTGGTGGAGCAGTCGCTCCGTCATGGTCCAGAGGACGTGAACTACAAATAGCTCTTCAAGCTCTCGCACCAGCCGGAAGACTGTCAAACAAACAAAAAAGCCATCTACAAGCCAGTTCACCACAAAGCGTCATTAACTCAGCTCCATCTCACCATGTCTGGAAACTCGAGCGTCGGCAACCGGGGTGTGTATGAAGCCGGCGACCAGCGTAACGTCAAGCAGTCGGAGATGGGCACTGCCGAGCGGTACGAGGAGGGGAAGCAAAACTCGCACTTGGGCAACGACGCCAGTGAGTGATTCGGCCCACCGCCACGGGGTCAGCACTTGACATGGACATTTACCATACACACCAGAGGACGAACGGTCCATTGCCAACCGCCTGGCGGCAGAGGAGGTGAGAGCCAGCAGCGTCCTTGTAGCGACGCCGGACTGACCCACACCGCAGCGCAAGAAAGACTTGGGCGATGACAAGGAGACTGCCATGCTGAAAAAGGACCCGACACTACCGGTACGTGGTCGGCTACATGCCCCGAAAGACGCGTCAGACCCAAACGCTAATATCTACGCAGGCCAAGGCACACGGTAACGAGCCTTCCAAGGGCGCCAAGATCGATGCCGAGATACAAGCCCAAGAAGAAGAGGAACTGAGGCGAAAGGGCAAGGCCTAATAGTTGAATTGTGGCCTTCAGGAGGCAAGTCGACGTTGTGCAGTGTCAACACTTGCAAGACTTCGTGGGACGATTCGTGGAACATCTTCTTATTGAGCGCACCCGTCACCTCTAAAAGGCGACATTTATAGACTCAAATCTCTAGTGGAAAATTCGCTGCTGGCGCCGCCGCACACCGTAGTAGCCAGCGCCTATGAGCGCATCGATATCTGTATCAACCATGGTTAGAATATGCCAACCAAGCAGATTGTAGAGTGCTGGGAAGTCACATTGCATTCGCATGCAAAGGTCAGGATATGTAAGAAATTGAATATCATATATTCACTCGATTTAACTGCTCCGGCGAAAGAGAGTCATCGGATGAGATCAATCGCAAATTACCTCATCATGAAAGCGTGGGATGCGGAGAGACGGGAGAACCGTGAAATGACTTACCCTGATCGCGATTGTCCAGTATTCGGATTTGTCTCCCACATCTGCGGGCGCACGCGGTTGAGAGGAAGAGTTTGAACGAGCAAGAAAAACTGGCGCGCGGATATTTATTCAGGAATAAAAAAAGCGAGCCGATTGGCCCGTGCGCTATCGTGGCCTTGGCATGCGCATGAAAAGCCCGGCAGCGGCAAAATAGAAAGTCCGGGGTTTTTGCTTAGGGCACAGGCCGAATTTCTGGCCGCACACTCTAGCCGAGCGATCAAAAAGTCTAAGGCGATTCACGGTGACAACACTTGCAGACAACACCCAACTCCGGAGCGACAACTCGACTTCGACTATCGGTACGCACCCCTTGCGACTCGCGACGGACCCTCACGAGCAAGACCTTGCGCCGCTCAGATCAACGTAACTGACAAGGGCAACAGGGCAGATCACCGTCACAATGGGCGAAGCAGTGATTGAGGGATCCAACTGGCGCCTCGTCGAGGTCGGCCGCGTCGTCGTCATCAACGGCGACCACCCCTTTGCTGGTGGTCTGGCTACCATCGTGGAGATTATCGACCACAAGCGAGTATGTTACTGAACACGAGACCAATGTCGGACGGAGCATTAAACCATGAATCACAGGTCCTCGTCGATGGCCCCTCCGCAGACCCCCAGCTGGCCGTTCCCCGGCAATCCGTTCCCCTGGCCAAGTGCCTCCTCTCCCAGTTCGTCGTCGAGGGACTGCTCCGCGGCTCGCGGAACGGCACCGTCAAGAAGCTTTGGGAAAAGTCCGAGATCGACACCAAGTGGAAGCAGAGCAACTGGGCCAAGAAGCGGGATCAAATCAAGCGACGGAAGAACCTGACGGACTTTGACCGCTTCAAGGTCATGCGACTCAAGAAGCAGCGACGGTTCGAGGAGCGCAAGGCCCTGGCCAAGATCAAGGCCTCGGCATAAATGGATTGATCACTCTGGAGTCAAGGGGCGGGTGGAAGGCCTGGGGGCTGGAATTGGCACGAGAAGCATGGACCCGGACAGGAAAACGCATTGCAGTGCCAGCAGAGACTACTGCACTCTTTTTTTCCTCCCGTTCTGGAAGGGCTGTATGTGACATTTCATCGTCAAGATGAGCGGCGTCAAACGCGGGAATTCACAAATCTAAACAAGTTTAAGGCAATCACGGGCGTAGATGCCTTGATTGACTGTATCATGTGCACCTTCGATTCGTAAAGCGTGACCCCGTGCTCTCCGAGGCTGTCGGCTTCAGTTGTGCTCTGCGGCTCCTTCTCATCGAGGCGCCAGCCAGCCAAAATCCTGATTACCTAATTTGGCTTAGCCGCCAACTCCCACCAAACCCTAGATTTTCGTCGTGCTGCTAAGCTATCTTGCAGCACAAACAGGCGACGTGCAGTGCTTCAACTTCCCAGCCAAGAAACAGACGACCCGGGCTCAACACATCTGTAAGTGCAAAAGTGCCACGTCGAACTGAATCCGCCCTTCAGTGAGGAGCCGGCTGAGCGCACGCGCGCTCGTCGAATTGTTAACCCCCCGTCGGACGAGCAAGCCAGCAAGCTAACGGCCGCGTCTCGGACAGCACCCAAAATGGCGAACCCCAGAGTCGAGGAGCTCCCGGACGACGAGCACCAGAAGCCTACCGTCGAGGAGCAGGAGGACAGCAGCGACGAGTCCGATGCTGAGGAGGCCGGCGATGGCAACCTGCCAGCTGGCTCTACCGCTGTGATCCACTCTCGCAACGAGAAGAAGGCCCGAAAGGCTCTGGAGAAGCTACACCTCACCCGAGTCCCCGGCATCACGAGAGTCACTCTCCGCCGACCGAAGAACGTATGCATGCACCTGTGGAGGCGCTTTCCGAGGCAGGTCTGACAGGGTGTCTTGAACAGGTTCTCTTCGTCATCAACCAGCCAGAGGTCTACAAGTCTCCCAACAGCAACACTTACATGTTCGTCCCATCCATTCGACCTCGGTTCAAAGTCTTGCATATACTTACGAGACGATTCTAGTGTCTTTGGCGAGGCCAAGATCGAGGATGTAAACGCTACCGCCCAACAGGCTGCTGCCCAACAGCTTGCCGCCGCCGGTGCCGAGGGTGACCACGCCGGCCACAACCACGGCGAGTCCAGCAAGGCTGTCGAGGCTACCGAGGCTAAGAAGGACGACGACGACGACGACGGCGAGGAAGTCGACGCCGAAGGGCTCGAGGACAAGGACATTGAGCTGGTCATGACCCAGGCCAACGTCAGCCGTAAAAAGGCCGTCAAGGCATTGAAGGAGAACGACAACGACATCGTCAACTCAATCATGGCTCTGAGTATCTAAAAACAGGCGCATCGAGCTTGGCTGAATTTACCCCCACAGATTTTGCACAGGAAGCGTGCGAGTGGCTTTGTATTAATATACAAGAGCGGTTCCTGGCCCTAGAAACTGTCTGTTACGGACTGCGGATCAACGGCAAGATATTGCATTAATTGAACGAGGATGTCTGTGGCGGTACTATGAGTCCATCGTGGGAGAGTTGGCCATGGTCAAGTCTCCGTACATCATACAACCGTTTTGATCGTAGTCGAGGATATCTATTGGAAGAAAATCTTCCTTGACTCAGATTTCGCGCATGGCTTTAGAACACGCCGGCTATTTGAAAGCTTTAATTCGACAAATGTTTTACTTCGCATGGTTCCTGGAATGTGCTTGTCTGACAGGTGTGATGGCTCGCCATCTCGTGAAAGGTCACGTGACGTTCCCCATGCTGGGCGCTTCCCTCGTCGGTCGGGTCCGGCAAAGTCAACCATCATCCGCAACGACATCCCTCTCCGCTCTACGAGACCTCGACACATCATCACCATGGCTACGGTACGTCACTTGCGCGCAACTGGACCGCCGACGACGTGAATTCCTGGGAGGCAATGGCTCGCCTCCAGGCCGCATCTCGCTGCCCCCTCCCACCCCCCGGCCCTCTGAACCAGGAGCTAATTTTCCACAACGCAACAGCGAAGCGCAGCTCTCAAGCTCGACTGGACCAAGGTCACCAGCTCGCTGGGCCTGCGCGGCCAGACCGTCGCCTCGCTGCAGGCCTTCAAGAAGCGCAACGAGGACGCCCGCCGCAAGATCCAGCTGCTGTCGGAGCAGCCCACGACGGTCGACTTTGCCCACTACCGGTCCACGCTCAAGAACCAGGCCGTCGTCGACGAGATCGAGAAGCGCTTCAAGGCCTTCAAGCCCGTCACCTACGACGTCAACCGCCAATTGAAGGCCATTGATGCCTTCGAGGCCGAAGCCGTCAAGAATGCAGAGGCGACCAAGCAGGCCGTCGACCTCGAGCTCAAGGACTTGGCCGCCACTCTGAAGAACATTGAGGAGGCTCGGCCTTTCGAGGACCTCACTGTGGTACGTACAGCTCCGTGGGAGAAGGTTCGAGGCGATGCTGAAAGACGTTACAGGACGAGGTCGCTGCCGCCGAAAAGTCAATCGACGAAAAGACCACGCAGCTCATTTCCAAGGGCCGATGGATGGTGCCGGGATATAAGGTACGTTGTGACGACTCCCTTTGCTCGAGCGAAGTATCTAACGCTCCATGCAGGAGAAGTTTGGCGACCTCGCTGTCGTGTAATGGAGTTTTGCCCATCATTCCCCGAATTCCCCAGGTGTACTCTAGCATTGTAGATACCGAGAACTCGGGGCGGCAGATTTCGGTCTCTGCTCTCCCGAACCATTCTAGACCCTGTGAAGCCTTCGCAGTCTTGGAGGAGAGCTCAAGCGTGTGCCCGATTACAAACTGCGATCTGGTTCTGCGGAGCGTGGCGGTCCTTTACATTTGCCATGTACAATTCAGGCCTCGTGGAGAGCGCAGCTCGACATGCCATCTCGACGACTGATTCGACACAGTGAAACAAAAGTAGTTCTTCTATCACTCCAGTTTGTCCAAATGATATTCCTGCGCCCAACTGCCAAGAATAAACGTTTCGTCTAGTACCGACAAGGGGAAAGCAGCCGCAGGTTCATGCACCCCGCGGGGAGTCTACGCTTCTCCAAAGGCAAGGGAAAACAGGACAGCAAACAAAACAAGCAAACAAGCAAACAAGCAAACAAGCCAACATCAAGCTGTCAAACTCCTCCAGCAATGCTCACACTCATTGCCCCGTGTGTGGAGGAGGCGTGCTTCATATCTCTTTGCTTCGCCTTTTTTTTCTTTGGGACGTTGCCACTCAGGGCTGTGCGTACTGTCTGGTCCACTGCGTGGCAGTAAGAATGGCTTTTTGCGGATCCTCTTTCCAGCTCTTAGCTACGTCGGCCGCAAGGGGATCGTCCGGGTTCGGGGCACCAAGCAACGCCTGGATCGAGAGCAGGATGGTTCGGATTTGCAGGGCGGGGGACCAGTTGTCTATCGGTGGCATGTTAGCATTCTCTCACTTTGTCATGGCCCGAGGCTGTTGTGTAGGCGAAAACAAAGCAGGACGACGTACTCTTGAGAACATCGAGACAAATGCGACCGAGTCTGTCAACGTTGGGGTGGTAGATCTTGGTCAGGAAGCGGATCTTGGGGGGCGTCATGGGGTAGTCGTCGGGCAGGAAAAGCTCCAGCTTGAAGACACCGCCTGCCCTTGTTCAGCGACCCCTCGTTTCACGGCGCGCAGTAGCAACAGAGGTTCGCGGACAGACCTTCGTAGGGTGATTGAGAGGGACCGTGGATCTTGACGTCGAAGTAACGAAGGTTGTCCTCATGCGGGACGGCGCTGATGCCGGGCACGCTGCCGCCACCGATGCCGTGTTATCATGAGGATCTCGCCGCGGCTTGGAGAAGAGGGCGGAGCAGCAAGGAGAAACATACGGCTCGGCCATCAGACGCTCCGTCTCCTTGATTATCCGCTTTGGGAGCGCCATTCTGGCTACAGGCCGCGAGGTCGAGCTCGGTGGGCGAGGGAAGCGGTGGACCTGAAGGAGAGAAAGGCGAGGCAGGATTTCGTCTTTGCTCCGACGGGTGGCCAGTGGGGTCGAGGATGTAAATGTATGTACAGCAAGATGGCCATGTGCGACGCGGGCCCAAAGAGGTTGTAAGAAGATGGAATGGACAAGGCGGGGCGGCGGTAGGGGAGGAGCAAACATGGATGCCACGGGACCCGCTGGCCAATCAAGCAGCTGGAATCCATGGTTGAGGGAGGGGCTCGCGAGCACCTTGGCGGGGTCTGCGTCTCGAGTCACGCACCACCATTCTTTTGCGGCAAAGGTACTTGTAGCTTCCTTTTCCTCAACCACCTTGTCGACGTTTATGGGACAAGTCATTACTGTACTGTACATTGCCTGGCTGTGGCATGAACCAACTGCCTGCCCGCTTGTCCAAGCCTCGCCTCCCTCCAGCGGTTCTTGACCTCGACTCCTCTACAAACATCGAGCCCTTGCCTTGGGCCTAAACGGGGCTCGGGGCCACCTTCAACCGCCTGTCGACATCTACCGTGCTGGTCACCCTGATGTCGTTGGCGTCGTGCTCCGCCGGCGACGGGCCTGCCTGGACCTCGGTCACCGATGCCCCGGACTTGAGAAACCAGGTATCGCTGAGCTTGTAGTAGCGGTCGTTCAGGCCAGGCCTTCGTGCGCCGTCTTCTCGCCCTGTTCGCGGCTGGTTCGGGTCTCGCTTTTCGGCAGAGCTCGACACGCTCGAGCTGCCGGCACCGCTTCCACCAAGCGTCGAGCGCAACATCCTGACCAGCTTCGTCTCCAAAACGTGCCGGCGCATGAATGTGGCGAAGCCTGGTGCTGAGGCGATGATGATGGCCACGTTCATCTCGACGAGGCTGCCAAGGCTCGCGTCAGGTCTCCGCCCCTCATGTGCGCCCAGGAGTACTCAACTTGCAGTTCATGATAGCACCCGCTTCCCACATTTTGTCACCTTCCCGGAGGGTTCGGGTTCTGTACACGAGAGTCATGATGCTGCCGACTACTCCCCTGCGCCAGAAAGTCAGCCTTTCAGATCAAGCACATGAACCAAGGTCTGCTTATGCGCACAGAACGGCCGTGAAGAAGACAGCTATGACCTGTATCCGTCTTTTCGTAGACAGCTTGAGCCTGAAAACGACGGGCAATGGCAGGACGAAGATGTATATGTCCATCAGCACACCCACTGCCCCCTGGGCTATGACCAAGTAAAGAGCAAATACGTTGGGGTTCTTGATGGCCGCGACCATCAAGTCGTCCCAACTTTGGCCGCTCTGTGGCGTTGCGTAGCGGATCATGAGCGCGATGCACACTATGTGGGTGACAAGGTTGGCAGCGAGGCCGATTCGGATCGCTAGTCGCATTCGAGTCGAGACGGTGAAGAGCTGGTTGAAGAGCAGCAATGTGGCCGTCTTGGCAAACAACAACCCCAGACCGTTCAAGACTGTCGCCACGTACGAAGTCTTGTCTTGCCATTAGTACCGAGCTCTCCTTTCCACTCGGAAGCTGCTCACATGTGCAAAGTCTCCGTTAAACGTGCAAAGCGGTACGTTCCACTGGTGGCGGAAATGTCGAGAGACTGGAAGCATCAGTGCCTGTCTCCAGATCAACTGTCGGGTAGTTCTTGTCTTACGGATCATTATGACCACGGCGTGAGCGATGCCGAAAAGGAGAGCCACCAAAGCGAAGCCTGGGGCTTCATGTTAGCGAATTGCTCACCTCTGCCCCGTTCTGTTGCCCGACAAGACGTACCATCGCTGATATTCAGCTTTCGGATGTTTGCATACAGTCTTCCCAGAGTGAATACAGTAGCCCATGTGGTCAAGGTGACGCCCAGTACAATGGTCAAGGTTCTCAGCGACGGCGGATTGGTAAAGTTGACCAATTGGCCGTCGGGAGGGATAGCAGTTGGGATTTGGCAAAGGTCCGTCCCCGGAGGAAATAGATAAGCCATATGAGCGTTGGCGACCGCGCGAGCTCAGCAGCCCCGGTCGGCGTTGAGGCAGAAGAGTGGTGATGCGACGTGTGTATCCGCTGATGCCGTGAGTGAAGAGTGCAGATTCGAGAAGGCCGTCGGGTCAGTCCTGGAGAAAGAGAGGGAGGAAAGAGGGCTTTGGAAAGGGGGTGGTAGCGTCTGTAGGCCCCCAACTGCTGAGTGAGCCATGGAAAATCGCTCCGAGTGGGTGTCTGCCGATGGATAGGTGAGATGCGTACTACATATTATCTGATCAGACCCTGAGCCGACTACCAGTTGAAACGGCGCAAGGAAGACGCCGAGTTCGATGCAGTTGACTGTTCTGCTGCAAATTCATGAGGCCCCTCAGCCGCCAAATTCATACATACTTGTCGTCTCTGATGCTCATCTTGAATTAACATGGAGTGTTTTGGGGGCCAGCCGATGGAACTGTGCCTCAAGGCCCCTCCACCCTCTTGTTTTCCTGCAACGAGCTGTACTCCAACGGGCAGCTCCGCTTATGTGGTTGAACGTAACATTTCGTTGGAAGAGTGGCTGTGCCGCTGAGATCTGGTCATCCTGCGAATGCACCATGAAGTAGTGCTGCCTCGTAAGCAATGACACAACGTGCGTTGGCCATTCTTCGTCGACTCAAGTCCTGGAGAGTTTATCAAAAGAGTTATAATAGAAGTTATGGAAAAAAGCCTGTACGACTGGCAAGTTATAAGACCACATTGAGCACATACTGAAGGAGAAGCTATTTGTCCATATATGTATCGTCATAGCCACAACTCGACGATCGGAGATTAGAAGAACTCTGTACGACACACCAGGCAATTCGTCGCAAAAAGCCCCCCGAGCCTCTCCGCCTTACAACGGCCCAACCGTGCCGCTCGGTTGGACATCCCATATCAGACATGTACCGTCATATCTTGCGTCAGAAAATGCTGAATATCGATGTCCTCGAGTTGTCCATCGATGAAGTTCGAACGGATGCCAGCGTGTCTTGTACGAGTCAGGTTTTTTTCAACCAAGCTTTCCATTGCGAAAAGGAATCAGGAGAGATATAACAGCACTTGTCGAGCCATGCTGATCAGAAATGGCTAGGGGGAGACAAGTAGTCGTCAAGATGACTGCTTGTATCTGTCAAACATAGCAAATACCACTTGACCACCAGCAAAATAGGGGCACCCCCAGTGGAGGTGTTATTGGTATAGTTTGTAAGTCTTTATCCTGCTAACAGTATCCTTTCTTTGATCGAGGCACAGCGGAGAGAGCCTATCCATCCTGTGGTTTCTGAGACACGTATAGACTTCATCTGGCTCCAGGGTGGCAAACAGTAAAATGCCTCGAGGGGAACCTGATGGTATTTTATCCCCATCTCTGGATTTCGAGATGAAACTCGCGTCAGAATTCTTTGGGAGGAGATAAAAATGTCGTTCAACCTACTACAGGTTAATGATAGAAAGCGCTAATATTGGGCCCACCCGAATCGGGCGGGACGTGCCTCCGCCCTTGGTGGGCTTGATAGTGAGGGGGGCGGGAGCAGCAGCCCCGAGGTATAGTCTACCTGGCTAGGGTCAAGCTACCTAACATAGGAGCTGTCAGCAACCCAGCTAGATGTCTTGCGTGCCCACTTAAATAGGCGCGCAAGTGGACACACGGAGCCACGCACCTGTACCGGACTACATACTACGCGCAATTGTGGGCCAGCTCCGATGCGACAAAAAGGCTACAGGTCTGGATTTGTAACCCGGCTTTACATTACAATCAGTGCCCAAAGAGAAATTTGGCAGCGCTCTCTGGCGAGTCTTGTCGGGAGACTGTGACTAGACGGCAGCGGGAGCACAAAAACAACAAGAAGCGCGCCGCAAATTCACTCCAGGACAACCTTGTTCGAACTGTCATGCGCCTGTGGACCCGGGTCGAGGCGGGTGGCTGGTTGATTCCTTGTAGTGGCTGGGCTAGCCACTGCGGCCCGTGGTATAAGGGTGTCAAGCATAGCAAATACCACTTGACCACCAGCAAAATAGGGGCACCCCCGGTGGAGGTCTTATTAGAATAGTTTATCAGTACTTCTTTGTCCTGCTGACAAAGGGCTATGGGATGACCACGGTTCCTTGAAGGAGTTCTTCAGAGATCAACAATTGCATCACTGGCCCCCGTTCCTCACTCTCTGTTTCGTCGTGCCGTACAGATCTGGCAATGTTCCAGGTGATCTCGGTATGCGCCAGACACCCATTCCAATGATCGGCAGGGTCTCAAGCGCTATGACCCGCTTCCCCAGGGTACATATATGTGCCGCAAGCGTTGGATATATAGAAGTGTTGCAAGTGTCTGTGTGTTGCACTCTTTCGGCAGTGAGCACCTTCAAAGATGCACCTGCGGCGACTCCTGGCCGTGACAGTGCTGCGCCCTCTCGTCGCAGCCGGTTTTGCTGGACCAGATGTACTCGACCTGGTTGATCCGCTGATTGGGACCATCGCGGGCGGTAAGGAGTCATCGGTGGCCCGCTGCCGGGGACCTTTGGCTAAGCTGAGCCTATAGGCCATGTATTTCCTGGCGCGAGCTTGCCCTTTGGCATGGCAAAGGCCGTTGCCGATGTAAACGAGGAACTCCAGGGAGGCTTTGCCTCTAATGATGCCGACAGCAAGTCCCTCTTGTCCGAGGCCGACGTTTGGGCCTGGCAGCTGACCGTTGCTGTTTCCCAGTCACTGGCTTCTCGCACATGCATGATAGCGGCACTGGTGGTGTATGTATTGTGCCCACAGAAGCGTCAGAGTCCTCTTGAAATTGACGCATCCTGGGCCGGTCACCCTCTAGGGCGCATCATTGGGCAACTTCCCTCTATTTCCACAGACGGGATGTCCTGGTGATCAGTTCCACAACTGCCTTTTCACAAAGTCTGATCGGGCCATCAAGAGAGTCAATGGCACCGTCGTTGCGCGTCCTGGGTACTTTGCGGTATCGCTCGTCTCGTCGATCCGCGCCGAGATGACCGTCGCCAACCACACGGCTCTATATCGATTTACGTTTCCCAAAGGAGGGACTGGCGAGAGCCAACGGACACATGAAGTTACGAATGCTCCGGCACCATATAGCCCTCTGATTCTTGCTGATCTGACGGATCTCTCCAATTCAAGGAGCGAGGGAAGTGTCACGGTGGATGCAAGGAGCGGCCGCATCAAGGGCAGCGGAACCTTTTCGCCGTCTTTTGGCATCGGCAAGTATACGTTGCACTTTTGCGCTGACTTTCGCGGCGCAGAGGTTCGGGACACTGGCGTTTTCAGCGACGATGGAGCCGTGAATGGGACACAGACCCTGGATTCTTCCTCTGGTGGTTCTACCGCTGGGGCTTGGGTGTGGTTTGAACGCCCAAAGTCTAACGAAATACTCGCTAGGGTGGGACTGTCGTTCATGAGCACTGCCCAGGCTTGTAAAAACGCCGAAGCTGAGATTGGTGACTTCGACTTCCAGGCCACCAGAGCGACTGCCGAAAAGGCGTGGCGAAAGAAGCTCAGTGTTGTATCCGTGGACAACTCCGGCATTTCCAAGTCAATACAGAGGTCCTTTTGGAGTAGCATTTATCGCTCCTTCATATCGCCGCAGGACTACACTGGTGAGCTCAGTTCATTTACAACCGTCAGGCAGACACGGACGATGGTGCTGACGGAGATGAAGGGGAGAATCCGCTGTGGCAGAGCGATGAGCCCTACTTTGACTCGTACTATTGCATTTGGGACAGCCATAGGACCACACATCCTCTTCTGACGCTTCTCGACCCCCATGCTCAAGCCCTCATGGTTCGCAGTCTGATTGACATTTATCGACACGAGGGCAAGCTTCCAGATTGTCGCATGTCGCTTTGCAAGGGCCTTACTCAGGGCGGCAGCAACGCCGATAACGTCTTGGCCGACTCTTACTTGAAAGGCTTGAAGGACGGCATTGACTGGAAGATGGGCTACGAGGCGGTTGTGTCCGATGCCGAAGGTGAGTTTCTCGCGAAATCTAGACCTACCAGTCTCCATCTTGAGGCTAACTCGAGCGCCGTAGTGCAGCCGCGGGATTGGACTGTCGAGGGCCGCGGCGGTCTCCGTAGCTGGAAGTCTTTGGGATATATCCCCGTTGATGACAATGATTTTCAAGGTGTTGGCCTCCATACGCGATCCGTTTCCCGCACTATTGAGTACGCGTACAATGACTTTTGCATTGCCAAGATGGCCCGTGCTATGGGAAAGGCTGAAGATGCAGAAAAGTATCTGAAACGATCCCAGAACTGGATCAACGTGTTTGATGCCAGCTCGCGATCGATTCTAAACCTCACAGGAAGCCCAGACGAGGGGGACCTAGTCGACAGTGGCTTCCGGGGCTTTGTGCAACCTCGATACACCAACGGCACATTTGGCTACCAGGATCCGGCTCTCTGCAGTCCCATGCTCGAATTTACGGGGTGCTACCTCAACCCAGGCGGACACGAGACTTATGAAGGAGGCGCTTGGCTCTACACGTTTTACGTGCCGCACGACCAAGCGACTCTGATCAAGGCGCTCGGTGGCCCCGGTACGTTTGTCCGTCGGCTCGAATACTTTCACAACACACCGGGACTGTTTTATCTTGGCGACGAGCAGTCGTACCTGCTGCTCTTCCTCTTCCACTACGCAGGACGGCCTGGGCTCTCCGCCCAATACGTGCACAAGTACATTCCAAGCGCCTACAACGATACGCTCAATGGCATCCCGGGCAACGACGACTCGGGCGCCATGGGCAGCTTCGTGGCACTTGTCATGATGGGGATATTCCCCGTTGGAGGCCAGGACGTTTACCTTCTCGTGCCGCCCTTCTTCCGCGAAGCCAGCATCACGAACCCACACAGCGGCAAGACGGCCACGATTCGAAGCCACGGATTCGACGATGCCTACAAAAATATTTACATACAAAGCGCTAAAATGAATGGCAAGCCATACACCAAGTCTTGGATAACGCACAGCTTCTTCACAGAAGGTGGGCTTTTGGAGCTTACTCTGGGCTCGCGAGAGAGTCCTACCTGGGGCACGAGGAAGGCAGACCTCCCGCCGAGTGCTCCGACGCAGTTCCAAAGATAGTTCTGTAATTTCCGCGGAATTTATAGTATTGCTGTCAAGCTGATAAAATACCGTTACACCTGGCAAAATAGGGGCACCACCGTTGGAGGTGTTATTAACGCGTATTCTAAGTCCTTCTCTGCTCTGACAATTGTTTTATTTATACGGGCGCTAGGCGGAGACAACAGCGTGTTCCAGACTACAGATGAATGTGAAGCTTACAATGTCTTCCACCAGACTTACCAAGATCCCTCACACATGTAGATGCCCCTCCACCAGTCTCCCCCCCGGTGAAGCATTAGGAGATGACCAGGGGGTTTCTCCTCTCCAGACGGATATGGCGAGGCAGACCCACGCGTGGCCCGTCTCCTCGACGAGGGACCGGCTGCTGTGTCCGTCGTCTCTTTGCCCGGCGTCGATATTCGTCGTGCTTTTGGCCGGCGCCAAGCCCCGACACGGCGAACAGCGACATGGCTGTGCTCGGACCTGACGTAACACGGCGCGAGTCGCTCGATAAGCGAGTTCCCCGTAAGGCTCTGCCAACTCCGCTCGTGTCGCCTCGATTTGAGCTCAGTGAAAAAAGGCTGTTGAGAAAGCCTTTGGCGTGAGCAAAGAATGGGCTGGCCAAGGGGGGCGGCGAGCACTTGGTATCAGACAACACGATCAGCTTCCGAATATAGATGGCCCGACGTCTTGCAAAGCGAGGAAGCTCCCTGGGGCCAAGAGCGGGCCGTTTCAACCACAAGCGCATCGTCAAGACCAACAGGGACAGCGGCAGACGCGCTCCTGTGGCTGTCTCGGGCGCGGCCGAATCGTATATTCCCAGGTGGCACCTCACCTTGCCAGCATCGAGGTTATAGCGATTGTTGGTCGTGTGATTTGACGTGTGTCCCGTTGGAAGTCATGAATAAGCTCGCCAATAACGGCATCTTGCAGGCAGTCTCTCCGCCGCCCGCCGCCTAGGGACAAGGCCGAGGTCGGGCTTGTTCGCAAGAGCGAGCGCAAGTGCGCGTCATCTTCTCCAACAGCGAAAAGGGAAGGGTGTCACGGCCGAGAATCTGGAGACTAGGTAGCCAGCAATGAGTTGCCTGTTTTCGTGACTTGCGCCTTTTCCCACAGTCCGACTGCTGCTGAACGACTTGGAGGTCTCAAGCTCCGGCGATGCCCATGATTGTGAGCTCCGGGTATCCATTGCTTCCCGACCTGCCTCAGCTGCTTTTCGTTGACTGCGCCAGCACCAACTGCAGAATCACAAATCGTAGTCTCTTCTGATTGTGGGACTTCGTTGGTTTGTTGGTGGAGCTTTGGAAGACTTGATACCTCAAAACGAGTTGTAGTCTGGACATTGAAGGACCTCCATTGGGAAGCGTAGCACTGTGCGTAGAGCATCCTTCAAGCACCGTGACAAGCAGAGGCCAAGGTACAAGGTACCGAGCCCCCCATAATCCGCAGTCGAGGTACACGCTCGCCTGGCAGCGGCGTCACGTCCTCCAACGTCATGTGATGATGCTGCGCGCATCCTTTGGCCATCCTCCATCAGCTCTCTCGACTGCCGTACCCGAACCCGCGCCGGAAGATACCTCTGCGCTGCCGTCGCGGCTCGATGGCGTTCAGCGCCCACAGGAACCGCTGAAGCCTTTATTTCGGCTACCAACGCTGCGTCCCGGATGAGCCTCGATGTGCGGTTTGTCGCGACTTGCGCGACAAGCAACCAGTCACCATGTCGCCCTTTGACCAGCTCACCGACTCTCCCAAAAAGGGCAGGATCATAAAGTCGGCCTACGACAGCGAGAGCTTCGAGTCGGACGGCAGCATTCACGTCGACGGCCTCGTCGGCTCCGCCACCATCTCGCCGTCTGGGAGAGACATGGCCCTCGCCTCGTAAGTCGGCCCCTGCATGCGTCTCCCCCCTTTCTACCTCTTAATGTCGGAACCAGACCAGAAGGCCTCGCCATCATCGACCTGGACTCGCCGTACAGCGCGCCCCGACGACTCCGCAGCCATGGTCTGCCGTGGCTCGTCTGCGACGTGCAGTGGTCACCCTTTGCGGCGCGAGACTACTGGGTCGTATCCACGGCCAACCATCGCGCTCTCGTGTGGAACCTCAACCTGAGGGAGGACTCCACCTCTGGAGCCATTGAACACTCGCTTCAAGGCCACAGCAGGGCCATCACCGATGTCAACTTCTCCGCCCACCACCCAGATCTGCTTGCTACCTGCTCCGTCGACGGCTACGTTCACTGGTGGGATCTGCGACGGCCCCGGCAGCCTGTACTGACCTTTTGTGACTGGTTTGCGGGGGCCACGCAGGTCAAGTTCAACAGGCAGGATCCTCACATTCTGGCGTCGGCGCACGACCGCTGGCTGCACATCTGGGACGAGAGAAGGCCTTGCGAACCTCTCAAGTCCATCAGTGCCCATACTTCCAAGATCTACGGAATCGACTGGAACCGAGTACGCCCGACCGGCATTGTGACGTGCTCCCTCGACAAGAGCATTAAGTTCTGGGATTACGGAAAGGACGACGATATGCTGGAGCATGTCATTCGGACCGATTTCCCCGTATGGAGAGCCCGCCACACCCCCTTTGGCTGGGGCTTGCTCGCCATGCCCCAGAACGAGCCCGGTGACCTGTATCTTTACGACCGACTGTGGAGCGACGACTCGCCCGTTGACGTTGCCCCAAAGCCCGTGGCCATCTTCCCTGGCCACGGTGACCACAAGGCCAAGGAATTTCTCTGGCGAAATCGGGGCGGCATTTCAGACACTATCGACAACCGCGAGTTTCAGCTTGTGTCCTGGGGTACCGACAACGAGCTGAGATTGCATTGTGTCGATAACAACATCCTCTCCTCAGTTGGCCATGTCAAAGGCGGCCCTGCAAGAAAGGGTCTGAGTCTTACCCGCCAAGGGGCCACGTACAAGACTTTCCGCACGGTGGATGACAGTTCCAACAAGGATCGTAAGGCGGGAACCATGAGCGACCATAGGAGCGGCACCAGCACTCCACATCACAAGCAGAGCGCGCTGACACTCGGGATGCGGTCAGGGCCCCATGTGAATCGCCAAATGAAACCGGCTTGGAGGGGACCGTCAATGAAAGCCAAGGTTGGGTCCAGCAAGAGCGTGGATAGAAGCCAGGCACAACTTGGGTGGATGAAAGGAATAACCATAACGAAGCGCAAGCTCTCGGCGGATGGCTCGAGACGGCACGGTTCCAAGGACTCTGGAATCGTGGGGCCTGATTATCCCGACGACGAATGGGGCCAGCCAGACACGATACAGGAAGAACTTCTTCGCGTGAGCACGCAAATCCCAAAAGTGAAGTGGGAAAACATCGACATGGACAATTTGACGCTAAATGCCTCCTTGACCGGCCCGTGGGGCATGGAAGGGGAGCCCATCTTTATCAAGGTCAAGATTGACATTCCTGCGGATTACCCCAAGCTCAAGGCTCCCAAGTTCTCAATCGAGAAGACATCCTTTATGCCAGAGGAAAAACACAGGAGGATCATACGAGAGGTCCATCAGCTCGCCGAGCAGTTCTTGGAACGGAAGCAGAACTGCCTGGAGGTCGCCTTTACATACTTGCTGGGTGAGGTTGACCTCGAGTCCAGCACGACATTCTTCAAGAACGTCCGGGATCTCGACGATGACCTTGACGGCCTCGCTGACGAGAGCTCGAGCGATGAGGATGAAGACGTTCAAGCTGGAGGATCGGTGTCAATGTCCCAGGAGCTCGGCTCTCATGGGGACATTGACGCCATCCTCGCTCCGCCGAATCGGAACATCATCCCCCCAACGCCGCGTACGTGTGGTGCTCGGTTTTCCAACGATGGCCGTCTCGCCTGCTTTTTCCCGTCCAAGGAAGAGAAGGCGCGCGCTCTTTTCTCAACCTCTGCAGAGCTGTATGGCAAGGAGCGCGCGAGAGGAGAACCCTTTTTCGCCGGATTTGGACGCCTGACGTACGACTTGCCCCCAAGGCAAAAGTACGCGACCGACGAGGCGTCAGCCACGGAAGATTCGTCGGATTCATCGGATTCCAACGCTTCCTCGTCATCCTCGAGCGATTCCGAGTCTACTTCGATCCGTAAAATGAGCTTGTGGTATCGCTCAAGCCGACAGCTTCGAAAGACTTGGAGCGAGGATCTCTCTGTTCGATCTAGTGGCGGTGGCACTGGGGCCGGCACCGGGACGGGCACGGGGACAAGCCGCCGGCGGCTTGCGAGGCCGAGGAACCTCGTCTCTATCCACGTCCTGCGAGCCGAGCTTCCCTCCAAGAGAGAGCTTGCCGAAGAGTATGCCATTTTTGGCGACGGAGCTGACGTCTGCGGGCACAACGCTCGGGTTGCAGAAAAGTACGGATACTCCGACTTGGTCGATGTATGGCGCTACCTGGCCCTTTTGCTCAAGAAGGGAATCCCCCTCGAAGTGCTGGGGCGCGACCAGAGGCGCTCGTCCATTTTGGTGATTGCCAGAGACGTGGTGGCGAGATGCCGCCAGGACAGCTACTCTTACGGCCAAGACGCCCTCGCCACCGACCGTAGCCTGCTGGGCAGGGTCAAATGGGGACAGCACCCGCTAGCAAAAGAGTTTATCGCCGATCTCTTTACGCATTTCGAGAAGACGGCTGATGTGCAGATGCTGGCGATGCTTTCGTGCATTTTCAACGAGCCATCGACCGATGACGGTGTCGCCTACGTCGAGTCGAAGCGCACCGAGCAAGAGACGCCGTTGCCACTCAAGGCACCGTCTTTTGCCCTGGATTACTTCCCGACCAACGCATCAGCATGGGGCCTCTATAGCCGAAGCCACAGTAACTCGGCCATCACGACGCCCGGCACGCTCCACACGCCTGTTCTCTACGCCGGATCCCAGGCTTCAGAGGAGCTCCCGTGGGGCGGCGAACCGGGTACCGGTTCGTTCTCATGTGGCGAGACGCCGCCGACGAAATCAAAGTCGGCTTTGACCGAGCATGAGCAGCCATCGCCCGTGTCGAGGTCCCCCACCAATCGCGGTATCCTGCGAGGAAACTCGGGACTGAGCTCTGCGTTTGCGGTAAATCTGCCGCGATCGTTTCCTGGCGGCAGCTCATCTTCTCCCCCCAGCCAAGGGAAGAAGAGGCCGAGCCCTGCGGAGTTTATGCTCAGCAGTCTAGCGCCGAGTACCGGCAACACCACGCAGGCAAGCAGCTCAGGCCTGGCAGACTCGGGCGGGGGACGGACGTCGGTATCCGAAGACGACCATCGGAGGGACGACAGGCTACCGCTGGTCCCCATTAACGTGGCGGTGATTGTCGAGGATCAGACCATCTTTGACGACGACGGCTGGCTTAACATGCCGTTCTTGGACCCAGGCCGAGCCAGTGTATACGCTCACTACCGCTACGCATACGCCGAGTTGCTGCAGATGTGGGGTCAGCCATTGGCGAGGCTCGAAGTGATGAAGTTCAATGTGCTGGAAGAACGCCCATCAGCTGGCATGGCAGACGGCAGCTTCCAAGACTCGGGAACAGTACACGACGGCGCCAGCAGCACCGTCACCCATCACAAGACGGGCTCGTCGCCCATTGTCATGGGAAAGAAGGATCAGCTGCACATGCTCTTGGCTTCGGGGCGCGGCCTCGACGTCACGGGCATCTGCCGCGTCCACGAGACTCAGCTGGAGCCCACTCGGTACACGTCTTCGCAGCCAAACGTTGGCGGAGCCATCGGCACGTGCGAACGCTGCCACCGGTCCCAGACACAGCTCCGCTGCGTGTACTGCCTGGAGCCCGTCGATGCCCTGTTCCCGTCCTGTCTTTCGTGCGGATGTACAAGCCACGAAGCCTGCCTCGCCGAGTGGCACGCCGCGGGCGAGACGTTCTGCCCCGCCGGAGACGAATGCAACTGCGTCGAGGAGGCGTCCAACGGCCATGTCGAGTCGTGGGTCGCCCTGCAGAGTGCCATGCTCAAGGGCCTGAGCAAGCCATCCCTGCTGCTGCCGTCGGCGGCAATGGAAGGTAGCGACGAGGAGCATGGCAGGGGGAGGGCCGAGCGGGAGCGCGTCGAGAGAACCGTGCCGGGTCGGGCCCAAGAGGGTGGTGCTGCGGCGCGGTCGCCAACCGGCCTGAGTTTCGGGCGGCTCAAGAAGTCTGCGGGGACGTGGTCGCGGGCGCCTAGCCTGAGACGGGCCAGTGGGAGGGGAGGATAAGGTACATTTCTGCATTGAGGCAGGGGTTTGGCACTCCCGGACCTAGGCCCAGTCACGATGCTGCAAGAAGGATGCTTAATCCTTTCGTGGATTATCAACAGCGGCGGGGCCCTTTTGCGGCCGTTTCATTTCCTTCCTTAGCGGCTATGGGTATGCACACATGCCATCTACATATATATATACCCAAGTAACGATGCATCGTGCTCCGACCGACAGCCAGGCCCCTTTCCCTCTTTCCATGGACCACACTTCTCCTATTTCTTGATTAGATTGAGCAGAGGCTCCCCCTTGTCCAGCCTCTCCAAGTTCTCCATGATGAGGCCGGCGATGCGCTCGACCATGACGTCGGACTGCCACGAGACATGAGGCGTGATGAAAACATTGGGCGCCTTCCAGAGCGGATGCTCGGCCGGCAGCGGCTCGGGGTCCGTGACGTCGAGGGCGGCACCGCTGATGCGACCCTGCTCGAGGGCCTCGACGAGGGCAGGCGTATCGACAATGGGCCCGCGAGCAACGTTGCACAGAAACGTCTTCCTCATACGGCCGGCGCTTGCCGAGTCCATGAGGCGGAACTGCGGGCGTCCAATGAGGCCCCTGGTGGACTCGGTCAGGGGCAGTGCGAGGATGAGCAAGTCGAGCCCCTGGGCGAGCAGGTCGTCGAAGCCGGCGTCGCCGTGGAACCAGCGCTCGGGGATGCGGCCGTCCGGGTCGCCGGTGCCGGGGACGTTGTAGTAACCGTTGTGGCGGCGCGAGGGCGCGTCGGGCCGCTCGGTGCGCGTGTAAGCGTAGACGTGCATGCCGAGGGCGTGGGCGAGGCGCGCGCACTGGCGGCCGATGGCGCCGTAGCCCACGATGCCCCTGAGCGATGCCATGGCGTGAGCGAGCTGGACTATTGGGCACCGCTTCGGCCGCGAACCAAGGAGGGGGGGAAGAGAGAGCTTGAGTGACTTACACGCGGCGGCCTAGCGAGTCGGCTACGGGCTTGTCGGCGACCCTGGCGTTCCATGTTGCCTGGCGCTGCTGCTCATCGTAGACTCGAAAGTGGTGTTGGTGGGAGAGCCAGGCGCCCATCACCCACTCTGCGATCTGGACTCTGCCCGCTCGCCTTTGGGTCAGCCCAAGCTCTTTGCTCCCAATGTCGTCCTTGTACAACCCCTTGTGGCTCTGATAGGTCCAAGAGTGAAGAGAGAAGAAGAGAGGGGAAATAGAGCGAGGGAGCAAGAAGGTAAGAGAAAGGGAAAGAGAAGAGAGAGACTGACGACTGGCACCCACTGCTCGAACAAAACACCACCCCGGGATCGCGGTACTTCTCGTGCCCAAGCCAGCGATCCGACCCAGCCGACGCAAGCTGGACCACGCGCACGCGCTCCATGACGGCCGGGCTGGGCGGCGGGTACACGCACAGCAGCGTGACGCCGTCGAGCGCCTCGCGCGGCAGCGAGTCGGCGCTCTCCAGGTCCGACGCGGCGGCGTCGATGCCCGCCACCTCCCACCGCACCGCCAGGCCGGGGAAGCGCCGCGCCATGGCCTCGAGCCAGCCCGCGGGCGCCGGGGAGGGCAGGTGCACGAGGAGCTTGTCGTCTGGGTTGAGGGGCATGGTGGATGTGGATGATGGATGGACAAGGGAGGGAGGGAGGGAGAGGGAGAGAGAGAGAGAGAAAGAGGCCGGTGCTGTCTTGGAGGAGGAGGAGAGGGAGGAGAAGGAGGAAGAGGAGGAACAAGGGATTCAGTGTGGTTCTGGAATCTGGGGGTGTTGTTGATGTCAGAGTCGGCGGCCTCGTCGGTGCTGAGTATCGTCGGTGCTGACGAAGACGACGACCATGACTATGATGACAAGCAGGTCTAGTCGCTGACGTTGCAGAATGGTGACAAGCCGAACATGGCATGGACGGTCCGGGGATCCGGCGGGACGGCCCGGACGCCTTGGTCGCGCAGCGAGGGCGCCCGCCGCCGTCGGCATCACCAATACCCACTCTTCATCCCCGCTCATCAACAGTTCGCAGGAACGCACGCCGCGCGGGGAGGGCCGGAAAGACGACCAAAGGCGAGATGAATGTTCTGCTCCCCGCTCTCTCCTGCAGACGCCGTGCCACGTCAACGATTTACCTGGTCCACCGCAAGCACAACCATGGTCGCAGACGAGAAAGTGGTTACGTTGGCAGCTGTCAAGCCACCATATCTATTCTTCCAATAGACTGCAAAGTGAAGCAATATCGCAGCGCGACTTTCTCTCCTTCATACACGCACCTCTTATATGAACAAGCGCACCATCCGCATACCATGGATCCCCCCTCGACGGTCACGATGGCGGCGCATTCACCAGGGATCCGCCACTGCCTCGCGTCTCCGACCGCCGCCCCCGTTGGCATCCTCGTACACCTGGCGCCGCGTCGTCGAGGCCTCGTGGTCCTCGCCCGAGCCCTCCCAGCGCAGTGAAAAGGTGAGAGTTCTCTCGACGAGCATCCACCGCATCCGGTCCTCGGAGCATCCGTCGTCGGAGCACGCGGACCACGGCCGGATGCGCTTCCACCGCGGGGGGGCCCCCCTGTCGTCATTGTCGTCGTTGTATGGACCGTCGATAAACGTCACCTTGGAAACCATGGTGGGCCGCTCCCGATTCAGCTCCCGGCAGTCTGCGCGCCCGCATCTGCCCTCCCTCAAGACCGCCTTGGTCTCGGGCTCGTCAAGGTCGAGCGTCGCCATCTCGATGATGCCGCCGTTGATCCAGTACCGAAATTGGCGCGCCGTCTTCCTCGCCTGCGTCTCAAAGGGCACATTCTTGTCGACGGCGATGTTCCAGGACCGGTCCACTTCTCCGACCTTGACGATCCAGAGATGGCTCAGGTTGGGGAACCAAAACTTGTCGAATTCAGCCCTCCCCAGACCCTGGTGCGGGAAGCAGGCGGCGACGTAGGCAGAATAGTGCTGCAGCACGTCGACGCGCCCATCGTCCGGGAAGCAGTCCCAAAACGCCAGCCGTCGCACCCGCGGCGCCAGCTCCTCCAGCGGCTTGCTGGATCGCAGGTCGCACAGGGTGGCGTCGCAGACGACGATGTCCCTGGAGAAGTGCAGGTGCGAGCCGCGGCCGACGGCCTCGTAGCCTCGGCGGGACTCAGTGCGCGCCTCGACGTTGAGCTGGGTGACGGGTGGAATCGGGTACGACCTCGTCTTCTGCACGAGGTCGTCGAGGATGGCGACTCGCGCCTCGACGGCGCACGACCAGATCTTGAGGCGCAGCTCGGCGGGCAGCAGCGCAAACTTGGAGCGCAGCAATTGCGAGGCCGCCGCCGCACTAGGGCCGGGGGTAGGAGTCGAGGCGGAAGCCATGGAGAGGTTCGGATGGCCTCATGTCGAGGTGCCGGCCGAGACGAGCATAACGCCGGGACAGGGATATCTTGGACTCTTCAGGGCATCGCCGGCGCGTAGGAGGAGGAAAAAAGGAAGGAGGAAAAAAGAAGGAAAAGGCCGGAAGCAGCAGCGCGTATGAGTAATCGTGTCTGCTTGGCGAGTGGGTGGTCTGCCTCTTGTCGGCGTTGTTGGGTCGCGTCGTGTGCCGCTTGCGGTCATCATCATCTGGTCTCAGTTGGCGGCACCAGGCAAGGAATCGCTCAGTAGCTGGTGAAGCCATCGTCAGCGCTCGCATGACACAGACAGACTCGGGGGGAATTGGGCCGAGCGATGCATCCCTTTTGGCAGTGGAGGGAGGTCACGAGCCCCACGGTACGTGTCTAGCTACCTCGCAGATACCTTGCACTTTCGGGGGCCTCCAGCATCAGCAAAACCTTGAGCCGCCAATGTGATGTATAGGTAGTCAACTCTATAGAATTACCTCGGCTTCGCAGAAAGATCCAACGGATTCCCCAGAGGCCAGTCCAGCTACAAATGTCTTTGATGAGTCTCTTTTGTGCGAATTGGCCGCAGTTATGAGAAGAAGAAGCTGGGCAAGACTCGAAAAAGAGGTGATGCTCGCCATGTAGCGATTTGTAGCGCTCCATCATAGGTACCTACCTAGTCGGGAGTACAGTGGGCCTGTAATTTGCTAGCATGTAAAATAATGCAACTACTACAGAGTACTAGTATGCTGGTCCCTGTCTTGTGACCTGGGGGCTGCTCCTCCATCCTCCACCGCCAGAGGGATGATCGTCTAGCGCTCTGGATAGCCCGGCTCCCTGCGACTTCTATCCCGGCGAGCTTTTGGTGGCCGCTGATGTATCTGTCTCAGCGCGTCCTCTCATTGGGGACGATGTCCTGCTGCCTGGTGTCTGAAACCGCCGAAGGTCAGCCTCAAGTAGCCAACATAAAATATCGTCATTAAATACGTTCTTGCTCCATCTTTCATGGAACCATCTTCGAGGCCAAACAGGCGACCCTTGGTCAGCCCCATGCCCGCTCAGTTGGCCTCCGCCCCGATAGGAAGCGGAGACAAGCATTGTTGAAGTTTCGCCGCCAACATGCGTTCACACCATGTATACGACCAAGTCCCACCACACTGAGATGCTTAGAGGCAGTTTGTGTTACCCTATCGAGTCCCTATATAATCTCACTCGTCGGCGCTGCCGAGAAACCCAAGCCGCCGAGAAGGAAACTCCTTCCGTTTCCATTTGTTCAACGACTTCGCAATTCTCTTGACGACGATGAGTGCGTATCGGAAACGGGCCATCTCATCCTGCATACCATGCTACACACGAAAACAAAAGGTCGGTAGCACCGGTCACAGAGGCACGTTTGGGTTCTTTGCCCGTTCAGAGTCTTCGTGTCGTGCTAAAACAGTCGTCTCTCAGTGCAACCGCGAGTGCCCGTGTAATCATTGTTCTCGGCGGCAATGCATTGAAGACTGTGTCTATTACCTCCAGTCGGCAGGCCCGAGCTCGAGTCCCGCGCCTCAACTCGAGTCCGGCAGAGACGAAAGGTCGACAGGAAACGAAGCCACAAGTGTGGTCAGTCAGTCACGGAACGAATGGAGCGGGCACGTAAAACCAGCCATGCCCACCCGGCCGTCGTCGTGCCCGCCACTCGCCGAATCCTTTGGCTACTTCGGATACAGCAACACTAACACATTGGCCCTCATACAAAAGGTAGCTAGCATCTTCTCTGCCCTGGGGGAATAGATCAACAATCAGCTGAATCGTCTTCCAGCTAGGGTTGGCTCGCCACGACAGCCACTTCGATAGCTCTCTGGCGCTCGGCCCTGAAGCCGCCGACGAGGTCCATCGAAACATGGAGCATATGCCTGATCGACGGATACTAGACTTTCTGGTGCAATACTTTATTAATGAAATCAATTGGTTCGTGGCTCGCCAAAAGTCCATCACTTTCCTCCTTTGTCCATCACATGCCCGCTGTCCATTGCCGAGCTGACCTGCCGTTCGGGCAGGACGGGCCAGTTGGTACACGGTCCTTGGTTCCTAGCAAAGTACAAGATTTGGTGCACGGCGGAATGCATCAAGTCCGTGCCAGACGTCGACTTTACCATCCTGCTGCTGCGCGTCTGCTCCTACGCGCTGCAATTCCTCCCGTCGCCGAGCTATCCCCTCGACAAGATCCGCGGAGTATTGCTCGCCGACGTACGCAGCTCATCCGACGAAACGGCCGATAAACTTGAAGCCATCAGCATGGCGGCAGACGGCCGAGGCTCCTTGATTCGAGTCCAGCAATTGGCATTCGTCGGGCTCAAGTGCCAGATTGAAGGCAAGATAGACACTTTCTGGGAAGTGCTGGGCCGCGCCATCCGGGTCGCGCAGAGCGTCGGTATACACAGCGAAGCCGCAAGGTCCCGGAAGGGCATGGACAAGACCGACCAGGAGATGGAACGCAGAACGTTCTGCAACCTCTTCATCTGGGACAGCCTGCTCTCCCGCCAGCTCGACCGCATCCCTTTTCTCCACGGACGCCTGGGCCCCGAAAACTGGCCACAGTTGCATCTGCTCAAATGCGAAGGTGGTGGTGGAGGCACAGGAGACAGCATAGAGTCGGACGTTGACGCGCCCGACCCCTTCGCCGAACGGCTCCTCCAAGCCCACCTGGCAGATTTCTGGCGCAGCGTCGGTCCCGCGCAGGGCGCCGAGTACGACGTCATGGCCGCCGAGGAACGGTATGACAGGTTCTGCCGTGACTATCTCTCGCAACTCCCCCCAGCCTTCGCCCTCGTGGATCCGGACGAGACGTGGGACAAGCGGTTTCCAAAACTGCCCCTGCAACGGAAGCACCTCCACATCGCCATTTACGACTCGTTGTGTTGGAACTTCCGGCCACTGTTCCTGCGACAACCGTTGCCCCTGCCCTCGTACAAGTCCGTGGTCCTTCGCTCCCAGATCAAGTCGCTGGCCGTCGCGGCGCTGCAGGTCATGGACGGCCTCACGCAGTTACATGCTTTGCTCGGAGGCTGCCACGCGCGCCTGGCTGGGATTGTCTCTTCGACGTTCGAAGCAGCCGTGGTGCTCCTCTATCTGTTGATGGATCCGACGTTCCCGGAGGACTGTCCCAGTCAATATACCCCTTCGCCAGCTGCCATCAAGAAGGATCCGCTGCAGGCGGCTACGCCTACGGTCACGCGGCTTGGATGCCTACAGGCGGCGCAAAGAGCGCTGAAGCGGCTGAAAATGCTTGCCGAGGTGAGCAAAATGGCAGATCTCGGAGCGAGCATCTTGGTCCAGTTGTTCAGCAAAATATCAGAGACCAGTAGACGGAGAGTTACCGACACGGACGAGGTGGCCCCGATCCAGGGGCAGGAAGTCGTGGGCGCCACAACGACAACACCACAGTCAGAGCTGGGACTGACGTCAGCCGCGAACGAGGTGTCAAGCTGGCTCCCTCGCGACCCCATGGATCTGCGTTCGGCGAGTGGCTTCGTGTCGATAAGCGGGACGCTGGCCGCAGGGGAAATGGCACCCTGGCCTTCATTCGACGATACGTTAAATATGTATTCCCAGGATACCGAGTATTTCTGTGACGAATAGAGTAGATCTCACATACATGTAAACATCAGTCGACTTTCAGAAACAACTCCAATCAACGCAGAGCATTCTCCAGACATTTTTTCTCTCATATTTTTATTGAGCTGGCAAGTACCGACGAGCTCTCTTCAGCACGGTATGCTTCTCCTTCAGAGTTGGCTATAACACCATAAAAGTCATTAGCAGCGAGCTCCGGTTCGTCGGATCCACGAGGCGTGGCTTTAATTATACCCTGAATTCATTAGCTACGGCGCTGCCCTTCGGCTATCACGGCGATGCTTCCGAAGAGCAGCTGTCTGGAATAGCGGCGTTATCCGAGGCGGAGTATATGCTTTTGCAGCGCAACGGGTATACCGGGAAGCTATACAATTTTATAATGGATTTTAGTCTCACGAAGAGAGCATGCAGAACGTGTCAATGAGATTTTTTCCCGTTGTACTGTTGCTTGTTGCCTGACCTTCCTTTCCAACCCGAGAATAAATACCTCTTATTTATATCCCTGTCTTTCTTTCTTCTTGGTATCCCCAGCTTTAACCATCTGATCATTCCGTTGGGAAAGGGAGGCTGGCTGGTCTCCCTCAATGCGCTCCAATTTCTCACGGCCTCTCCGCCGCAATGCTTCGGATATCTGTCTTTTATCCAACACTATATCAGCCATCGGACCCAGATCGTTAACCGGCTTTCATGTCAGATAGACCCGGCTGAGCACCAATGGCAGCACATTGACAACCAGACTCAGGGCGGTAAGTATAGGCGAGAACGTAAATCGTTACATGTTGAATTACGTTCATGTTGACTCTGACAACGTAGTGAGCTATTTTTTTAACACGCTGAGAGCAAGCCCTTATATCTGCCCTTGACAACAACTGAAAAAAAAACCGGATGAAGCTTGTAATAAAGTATATTATCTCCTTCCCGTTTCCATAATAAGCGTGACGTCAGCCACCTAGCTTACAGCATACCCCCCTTCTAGCACCCTTTTCCTACTAAAAGTCGGGTTTTTTTATAAATCTATAACTAATTTATTAAAATAGGTAGAAAGACTAAAACTTTATAGCTAAAGAGCTAAGCTATAGTAGATTTATAAAGTACTATAAGTTTTTCTTTTTTTCTAATAATAAATAAGTTATATTACTTTTTAGTTTTCCTATAGTAAAAATAAAATACTAAATAAATAGTTTAAAAAAATAAAGATAGCACTATTTATCTTTATATAGCTTTTAGTACTTAAAAGTACTTTCTCTTTACTATTTTATCTATTAAATATAAAGATAATAGGATATTCTTAAAATACCTCTTTTTTTAATAAGGAGAAAAGTTTATTACTTAATTATTATGAGTACACTTACCGCCCCGGCGCCCGGGTGTGCTGGCGCCCGGGCGCATCCTTAATATGCGTGGTCAATTGACGAAGCTATCGCTTAGTCAATTTCCGTCTTCTTTTGCCCGCACGCATACTTTTCGGCCTCTGCGTGGCAGAGGGGTCAGTAGCATGTCCACTGCTTTAGCCTACCTGGCCAGACCCTGACATTAATAACTTGAAAGAAAAAGCTAGTTAAAAGTCTTTAACTATTTTATTAGTAGTATATACTATAAAAAAGCTTATATACTACTTAGCTTACTTTATTAGAGGTTTTTTTTTAAATATTAATTTAATACTTTTAAAGTATTAAGGCTTACTAGGTAATATAGTAGAAAGTACTAATAAAATACTTAAGTTAGCTTTAAGTTTTTATATAAGTATAATTATATATAATATATATAAAAAGTAAATTTTAATACTACCTTAAGCTATTTTACTAATAGTATTCTAAGAGCTACTAAGTTAACCTATTTTTCTTATATTTCCTATTTAGTGGTTTAATGCTAGTGTTTTAGTGAGAAAGGGTGCTAGAAGGGGGGTGGGTATGCTGTGAGCTAGGTGGCCGACGTATTGGTTTTAGCTACTTAACTTTTCGTACTAGTTAAAAGGCCACCCCGTCACGCTAAACGGCCACCCAAAAGTGGGTCAACTGTGGCTTGGTCGCCGCGCAGCGCCGATGCCGCAAAGGTGTGTGCGCGCATTCGCTGCCGGCATCGAGGTGCGCGCCAGAGGGCATGTTGAAGCCGCAATTGAAGCCGCAAAGTGAAGCTGGCCGTGATGCAAATTCAAGTACGTAGGGCCATGTTCTTGGGGTCGTAGAAAACACACTTCCGTCAATTCAAATGCAGCGTTAACGCCGGTAGCTATAGTAGACCCTCTGCACACAATTCCTGCTGTACAGACTCCTCCTCATCCACCTGCCGGTCCATCTCGTTAAAATCGGCTAAAGGGTCGTCTTCATCCTCTATATCCTCACCTCCTTGACGAATTGAGGGTATCGGCATTGGCTGCGTGGCACAGCGAATCGTGCCCTGCGTCTCGCCCGGGCCAGTAAGCTCATCGTCAGAGTCAGGCGTGCGGCGTACGGCACGCTGATACGCTCGTGGCATCGCTGTGCCAGGCTCGTACGAATCGCCATTGGCTTGAAGGTATTCCAACCCCGTTTGGTCACATCAGCAGCGCTGCCGGCGGTGTTGACGGTAGCAGCAGCAGCTTTCCTCCAGCCTTGCCCCAGCCTTGCGCTTCTTACCCGTAGCCTTCGTCTTCGTACTTTGGAGAGCCGCCGGCGCTGTGGACGGCGGCGGCCTTGTGGCCTCGCTGCGTTCGTCGGATTCCGCGATATCGTGTGCTGACGGCTCTCTCGCGTGGCCGTTACGACCTCCTGCTGCCTCGAGGTTCAATGAGCCCTTGGGCCGGCCTTTCCCGTGCATAGGAGTGGATCGTGAGGAGCATCGTTAGGGCTTGTGCTCTGCCATGCCAGAGCTCGTCAACGTCATTCATTTCGAAGGGAACGGCGGCGGCGGCATTGGGCCGCTTGAAAATATCGTGACGGCAAGGAAGGCCAACCAAGACTTGACTTGAAGCCGCAGTGATGAAGAAGATCACAGCGGCCGGGCGGCGGCTTTTCTTGGTCGCTTGAAGCGGCATTCCTTGCCACAGCGCGGTATTCGCCCCCTATCTTCTGGAGCCCAAACTTTGCGGTATCGGACCTTGCGCGCGACCAAGCCACAATTGACCCACTTTTGGGTGGCCGTTTAGCGTGACGGGGTGGCCTTTTAACTAGTACCTAACTTTTTGTTTCTTCAGCTCCTTGTTGCCCTTTATTGACAAATATTCTTTATGCGACTGAATCGCCAGGACACCCTAGATTTTCGCCGCTAGTAAGATAGCGCATGGTGTAAGTCACAAGCTGTGGTGGCTTTAAAGCAAAGTGGAAGTTAACTTAATTAATATAGGGGCTTAAAGAGGTGAATTTAGTAATTTATGTCATAGCCTATCTATCAGGACGAGTGGGGGGCTTTATATAGGTATAGATACCACAAATAAGTGGCCAAAAGAGGGCATTGAGCTGATCCTATACACGAGCCACTACCTCCACACGTCTCTCTGCTAGGAGTGTCATCTTGGCCTGGCAGACACAGTTGCCGCCTCTTGCGCCCTCTGGGCTCGGCTCTCCCCAACAATATCTAATAAACCTAATATGTAATAACTTATACACCCTCTTCCCCGAGCCTATATACTGCTAGCTATATTACTAGCACGTCGCTGTCGACTTCTACGAACTAATATGTGGTACCTCACCTGGAACGGTGACAATGAAGAGCTAAGTCGACATCGATTACCGGTTGTATCCATTCCTGCGATACTGGTGCAGGCCTGGTTGGATGATGATATCAATTCTCCCCCGGTCTATGCTGAACCCCAACCGGGAATCAGATCCCCTCGCCGCGCTGCCATTGTCGTCATTTCTCCCTCGACTAAAGGCCGTCCTCTTCTTCCTACTCCCGTCCTTTATTCAGCGTCGACTTCGGCCGGCTGCCTTCAAGCCGCGCCACCTCTACGCTACATCATGGCTAGACGGCCTGCGTGGCGTTGCCTCCTTTATCGTGTTTCTGTGGCACGTTACTGAAGGGCATTTTGGATGGTACACTCTATCGTACGGGCACGAAGGCGATCGGGTTGCTTCGTCACCTATTCAGCTGCCCTTTATACGCTTCTTCTATTGCGGTCGCCCTATGGTCCATGTCTTTTTCGTTATTTCTGGTTTTGCTCTCTCCTATAAGCCGCTAAAGCAGGTCAGAAGGCGCGATTATGATGCGCTGCTTCGCACCCTCTCGAGTAGCATCTTCCGCCGCGGCCTACGTCTCTTCCTTCCGGTAGTCGCAGACACATTTATAATAATGGTCCTCATCCGCCTTGGCTGGTTATATGAATCGCTCCCGACATTAAGCGAGCAACTATGGGATTGGTATAACGTTCTATGGAAGGTTACGTTTAGCTGGAACTGGGACCGATTCGACCTCCCGCCCTATAACCCGAACCTGTGGACTATTCCTGTCGAGTTCTGCAACTCCCTACTGCTCTTCATCACTATAGCCGGTCTAAGCCGGATGAAGACATACTTACGCCTCGCCTCCTCGATCGCGATTTCGATCTATTGCCTCAAATGCGGCCACTGGGCCGCCTTCGAGTTTCTTATGGGCATGGTCATGGCCGAGATTAGTCTGATCCAGGACGCACGCAACAACTTGGCTATGACCATTGTCACCACGAACCAAGAATACCCCGATATGGAACGGTCTCTCAAGTCGATCCCGCTATTGAGCTCCGTAACGAGCCGCGTCCTTAAGTATTGCCTCATTGGGAACCTCGTTTTTGGTATCTTCATCGCCGGGTGGCCGAACGCTGAGGCCGACAAGACACCGGGAATATCAGCACTCTGGTTCAACACTATAGAGCCGTACTGGGGAACTGGCGACGGTCTATACATTTCATTTTACTGGTACTCCCTTGCCGCTGTCCAGATTGTGGCTGCGCTGCAGCAGATCAAGCTGCTACAAAACCTCTTCGTTACACCGCTGGCGCAATATCTTGGCGACATCAGTTTCGCCTTTTATCTAGTCCATGGGCCGATAAAGGAGATGGTCGTCCCTCGCGGCCTGCCGTTCCTCTGGTCTACGGTCGGCGGACCTGACGAGGCCGGTATGTGGGGACGTATGATCGTCTGGTGCGCCGCACTTATAGTAATAGGCATCCCGGCGGTGTGGGCTGCCGACCTCTTCTGGCGCGTAGTGGACGTGAAGAGTGTGGAACTCGCTCGCTCGATCGAGACCTGTTGCACGCGAGACGATTAGCCGATGTCAAATAGGACACACTTCATCCCCCTCATCCCATAGGAGGAACTTACTGGCCACTCTTAGTGTTGGAAGAGATCAGTTGCCTTGAGAAGGTTCCATGGTCATGTCGATCCCTTGTCAGCTCTATCTACATAAGACCTGGCCTTCCACTCCTTTCTATAGCTGGAGAGACATCATCAACAACAAGATTATTCACTCATAGTCCGTGTGTACAGACAGCACTTAGCTTCGCCGGGATATTCGAGGGGCCCCTTCTATAGACCTTCTCTCAAGCAGCGGCTTGAGAGCACAGTGGAAGAAATAGGGGCATAGAAAGGTGAATTTAGTAATACATGTCTTGGTCTATCTATTAGGACAAGGGAGGGGCTTATATAGGTATAGTAACTATATATAGCTAGCTAAAAGAGGGCATTAAGATATTCCTATACCTAAGTTAGGCCTATATAATATCCTTAGGCTAGGGGAGTTATATTAGTTAGGCAGGCTTCCTTATATCTAACTATTAGGTCTATTAGGCATAACTATAGCCTCTTATGCTTACTCTCCTTAATATACCCCCTTACTACCCTAGCTTCTAGATAGTAGGGCAGTAGGTAGAGGAGCGTTTAGTCTAATAAATATAAGGCTATTCCGATATTAAATTCGGCTGCTTTATTATCTTATTTAAGGAGGTTATCTAAAAATAAGGGAGGCTCCTAATTATATCCTAAAAAAAAGGGGGAAGGTAAATATAGTAAAATGGGAGTTAGTTTAGTAGCTAGTGCTCCGTACTATATAGGTATATTATACTAGCCGCCCCCTCTTACTTAAGGAGGGTTTAAATATTAGTTAATTAGGGTTATATAACTTACTCTTACCGCTTAACTTAGTAGTTAAAAGCTATTATTATTAACCCCTCTTATAAGGGATATAGCTATTATAAGGCTAGGTAAAAAGAATAGTATATATAAAAAAAGGCAAAAGCTAGGACCTAGGGTAGAGGATATAAGGAGAAGCCCCTTATTTCCTCTCCCCTTAGGTCCCTAAGTTTATTACCCGCGCCCCCCTTAGGGCGTAGTTATATAACCTACTCTTCCGCCCTAAGGGGAGTTAAACTTACGATTAATAGGGTTATATAACCTACTCTTACTATTTAACTAATAGTTATAAGTTATATTTATAACCTTCCTTATAAGGAGGGGTATAGCGGGGTATCCCTTTAGGTTGCTTAGGTACTTTAATACCTTTACTAGCGATATTATCCTTTAAGATAAAAGTAATCTTAAAGGTAGGCTTTTTAATAATATATTCCTTATATTAATTAGTCTTAATTTAGTAAAGCTATCGCGATTATTATAAGTTTAAGCGCTATAGTATTATACTATTTAAGGGGTAGTTTAGTAATAGCTTTACTTCTTAGTAGTAAATAGGGATAACCTTTAACTCTTAGATCTTTATAGTTTCTTAATTAAATTAAGATCTAACTATGCTATTAGAATCCCTTAATCTTAGTATATATAGTAGTACTCTTATTATCGGGATCTAGTAATTATTAAGTTTATTATAGTAAGGAGATATTACGCTTTAATATAGTAGTTAGGTATATTATCTCTTAATATATCTTCCGGCTATATTTCTAGCCTTAGTTACTTAATAAAGCTTTAATACTTTTAGTATATAAGCGCCTTTATTATACGATTAGCTAAGTTATCTATTAATACGATCTAGCTAACTTATATCTAATCTTATTATACCTCTTAACTATTATAGGCTACGCCTATAAAGGGCTAAGGTTATACTATAGCGACTATACTAAAGTCGGGCCGAAGTAGACCTATATATAAGTAAAGCTTAACCCGAACTTAGGCTAAATAGCACTTAAATATAAGTCGAGCTAGGGTCTAAGGAAGATAGATAACTAATATAACTAAGATAGAGTTTTCTTCCTTTCTCCTTAGCTTTAAATAAATAATTATTCGGCCCTATACTACTATACTAAGTATACGCTAGCTCTTAATATATCTAAAGCTCCTTTTAAATAAAGCTATAAAGCCTAGAAAAAGATTAAACTAAAAGGATATAATATAGATATCCTAACGACCTAGAGGGGGGAGAATAAGCTTAAGGATAGTAGGGAGTAGCGATAGGAGGGCCTAATACCTAGCTAATAATAAAGTAAGCAGTACTCTTACTATAGATAAGAGAGGTAAAGATAAGGTATTAGGTAATATAGAGCTAACTATAAATATAGGAACTAATCGGCTAGATTAAAAGGATATACTAAAGAATAGATAAACTAATAAGGATAGGTATATAAGAGGGGGCTAAGGGTGAGATAAGTAGTTTAATACCGCCTTTAAGGCTAATAAGGGGGGTAGTAACGCCGATAACTGAAAAGGGGATAGTAGGAAAGAATACCTATAAGAAGCCTCTCCTAAGCCTAGGAAAATTTAATAGATAACGACGGTATTATACCTTATAAGTCTAATATATATAGGAAAAGTATAAGATTAATAAAGAATTCTTATTAAGCTTAAGGGAAATCCTTTACTTTATTTATAACTACCTAAACGCTAAGCTATAATAAACGGTCGCTATATACTATAGAATAAGAGTAAAGAGGGGCTATAATTAAAAGGAATTCTTAAAGTACCTTAACTTAATTTACCTTAACGTAAATATCTAATTATACGCGGCGGCGGTAATTTAGATAATAAAATAAAAGGAGAGTTAGATATTTATAGCGTTCCTCTTAAAGTTTAAGTAAAGACTCTTTAAGGCTAGAGGCGGGTCTTAGCTATATAATATTTAGATCGTCTTCCTAAAAGGGGCTCTAAGAACCTAGCTCTACGAGGCGTTAGCTATAGTCGACCTCCTTATATTAAGCTTCGCTACTTATATTAATTAAGTAGCGTAAATAGTAGCTAAGCTAAAGAGAGTTTAATAAATAAGATAAGCCCCTTTAAACTAAAGGAAACTAGCGGATATATACCTTTAAGAAAGGAAAAATAATAATAGGGATACCTTAATAATTAGTATTAACGCCTTAGATAAATAAAGGGAGGGGTAAAGTTAGCTAGAGAATTAGACGTACTTTAACTATAGAGTTAAAGGATATATCGCGCTCTATTATAAAAAGAGGAGGTAAGAACCTTAAAGGGCGGGCGTAATAAAAGAAAAGAAGGGCGCTAAGGATAATAATAACTTAAAAAAAGGAACTTTAGTATAAAGTTAGGCGCTAAGGGTAAAAGAGAAATAATAAGAAGCTTAAAAGTTAATAAAGGACTACCTTATACTAGGCCTAGTAATACTAAGGGTAAGTATTAATAAGAAGAAAGGACTTAATATACTTATAAATATTAGCTATAAATACTATATTATAGTAAGCGAGAGGGTAGTAATAAAGTTATAAATACTTCTTCCTAATAAAAAGAAAAGATAACTAAGGCTATTTTTAAAAGATACTCTAGCCTTATAAATAAAAGGAATTATAGTATTTAAGATATATATTAATAGCTATATAAAGTAGACCTTTATATATATAGTCCTTAGGCTAAGCTATAATATATTTCTAGGGAGGCTATAAATAAAGAAGAACTAAGTAATATATAATATAATAAGGGATTAAATTTAGTATAATAAGGCTAAGACCTAAATAAGCCTATAAGGATCGAAAGTAGTAAGGAAGGTAGAATAGATCTAAGGGGCAAAGATTATTAGCGCGGTAGTATTCGCGGTAGAATATTAAAGGGAGAGAGTAGTAAGGAATAATAAGGGAAGGCGAAGGATAGTCGATATTTAAGCGATTATAATAAAGAATATAAAGAGAGCGCTTTAGCTAAAGATAGTAGTAAACTTAGTAGACTATATCTTAAAGTAAGCGCTAGATATATACCTAGACCTCTTTATACTTAAAAAAGCTTTAAAGATACCCTTATATAAGCTAAAGGTAGACTATAAGATTAACTTAATACTAAATAAAGATAAGGTAAAGCCTTTACTACTATAGGGACCCTTTTATAATATATTAAAAGAGGAACTCTTAGTACTAAGAAAGACCTTAAGTAAGCTAATAAAGGTAAACCTAATCTACTTAAGTAGCTCCTTAGCTACGGCCTTAATACTCTTTACTTAAAGGTTAAACGGTTACTTACGATTTTACTATAACTATTAAGCCTTAAATATAATTACGAAAAAGGATAGGTACGCGCTACCCTTAATTATAAAGATACTATAGATACTTATAAAGGTAAAGTAGTTTATAAAGCTTAACGTTATAGTAGCGTTTTATAAGATCTAAATAATAAAGGGCTATAAGTTTAAGATAGCCTTTTAAATAAAGTTTAGATTATTTAAGTAGTAGGTATACCTATTTAGCTTAATAAGAACGCTAGCTACCTTTTAATAATATATTAATAAGGTACTAAGGGAATACTTATATAAGTTTATTATAGCGTATATAGATAACGTTTTAATTTACTTATTAAGGTCTCTTTAAGACTACTAAGAGAAAGTAGTAAGGGTACTTTAAGAGCTATAAAAGGTAGGCTTAATACTAAACCTAAGAAAGTATAACTTTATAACGAAGGAGGTTAAGTACTTAGGCTTTATTAAATAGGTAAAGGGTAAGGTTTAATATAACTTAAAGAAGATCTAGGTAATATAGATATAGTAAGTACCTTAGAATATAAATAGAGTTTAAAGCTTCCTTAGCTTCGTAAACTACTACTAGGCCTTTATACTACTTTATATAAAGGTATTAATATACTTAGACGGCCTTTATAAAAAGGGCGCGATCTTTAAGTAAATAGATAAGTACTAAGTAGTATTTAAGTTTATTTAAAATGCCTTTTATAACGCCTTAATACTATAACTTTATAACTTTAAAAGAGAAATATACTTAAAGGTAAACTATTTTAAATATATAATAAGGGGGGCGCTAATATAAGTAGGGCTAGATAGTATATAATACTTAATAGGATTCTTTTTAAAGAGACTAAACTTAGTAAAGTATAACT